GAAGAGGCGTTTGAGGTATGCATAGTCGGGCCTGTCAAATCAACCCCACCGACCCCCCCCCTTCCCCCCCCTCCCACCCTCGCACCCCTTATCTTAGGCGCCTCAGAAGCCCCCTCACGCACCTTCGCGAATGAAGAGGTCACGGAAGAGGCGTTTGAGGTACGCATAGTCGGGCTTGTCGTCGAAGCGCAGCGAGCGGCAGTAGTGGAAGTAGGACGCGAGCTCCGTGGGATAGCCCTTGCAGAGCACCTGGAGGCGGGGTGTGGGTGGAGAGGCGGCAGCCAAGAGGGAGCGGACCGACAAGTTTTCAGGAAAAATGAGCGGCAGTAGTGGAAGTAGGACGCGAGCTCCGTGGGGTAGCCCTTGCAGAGCACCTGGTGGCGGGGTGCGGGTGGAGAGGTGGCAGCCAAGGGGGAGCGAAACGACAGCTTTTCAGGAAGGAAGGGTGGCAGTAGTGGAAGTAGGACGCGAGCTCCGTGGGGTAGCCCTTGCAGAGCACCTGGGGGACGGGGACAATGGTGGCGGAACGGAGGGATATGCGCCACGCGGGTCAACTGAAGTAGTCATGACTCAACGTATCATAATATGGGAATTGACGCAGCAACACACCTCAATGGGAGTAGACATTTTCTTCTCGCTAATCTTCTCGTACTTCTGCTTCTTGGTACCCGCCTTTAGACCCTGCCATGGCAAGCTGCACAACACAACACACAAACAAACACGTGCCTCAGTAAACAGCCGTCCCACAGAAAGAGCTACCTCATACAAACACACTCCAAAACAACCCAGCAGTGAACCATATACCCGAAGGAAGCATCTTAGCATGATGCAGAAAGGAGGATCCTTGCAAAAGGAAGGCACTAGCGGAAAGCATAACCCTAGTAAAAAACGGGCCCTGGTTTCTCAGGCAATCGAACAGCCAGACGCGCACCTTCCTCGCAGAAAGTACATGAGCACGTAGCCCAAGGACTCCAGGTCGTCCCTCCGGCTTTGCTCTGCCCACAACGTTCATACGAGCACAGACCCGGGGACATGAGCGTGCAAGAACAGTGTGTTATTTCGCATGGTGACGAGCGTAAGAGACCAGGGTCGAGGATGAGAGGAGAACCACGGCGAGGGGCGAGGGGGGCGGGGCGGGGCGGACGGGGGGTGAGGGTAGAGCAGGGCCGAGGGGCGTCAGGCACATACCGATGCCAAGGTGTGTGTTGATGCTGGCGTAACGAGCCGTGCCCGTCAGGTTCTTGTTCTCTCTGCACCACGGCACCAGACCAGGCACACCACGCACGCACACCAAGCGAACGCGGCCAAGAGCGGGAGGAGAGGAGAACGAGGCCAAGAACGGGAGGAGGGGAGAGACCAAGCGGGGAGAGGAAGCGGGAGAGCACACGCGAAGCAAACCAACATGAGACGAGCGCGGGTTAGCGTGGATAGAGAAAAAGATGCAGGGGCAGGGCACCGGGAGGGGGGGAAGGTGGGGGGTGGGAGGGGGGATGCGATGGGTGGGGGAAGAGGATCTGGCGAACCGCAAGCAAGGGGAGACGAATTCGGAAGGAGGAGGGAAAGTGTAAGGGGATTGGGGCGCGAGCGCGAGACAGAGTGGAGGCAGAGAGGACGCAACGAATCTCTCCCAAAAAGGATGCAAAAATCCCGCGGAAGGATGTAGTGAGGACGTAACGACGCATACTAGACTCGCGGACACACGGACGCACCTGTAGGGGATGTGCTGGTGCGTGGTGGGGTCGCGGTACTTCTTAGCGAGCCCGAAGTCAATGATGTACACCTGGTTGGCGCGCCTGCCCAGCCCCATGAGGAAATTGTCCGGCTTGATGTCGCGATGCAGGAAGCTCTTCGAGTGCACGTACTCCACTCGATTGATCTGAAGGAATAGAGAACCAGCGGGGGTCAAACTGTTCAACTCAGACGGAATTCGAGCTGTTACAACTATCCGCCTTCATGTCGCGGTGCAGGAAGCCCTACGAGTGCACATACTCCAGTCTCTTCTGCAGTAACATTGATCTCACCCACTTTCAACCCATCCTGTCCTATCCCCTCCCCTCGTCTCCACTCCGCCCGCTTCGAGCATCGCGAAACATCGAGAGAGTGCCAAAGTTCGACAAACGATGACGATATGCGCCCTGTCGTACTCCGTTCGTTCGCGCAATCTTGGGATTCTCCGCGAACCACCAGGCATGCTTCCACTCCGCCGCGTCACTCTCCAACTACCCGTACCCGGCTGTCCGTGATTACTGGACCGCTACCAGACGAGCGGTCAGCTGCTCGCTATTGTAGGTACAAAGGTCAGTTTCAGGAATTCTGGCCACTATCCCAACTACCCGTCGAGAGTCACTCCGACTATCATTGATATACTCGACGACGTGAAAAACACCCGGCAATTGATTCGCGAGAATGAGAATGGTCCAAGCAAATACTTCTGGCGACTGCTCGGGTTGACTCAGGTCACCTAAACACCCACCAGCTGATCCGCGAGCATGAGCACGGTCTTGAGCGAGAACTTCCTGGCGCAGAAATTAAAGAGGTCCTCGAGACTGGGCCCGAGCAGGTCGATGACCATGACATTGTAGTCCCCCTCCACGCCGAACCACCGGATGTTCGGGATGCCGGCTGCGATAGCAGCATCGAGCGAACGCGAAAAGAAGGAGAGACAAATGCACGAAACGTGCTATCCACACGTCAACAATGAAATACAGGCGCCGGTCTATAAATTTAAGCAGTATCCGCATAGCGTCGCCGAAAAGAGAGACATGGAAAATATACGAGAGGCCGGAAATTATGGGTTTGGGGAACACGCACTTCCTCCTTGAAGAATCCTGTACAGCTTCGACTCGTAGAGTAGCTGGGGATGCTTCGTCTTGGTCGATTCCTTCACGAAAAATAGCCACGGAATCCAGCCGTCAGCGCGACAGAGAAAACAAATACTACGAAGTGAAGTCGGAAACTATGGATTGCTAAGTGGTTACCAGCTTTATGCCGACTTCTTCATTGGTCTGAACGTTCGTTCCTGTTGACCACAGAAGTAGGGACGAGGTGACGGCAGAGGAGGGATGGAAAACTTAAGACCGAGAACGACACGAGGCTTGAACGAGGAAAATGGCGACGTGATGAGGACAGCTGACGGCTGAACAGAAGCTCACCGAGGTAGATCTCGCCGAAAGATCCGCTACCGATTTTTCTCCCTAACCTATACTTGTTCGCAATTCTGGGCTCCATGCCCGAAGCTTGCAAGGGTCGTTCAAACCTAAGCTACGGTCGTATGAAACGAACTCTATCGCCTGTCCACTTTCTGGTTGCTAGGCGCAAGTCCTAAACTAATTCTACGTCCAGGGCCCACAGAGCAGGGCCCTGAACTAGGGTCAGGTCGTCCTCCTCGTTCCCGCTGATAGCTACGAACCTACGTTCAGCTAAACTTTAGGTCATCCATGGACTGGATGAGCTAACTGCACAAAAACTTCTAGCACGATAAGAGCAACCTGCTAAATCTGAAACGGACTTCTGAGACCCTAGTACAGTAGTTCCTCCTAGGCCTACCAGACTGGGAAAAAATAGGATGTGCTGAACAGGATGGTGTACGAGGAGAGGGAAGTGTCAAGTGGAAGGACAAGGAGGGAGGGGAAACGGACGAGGTAAAAAAGATGAGGTTGGCCAAGGACAAGGCGATTCATGGTGGTCTCTTGCTGGTCACCTGGTGATGATGATCCCAAGGTGGAGGTTGTTCGCAGCTAGGGAAACCCTATTGGCGATGCCTTGTCGATTAGTGCAGGCGAAGGAGTTGACTGGGGTGTGGCCAGGAGCGAAAACAGTACGAGGGTTACTTTCTGTTGCGACCAGGCGACGAGAAAGTGGTTGGTGCCTGGGTTTGCATGTGACTGTTTGTATGCGTGGCTGAGGCGTGATGCCGTGGGCTGTATGCATGGCTCACGCTTTCCCAAACTACGGCAGGTTTGGGACCATATGAGCTTGAGGCTAGGGTTGAACATGATTGGCTCAGATTCTGGTCCTGACACAAGATTTGCGAAGAGGTCGTTTTGTGAATTCGTCGCACATGCTCGCGAACATTTTTGTGGGGTCAGCCAGGAAACCCAGGTCCATCTGCGACTCGGTGTTACGGCTGTCGCGGAATGTCGCGAAGCGTGCAATGACCCCATGAATTCGGGCAGGATGGAACACCCGTTCGGTGTCAGGAGCAGAAATGACCCCTGGACGGTGAGACGTTCACGACTGACCCCGAGTGAACGTAGAAATGGCTCCTCGTGTCGAATCTAGTTTCAAGCTGCTGCTTCAGCACTAGCGACTTCTAACTTCAGGAGCCTAGGGGATCGCTCCGTCTCGAAGAACTGAGGATTAGGACGAGAGATACAGCAGATTTACGGCTGGTGGACACACACACTAGCTATCAAGCTTAGAGGATTGCTGCAAGAATCGCGAATTACTGTAGTTCACGGGATCGGTGGCACAAAGGAGCGGGAGCATTTCGATAAGCTTGTTACAGTCATTGCGAAGTTGTATTGTCGATCACAAGCTCATGGCGGCCGCAGCGGTGCGTCTGTTGCGGGAGGGACGGATCGATGGCATGGAGGCACCGACGGTGGTGCTAAGCGACACGTGTCACGTTCTGGGTGGCTGGCAGATCTTGCGCCACATGACTGAGTCCCTGGTTCGAGCGATCCACTGCAATCGCGCACAGGCAAGGTGTGTGTTAATGTCTGCACGCGTGACGTTTGCGTGTGTGTTATGTGAGAATGTGTGTGATGCGTGCGTGTGTGTAGTGTGTGTGTGTGGGGTCTGTGTGCGTATCTTGTGTCCATTCCCGCCATTCCCCCTCTTCCACTTCCCCCCCTCTCTGCCCGCAACCCCCTCCCAGCCGAGCAGTGCTGGTCTTGGCCTCACCCCGCGCTGCCACAACCGCCATAACCACCGTCCATGGCGCTGCGGGGGGCCTGTGCGCGTGCCATGGCACACTGATAAACTGCTGCTCTGACCCCATGGGATGGGGACAGCCGTTTCAGTCGCCCTGTAGTCACCCAGTCAATCCCAGCGGCGACAGTGAAGGCAGTGGCAGTGCAGGCAGCAGCACAGCGGATCCGATTGTCAGCAGCTGCTGCAACGTGTGGGACCTGCAGTCACTTGAGCAGCGCATTCTGTAAGTTCCCATGCCTCCGAAGCGGCCTTATGTAGTATCTGTTTAACCATCACCATCCCTTCCATCGTCCCCCATATACTCACACCCCGATGACCTCACGCGCCCCCATGTCCTCACACCATGATGACCTCACAGCCACATGTTGTCACACCCTCATGTCCTCACACCCTACGTCCATCACTTGCACTCCAGTAGGGCAGCCAAGCCGCAAGCCGCCGAATCACACACAGGCGCGCAAGGGAGCCCTCCGTCCATTGTGTTGCTAGACTCGGTAGGTACGTCATCCATGCCATTCGTTTGCCGGCTTTTGAGACGTCTTAAGTTCATTCTAGACTCAGTAGGTACGTCACTGATGCTGCTCACTCGTTTCGGCTCTTTCTTGCGTTCCTCACTCGTTTCTCTTCCCTCCCTCCCTCGGATTTCCTCAATCCCACTTCTCCTTGTATTCTCGCTCTCCCTGCATTTCCCCTCTCTCCATACCATACCATGCCATGCCATCCCACCATTCTCTCTCCATACCATGCCATGCCATCCCACCATTCGCTCTCCATACCATGCCATGCCATCCCACCATTCCCTCTGCCTGCCATGCCATCAGCTGGACCCCTTCCTGCGCCACAACACGCCAGCAGCCCTGCTCGCCATGATCGCACGACTGCAGTGGCATGGTAAGGGGGGGTGGGAGGGAGGAACGGATCATCAGGGAGGCATGCTCGAGCACGTTGCGTGCAGGGAGCTGCTATAATGTCACGATTAGGGAGCTGTTATAACGTCCGTTCTTTGATGTGCATCTTCATCATCATGCTTGTTTCCCTCCCCTGCCTTGCCACGGATTGTACTCTTCCTTCATCCACTAATCCGCCCATTGCTCCCTCGCACAATCTGTTATCTGTACTCCTTTTCTCCCCTCCCTCTCTCCCTTCCAGCCTCAGTCTCAGGACTCCTCCTCCTCTCCCATGCTGACGTCACCCCGCCAGCTGTCACCTCCTCCTTGCGCCACATGGCGCACGCACTCCTCTCCCTGGATCCACATCCCGGCCACTCCCTCCTCCCTCTCTCCCTCCTCCTCTCCTCTCCATCACTCCCTCATCCCTCCTCTTCTCATCACCCATCGGGAAACTCAGTTGTCACTTCTGGCATGAGTAGCTCTAGCAGCAGCACAGCTGGCACTGGTAATATCGGTGGGAGGGGCAGCAGCGGCAGGAGCGAGAGTGGTGGCAGCATGGGTGTGGAAAGTATGGGAGAGCGGCACGTGCTACCGGGAGGGATACTGGTGTTGCAGCAGAAGAGGGCTTCGGGGAAATTCCGAACTGCGGTAGGTCTGTCTCTTTGGCGCTGTCTGGCTGTCTGGTCTGCGGTAGGTGGGCTGTCTGGTTTGCCCCAGCCAGAACAGTGGCGTCTTCGAAGCGTGTCTGACTGTCTATCCGTCCGTCCGTCAGTTTGGCAGCCCACCTCTGGCACAAGGGCCTGTAACCTCTCTCTGCTCTCCCCTTCCCTCTGTTCACTCGCCTCCGCTGCAGCTTGAGGAGTTTCATTTCGACCGGCAAGGAGCAGTGCACATAGATGTACAGACCAAGGGCTCTGTGCGCACACCACAGCAGCAGCCCACTTTCCCCTTGTGAATCACGTGTGACTGTTCCTCTCTCCTTCCCTCCATTTACATCCGCTGCAGCTTGAGGAGTTTCATTTCGACCGGCAAGGAGCAGTGCACATCAGCGCACAGACCAAGGGTTTTGTGCGCACACCGCAACCACCCACCGCGCCCAGTGAATCTCCTGAGACCGCGCCTCAACCCACAGTCGCTAGCGACAGCAGGAGAGACACCTCTAAAGTACCTCCTGCAAACGTATCCCTGCCAGAGCAGCAGCCTGCAGAGGGGGCACACAGAGGGGCGACAGGGAGAGGGGAGGCTGCAGGCGTGGAGCCGATCAGGACGATTGGAGATCGGGCGCCAGAGGTGAGAATGCCAAATGCTTTGCATGCTGTAATTTCTCTGCATGGTCAGAGGATTTTTATTTATTCTCTCTGTCCCCGCCCCCCCTCTGTTACCCTCCCCATCAGCAACTCTGAGACTCCTTCGCCGCGCTCCTCTTTCTTCTCCGCTGCAAAGTTTGTCAAACTCTCACGAATGTTCTGCAACCATGTGTCATGCTCCCCCCACCCATCATCAGGTCTCGTTCCGCTTAGAGCTGTCTGAGGAGGAACGGGCTGCAAGAGAGAAAGTGGTGCTGCCTTATGAACACCGAGGTTGGTTGCAACTTCTCCCAACCCTGCCCAAACCTGCCCAACCCTGCCCAAACCTGCCCAACCCTGCCCAACCCTGCCCCTCCACTTTGGCGCTCGAGTTTCTTGTTACTAGTTTCTTCTTGTATTCTTGCCTCTCCTTATTCTTTTCTCTATTCCGTCATAACTCTGAAGACTGTTGGTGTCATTTCCGCCCTTAACTGTCCTTGCCCATTCCTCAGGCGAAACTGGCCCAATCAAGATATACGACGGGAGAAGGAGCCTTGCGCCAAGCCACGTCAAGGAAACAGCAAAGGCTCATGGAGAGTTTTCGGTTGGTGGTGTATCGGCTCGTATGGTGGAACTTGCAGTGGGAGGCACTGCGGGCGATTGGAGCGAAGGTGGAGGTGGTGGTTTGATTCATTATGAGCGCGATTCGGATGACGAATACCCAGATTCGGATGAAGACCCCGATGATGATCTTGATATATAGCATTTGTTGTATGTTGGTCTGTGCTACGATTGATCAAAATTGTGCGAAGCAATGCAATACCTTAATTGTTATATGCAGCTGTGCAGAACTAATTTGTCAAGTTTCAGCTGAGTGTCCACGTAAACGAGGCGCTGTATAAGCATGCCCTCGTCTGGTTGCTTCCTGGTTGTAGAAATGCTTCGCTTCCCTGTCAGCCATTTTCAGAAGCACATCTTGGAATGGAACTCCGTTGCACGCTTCTGGCTATGGCGGTCCCTGCTGCACTCGGGTCGGAAATCTGCAAGCTGTAGTGGTTCTGACGACTAGTAGCAGGCAGCTCGATCAGATGTATTATTGCCTTGAGCGCAGCCTGTAACGAGGGACGTAGTGGCGGAAACATCTTATGGAACGGATCGTTTTGGCGGGAATCGCTGGTGGCGGGCGGAGAGTGATCGGATTTTAGGGTTTCGATTCGCTGATACCAGGAAGGCTCGAAGCACAGGGATCGCCCGCGTTGTTGCGGCGCGGTCAGTCGCCCGCATCCCGTGCCGCACGCGAGCGAACGGCGTAGCGCTGTGTCTCTGCTGACGTTGCTTGACTCGGGCTGAGAAGTCTCGCTTAGTTACGTTTCAGGGCCTCGCTTCACCACACCGATTCGCGCCGATAACTCGCTGATTCCGTCGCTGAATCATCAGAGCCCCGTGTTCGTTATCGTCTCAATCCGCTGGGCCTCGTAATCACCATCGATCTCCGCCACGCGTCGCAATGGACGACTACGATGCTCTCGAGGATTTCGACTTCGAGCAGACGCTCGGCCCCGGCCCGCTTCCGCCGTCCGCGCCCGCCTTCAGCACCGCTGTCCCCGCCTCCGCGCCCGGCGCGGCGGCATCCGCGGAGCCGAGCGCCGGCCCGGGCGCAGCCGGCGGAGCGGGCGGCGGCAATTTCGGCGCGCGGGCCGATGGGTTCGGCGGGGGTTCGTCGCAGCACCCGCAACCCCCGTACCAGCAGCAGCAGCAACACCATCAATTCCCGCAAAGTCAGCAGCATCAGCAGCAACAACAGCAGCAGCAGCAGCAGCCGCCACATCAGCAGCAGGCACACGACATGGGAGGGGGGCACGGGGGAGGCCCGCCGCCTGCCGGTTTCCGGCGGAATTACCGGCAGACCGTTTGCCGGCACTGGCTGCGCGGGCTGTGCATGAAGGGCAACGACTGCGGGTTTCTGCATCAGTACGACAAGAGCCGCATGCCGGTTTGCCGGTACTTTGCGCGGTGGGGCGAGTGCAGGGAGCTTGACTGCGTGTACAAACACACCAACGAAGACGTCAAGGAGTGTAACATGTACGTTACGGTTTACTTGTTAAATGACGATCAATTGCGCCTGTTGTGAAGGTGCTTCAGTAAACTCAGCAGTATCCGTGATGATTTCGACGGTTGTGACTGTTGTCTTGCCTTTTCAGATCTCTGTATATATGTTGTGGTGCGCACCAGCTTAGGGTATCCGCGGGATTTAGGCCATATGTGTGTGCTCTCTGCTTCTGTTCAGACGAGGCAGGAGTTGGGATTGTTGCGATTGATTCTTTGTAACGTATGCATCTATTATTTGTTGTCAATATTCCTTCCTGGTAATAATAAAATCATTCCTTTTGCACCTCCTGTCCGTTTCAGCCAGAATCTTTTCAGACTGTTCTGCCCGTGCCTTTGGCGCACACATGGCTATTCAGTGCAAATGATTGCGTGCATTGAATCGTTAATATTCCTGCATTTCCTCTCGTGCATATCCTAATTCTGCTTGCGGTTTCCATTGCAAGCAAGTTGGCTTCCCCTTACAGGCCCTGCCTGTTCTACCCTGCTCATAGCCTCATCTTGCATGCGCCCTCAATTGCTTCTTGTTATATGCTCATTTGACCGAAATTGTGATCCAGTGTTCTGTGCTGTTAACAATATCCTTTACCATTCATCCCTGTCACCCATAGTCCACCCCCTCCCGCGCTCCCCCCTCCCCTTCCCCTTACCCGTCCCCCGCCCCAGGTACAAGCTTGGATTCTGCCCGAACGGCCCGGATTGCCGCTACAGACATTTAAAGCTGCCCGGCCCGCCCCCTCCTGTGGAGGCCCTAGCTGAAAAGTTTCAGCTGCAGCTGCAGCAGCGCCCGCCCTTCCACTTCGCGGGGGGGATGGGGGGCGGGGGAGGGGGCATGGGGGGAGGCATGGGCGGAGGCATGGGGGGAGGCATGGGAGGAGGCATGGGGGGAATGGGGATGGGGAATGGGGGGTCAATGGGCGGAGGCAACAAGCCTGTGCGGTTCTTTTCTGGACCTGGGGGGGTGGAGCAGCAGGGGGGCGGGGGGATGGGCGCACATGGCGGAGGGGGGATGGGGGTAGCGGGAGGCATGGGGGGAGGCATGGGGCAAGGCATGGGGCAAGGGGGAATGGGACCAGGGGGGAATATGGGGTCTGGGGGAGGAGCAGGTGGGGGTATGGGCGGAGGCGGGGGAGGGGGAATGGGGGGAGGAGGGGAGATGGGGCAAGGGGGGCACATGGGGCAAGCAGGCGGGGGAGCAGGGCCTGCTGGGGGGATGGGCGCAGGCGGAGGGGGGATGGGGCCAGGCGGAGGGGGAATGGGGCAAAGCGGAGGGGGAATGGGGCAAAGCGGAGGGGGAATGGGGGCGGGCGGAGGGGCAGGGGGTTCAGTTGTGAATCAGCAAGCGCAGCAAACAGGGCAGCAGCAGGGGCAGCAAGGGGGGCAGGGGGGGCAGGCGCAGCAGGGGGGACAGCAGCAGCAAGGGGGAGGAGGGATGCAAGGGGTGAGTAGAACCACGGGCGAAGGGGGAGCAGAGGGCGCACCCACAGCGGGAGGGGGAGGCGGAGGCGGAGGCGGAGGGGGAGGGGGAGGGGGAGGGGGAGATGTTGCCAATGGGGTGGGGAACGGAAGGGACGGGGCAGAATCAGGGGGTGGGATGGGCGGTATGGGGACTGCTGAAGGTGGTGCTGCTGCTGCTACTGGTGGGGGTGGTGGTGGTGATGGTGGTGGAGGAGGATTTGGGGGCGGAGGCGGGCCGGCGCACATGCTAAATCAGGCAAACGTTCCAAATCAGGCAAATGCTCCAAATCAGGGGCATATGCAGCAACAGCAAGGGATGGGGGGTCAATCAGGAGGAGGGATGGGGGGAGGGGGAGGGATGGGGGGAGGGATGGGGGGAGTGGGGATGGGCGGGGGAGCAGGAGGGATGCACGGGGAAGGGGGGATGATGATGGGGGATGCGTCAGCAGCAGGCATGGGAGCAGCAATGGCGCCATCTCCGCCCATGAGTCTCGCCATCCCGCCACCACCCGGCACAACCAGGTGCGTGTGTCGTTGCATGCGTGTGCTGGTGTGTGGTTGTGTTGTGTGTGTGTTAAGTGACAAATATGTCAGCTACTCAGCAGCAGGCGTTGCATCGATGGCGCCCTCTCCGCCCATGGGCCTCGCCATTTTCCCGCCACCGGGGGCAGAACCAGGTGTGTGTGTGGGAGCAGTGCACCCACTTGGGGGTGTTGTGATAAAAATATTGGTTTTGATATGTCTCACAACCAGGTGTGTGTGTGGGAGCAGTGCACCCACTTGGGGGTGTTGTGATAAAAATATTGGTTTTGATATGTCTCACAACCAGGTGTGTGTGTGGGAGCAGTGCACCCACTTGGGGGTGTTGTGATAAAAATATTGGTTTTGATATGTCTCACAACCAGGTGTGTGTGTGGGAGCAGTGCACCCACTTGGGGGTGTTGTGATAAAAATATTGGTTTTGATATGTCTCACAACCAGGTGTGTGTGTGGGAGCAGTGCACCCACTTGGGGGTGTTGTGATAAAAATATTGGTTTTGATATGTCTCACAACCAGGTGTGTGTGTGGGAGCAGTGCACCCACTTGGGGGTGTTGTGATAAAAATATTGGTTTTGATATGTCTCACAACCAGGTGTGTGTGTGGGAGCAGTGCACCCACTTGGGGGTGTTGTGATAAAAATACTGGTTTTGATATGTCTCACAACCAGGTGTGTGTGTGGGAGCAGTGCACCCACTTGGGGGTGTTGTGATAAAAATATTGGTTTTGATATGTCTCACAACCAGGTGTGTGTGTGGGAGCAGTGCACCCACTTGGGGGTGTTGTGATAAAAATATTGGTTTTGATATGTCTCACAACCAGGTGTGTGTGTGGGAGCAGTGCACCCACTTGGGGGTGTTGTGATAAAAATATTGGTTTTGATATGTCTCACAACCAGGTGTGTGTGTGGGAGGGGAGAGAGGGAGGGAACGCCCACCTTGGGGGTGCTTTCTTTGTCTCGGTGATGCTTTCTGCCTTGGTGGTTCTTAGACATGTTTTGCAATTTCCCCCCTTTCAGGTACTTCATAGTGAAGAGCAACAATGTGGAGAATCTAGAGCTGTCGGCGCAGAGGGGCATGTGGGCGACTGAACCAGTAGCCCCTCCAACAACCTCCCCCTTCCCCTCCCTCCCTCTCCACCCTCCTTCCCACCCCTACCCCTGCAGGTACTTCATAGTGAAGAGCAATAATCTGGAAAATCTGGAGCTGTCAGCACAGAGGGGTATGTGGGCGACGCACCGCAACAACGAGGGGAAGCTGAACGAGGCGTACGAGTCGTGTGACAGCGTTATTCTGATCTTCTCCGTGAATGAGACGAGGCACTTCCAGGTGAGAGGACAAAGCACAGCACAGGTGGCACTTGCAGGTGGGGAGGGCTAGGGGGTGCAGAGCTGGTTAAAGCTGAATGCGGAGTACGACGAGTAGTGTGACAACGTTTTCTTGGCCTTCTAGTGCTCACTCTCACCCCCCTCCACACTCCTCACCCTCACTCTCACCCCCCTCCACACTCCTCACCCTCACTCTCTCACTCCCCTACCCACACCCTCTTTTCCACACGTGCAGGGCTGTGTATTGATGATGTCGCGCATATGAGCGGTGGTGGGGGGAGGACCGTTGAAGATCGAGTATGTCGTCTCGCCTAGGGCCTATTCTCACTCCCCTTTCCACACTCCTCACTCTCCCTCCCCTCCCCACACTCTTTCTTCCATGCGTGCAGGGCTGTGCTCTAATGATGTCACGCATAGGGGCCGTGGTGGGGGGAGGGCCGTGGAAGTATGCTCAGAGGATGGGCAGCTATGGTCAAAACTTTCGTATCCGATGGCTTAAGGTGAGGGGGGGAGGGGAGAGGGGAGGGGAGGAGATTGAAGAGGGGAGAGTGTAATGGGGGTTACACTGAGTATGCTCAGCGGAGGCAACTATGGGTAGAACTTCCGCATTCGATGGGGTGAGGAGGGAGAGAGAGGGGAAATTGGGGTGCACTGAGTAAGCACAAAGGAGGCCACACGCCATCTGCGCAAACAGTGCAGCGACGATCAAATCTTGATAGGGCTGTTTCTCCATCCCCTGTTACTCCTCTGCTCTCTGCGTCATTTCCCCCACTTTCCCCTCCACGTACCAGCTCTGCGAGCTCTCGTTCAACAAGACACGCCACCTGCGCAACCAGTACAACGACAACCAGCCCGTGAAGATCAGCCGGGACTGCCAGGAGGTGGAGCCATCAGCAGGCGAGCAGCTGACTGCACTGCTGTACCGCGAGCCAGACGCTCCTTTGCTGGTATGCTGCTGGGCGCTCTCTGTCCCCTTTCTTCTGCCTCTTTTTTTACCCCTCCTCTCAGCCGTCCTCTGCCTCTCACCCGCCCTCTCACCCCTCAAAGTTACTCTTTTTTCGCCCTCCCCTCGCTCCCCCACTTCTCTCCCCCCCCCCACCCCAGGCCACGGCACGGGAAGCAGAGAAGAAGAGGCTGATGGAGCAGCAAGCTCAGGCAGTGCCTTGCTGGTATGCCTCTTGTTGTGTTGACGCCCTCTCTCTCCCCTTCTCCACCATTCGCCCTCTTCTCCCCCCCCCCTCCAGGCCACGGCACGGGAAGCAGAGAAGAAGAGGCTGATGGAGCAGCAAGCTCAGGCAGTGCCTTGCTGGTATGCCTCTTGTTGTGTTGACGCCCTCTCTCTCCCCTTCTCCACCATTCGCCCTCTTCTCCCCCCCCCCTCCAGGCCACGGCACGGGAAGCAGAGAAGAAGAGACTGATGGAGCAGCAAGCTCAGGCGCAGGGGCGGGGGGGCATGGGCGGAGGGATGGGCGGAGGGATGGGGGCAGGGATGGGCGGAGGGATGGGCGGAGGGATGGGCGGAGGGATGGGTGGGATGGGCGGAATGGGCATGCACATGGGCATGGGAATGGGAGGAATGGGGATGGGGGATATGGGGGGTATGGGTGGAATGGGGGGTATGGGCGGTATGGGTATGGGCATGAATATGGGTGGTGGGGCTGTTGGTATGGGTTCAAATGGGTATGGCATGGGCATGCATATGGGTGATGGTGGCGGTGGGGGAGGAAGTGGGGGTAATGGGGGTAATGGGGGAAATACAGGCACACGTCAGGCAGGGAACAAACGAGCGAGCCAGAAGAAAGAAGAGGAGGAGGAAGAGGAGGATTCAGATGATGACGACGATGATGAGGATGATTCTGATGATGAAGATGATGATTCTGATGAGGATGATGAGGAGAGCGAAGAGGAAAAGGAGGAGAAAGGAGGGAAGAGGAGTGGGGGTCAAGTAGGGACACAGGTGTCGAGAGGAAGAGAGGGAACCGGAACAGGAGGAGGAGGCGGAAGAGGAGGAGGAGGGCGAGGGGTGGGAGAGCTAGAAGGGACAAGTGGGGGAACCAGAGGAAAAGCGGGTGTGGGAGAAGGACAGCGAGCCATGAATTCTGGTGGTAACCCTGTGGGTGGTAACATTAAGAGCAATGATCCGAGGATTGCTAGGAACGCAGGTGCTTCTGGTGGCCGAGGTGCAACCTCGGGCGGAGGTTCGGGGCGAGGTTCGGCTAGAGCAGGTCCAAATGACCAGCGTCGGAGCTTTGGCTCAGGCCAAAGCAGCGGAGGAGTGGGAGGTGATGGTGAGAGGGGGATAGGAGTGAGAAAGAGGGTTATGGATGGAGAGGCGGAGGGAAGGGGAGGGGTGGAAGGGGAGAGGAGAGCAGGAGGGAGGAGTGAGAAGGGGAGTGTGGCAGAGAGAAGGGATCCGAGAATGAGAAGGGGGTAGAGTGGGAGTGAAGGGGTTACAGTGAGTTTGAAGGCCCAAGGATGCTTTGGTTTCCCTTCCGTAACTGTATAAGCAGCCTGCGTGTGCGCAAACTAGCAGCACTTGTTACGGTACTTATTGACCATAAATTGATCAAATGTTTTTGTCTCAGGAATTTCAGTACATGGCACAATATATGCCCATAGTACCATTTTCAGTAGTTTGTTGGAAATATTTTGACAGCTGACTTGAAAGCATCAATGTTCTAGATTTTGTAACATTAATACGGTACGATATTAACCATCACCTACACCTGCACAGTTTCCTCTTGCGAACTACCGTACCTTGTACACGTTGCTGAAGCAACTGTGGTAAGCATTGTACCATGTTATGAATCATGCAAAGTGACCTGCTCTGCTGGCATTCCTAGCTCCGCAAGGAAAGGCAATCAGAGTTTGCACAAGCTAGAACTTTATGATGCCCTACTGTTGTATGCCATTACCAGTGTCAGTTGATGGGCGTTATTGGAAGGTTGTCAAGAAACGTGATTTTTATGCACTAGCATAGCATGCACCGTAACAAGGGTGGCATGTTGTTCAAGCTCTGTTTGTAGCGGTTGTGCGCACGCAATCACTGTAACTAAATGGTGTGTTTCCACGAACAGGCCTGTAATTTGTGCGCTCCAAGGCACAAGCTCTGTGACTTCTGTGCCAGGGGCATAAGTCCTGTGATTTGTGTGTGCCTAAGCTTTGTGAGTAGTGTTTCAATGTATCCTGTTAGAATGCTTCGACCCAAAGGCTCTGTGATTAGTCTGCCACGAGGCACAAGTCCTGTGGTCGGCCCCATGATTAGCCTTGTGCTTAGACCTGTGGTCAGCCCTGTGATTAGCCTTGTGGTTAACCCTGTGATCAGCCCTGTGGTAAGCCCTGTAGTTAGCCCTGTAATTAGCCCTGTGGTTAGCCCCGTAGTTAGCCCTGTAGTTACGGTAGCCCTGTAGTTAGCCCTGTAGTTAGCCCTGTGGTTAGCCCTGTGGTTAGCCCTGTCGCTAGGCCCTGTGGTTGCTGAGGTGGGTGGGTCCCATGGGGAGGGAGGTCGCACGAGGAGGTGGGTTGCAGGGGGAGGCACGCGGAGGGGCAATTTGAGGCAGAGGGGGAGGGGGTCGGGAAGGGACAGGGGAAGAGAGGTGTGGGGGGGGTGCTACGCAGGGGGAGAGGGGGGGGGGGTACCATACCTGAGAGTGTTACTAATCTAGATAACCTTTCCTATCCTATCCGCTGCAGCTCTAGCATATGTGGTCTTCATCTTCTTCTTCATCTGTCTTGACTTCCAATTGGAGCTGCTTCGGCTGTACTGAAAGCAGACGAGAGGAGGAGACAATGAAACGATATGACATTGTAGAATCAGGTATGACATGAAACGATAGGTGTTGTCTCATTCGGGTACATGATAAAATATGAATCGACATGCTGTTTCTGGAGCTCAGTCTGTGCTTGGTTGTTTGATGCTCACCTTCACAGACACCGATCAGCTCGTCACCAGCTGGCCTCTCCCCGCAAGGAATCGCAATCCCCACCTCGCTCGTAAGATCCTGTCATGTCAGCAAAGCAACACAGCCAAACAGAAGCAGCGAGAGAGAGAGAAGCATGAGAAACTAAGCAGCACGAGAGAGAAGGGCACATGATTAATGAAGCAGCGAGAGAGAAGATTGAGCATGTGGAAGGGTAAGGAGAAGCTTGTGGTTCCATTCTGTTAACCAATCAGTCACAGCGAAATTGTTTTGCCGGGCACAGAGAGAAAATGGTATGAATGCAAAGGACTGTGAGTCATGGACAGGAAGTGTGGGGATGGAAGGGGTATTGGTGCGTCATGCAAGAGTGGTGCAGAAGAAAAAGGGTGGGTGCAGAAACTCACCATAAGTGAAGTCCTCAAAGCATGTGCTATTCTTGTGCACACTCGTGCTCCACTGCTGCTGCCAGAATGTAGCTCCACCCACTGATCAGACCTGAAAGAGGACACACGAGGGAAAAAGGCATGTGAACAAAGAGGAGAGGAAGAACCGAGAAATAAGGCATCTGAAGGTCAAAAAGGGAGAGGAGATGCAAGAGAGAGGCCGACAAAGAAAAGTTGGAGGCAGAGGAGAAGAGGGTTGAGTGAGCAGAAATACCATAAGGAGACGGCCCGATTGACTTGACCTCGTCTGTAGTCCATCCCATGCCACCATTGCCGTGCATGTTCGTCAGAGGGTATGAGAGGAGAGAAAGTGGTGTGAAGAAGCGGAGGGGAAGGAAGAAACGGAGGGGAAGGAAGCAAAAGTGGTCGGAGCATAGAGCTTCGAGGAGATGAGGGACGGCATGAGAGGAGCATCGATGACGTTCAAATAAGAAAGAGAGAGGGCTGGCTAGGCGAGGGGATCTGAGCATGCAACATGAGAATGCCACTTGACTGTTGCTCCCTCTGACAAGGGAGACTTAAGTGACGAGCAGTACTGAACTAAGCTCACCACATCGTGTCTTCCAATTGCGTTCCCTTCAGCGCCCCTTAGCTGTCTCACCTTGCTGTACTCGCCTAGTGGAAGGGAGACAGGTTCTGAAACAGTGACAAGGAGGAAAATTTGGAAAGAGAGAAGGTTGAAGGCGCATTCATACAAAGCTGACTGGACGGGGGGGATATAAGTGAAAGAGAGACAGGAAAAGGAAGCACATGGGGAGATAAACAGAAAGAAAGATGAAACCGTAGTGGAGAGGAAAGGCCAGACAGAGGGAGATCTCACCAGACAGGTAAGGCCAGACAGAGGGAGCTTCATCAGCCAGTGTTGCATGACCAGCACCATCAGCAGCACTGCCAGCACTATCAGCACCAGCAGTAGCATCACCAGCAGCACTCGCACCTTCCTAAACCCATTGCATTCTTGCTGTTGAGAAAAAAGAACGGGAAGCGCAGAGGGACAGGTGAAAGAGGCAGAGAAAGGGAGTGAGTTAGAGAATGAAAGGCAAAATTCGCCAACAGCAGATTTATCTGGACAAAAGCATGAGTGAGAAACGAGAGAGCAAACTGTCGAGTGGAGCTTCGCTCGTGAAGTGTAAGGTTGGGAAGCTATCACCTGGGGAAGCAGCTGGAGGAGGAACGAGGGGCGGAGGGAGGAGGGCAGCAGGCGCGTGGAGAAGATGGGTGCACTTGCAGCAGCACCCCTCGCAGCAACACCCCTCTCAGAAGTTGGGTGGAGAAGATGGGTCCAAGGCGCTGCTCCTCCCGTCTTGGACCCAAAGGATGCACTTGCAGCAGCACCCTCGAAGCAACACCCCTCTCAGCAGTACTTTTTTCCAGAGGCTGCCTCTGCCGCCCCTTGCTGCTCGCACTCCCTTGGCCTGGAACAAGCGATAGAGTTGAGGATAGGGATAGGGACATGGACACGGGATGCACGAAGTAAGTCCAAGGACGGAAAGCAGCAGTGGAAAAGGATTTGCAAGCGACAAATGAACAAGGCAGGGAAAACTGGAGAACAAAAATACAGAGAAGAGAAAACAATTTTGCAGAATGCAGTAAAAACAGAGAGGCGATGGTAGCACACAGCACTAGGGCAGCGAGCTAGCAGGCAATTGGGACGACGGACGCGGGCATGTGTATGAATGCATTCTACTCTATCCCTCTAGGACTCTAGTATGAGAGCAAGCCGCCCCAGTGCCATGCGCTACCATCGCCAAATCGCCGCTCATCTCTCACTCAACGTTTGACGCTCGTCTCACGTCTCTCATTTCGTATTTTCAAACATGCAGTGAGGAAAAGACGCTGAACAAATCATGGCAGTAATAAACACGAAGCAGAAGAGTTAAGGATGGCTAGGGCAGGGAACTTAGCGGTATGGGGGTGCTTGCAGGACAGTGGCATCAGGCTTCCAGGAGGCTCGCACACCGCTGTGACTGCCTGCCGTGCGTCATCCCACCGCCCTCCCTTTCCGCACCACGCTGCCATAGCACTGGACGAGAGGGGTGGAACAAAGGAGGGCAAGAGGAGCAAGCGGGGGAAAGGAAGCCAAGTAGTCAATAGAAGCAAGAAAGTATAGAAACGCAAGCAAGGAGGCAGAGATAACAAGAACGAATGAGTAACGGAAACAAAAGCATAAGATAGAAAGCATGTGGCATGGTGACACAGTGAAAGGGGAGGCGATGGTAGCACACAGCACTAGGGCAGCGAGCTAGCAGGCAATTGGGACGACGGACGCGGGCATGTGTATGAATGCATTCTACTCTATCCCTCTAGGACTCTAGTATGAGCGCAAGCCGCCCCAGTGCCATGCGCTACCATCGCCAAATCGCCGCTCATCTCTCACTCAACGTTTGACGCTCGTCTCACGTCTCTCATTTCGTATTTTCAAACATGCAGTGAGGAAAAGACGCTGAACAAATCAGGGCAGTAATAAACACGAAGCAGAAGCGGCACGGATGGCTAGGGCAGAGGACTTAGCCGTATGGGGGTGCTTGCAGGACAGTGGCGTCAGGCTTCCAGGAGGCTAGCACACCGCTGTGACTGCCCGCCGTGCGTCATCCCACCGCCCTCCCTTTCCGCACCACGCTGCCATAGCACTGGACGAGAGGGGTGGAGCAAAGGAGGGCAAGAGGAGCGAGTGGGGGAAAGGAAGCCAAGTAGTCAGTAGAAGCAAGAAAGTATAGAAACGCATGCAAGGAGGCAGAGATAACAAGAACGAATGAGTAACGGAAACAAAAGCATAAGATAGAAAGCATGTGGCACGGTGACGTAGTGAAAGGGGAGGCGATGGTAGCACACAGCACTAGGGCAGCGAGCTAGCAGGCGGGGACGACGGACGCGGGCATGTGTATGAATGCATTCTACTCTATCCCCCTACGACTCTAGTATGAGCGCAAGCCGCCCCAGTGCCATGCGCTACCATCGCCAAATCGCCACTCATCTCTCACTCAACTTTTTTTTCGAAGCATGCTGGAGGGAAAAACGTGTACCAGATGTGGGCAATGATATACACGAAGCAGAAGCGGCAAGGATGGCAAGAGCGAAGGAAGAGGGAACTTAGCTGTAACGGGGTGCTCGCAGGCGACAGAAACAGCGAGACAGCGGTGCAGCAGCAGAATGCACTCTTCCCACTTTGGCGTGATTTCGACCGCCCTCGCATTAGCCTCTGTTACGGCCAGCGTTTAAATCGCCGCCGTGAAAAATCATCACCATCTCGACAATCAGCGTCGGCAAGCGTCGCGTCCGTCGCCGCCGGAAGAAGTCACAATCTTGACGGTCAGCGTCGGCCAGCGCACATCGTCACCGTGCGAAATCACCATCTCGATAGTCAGCGTCGGCAAGCGTCCCGTCAGGCGTCTTCGTAAGAATTCGCCATCTCGACAGTCAGCGTCGGCCAGCGTTGAAATCGTCACCGCGAGAAATCATCACCAATAGTCAGCGTCGCCAAGCGTCGCGTCAGTCGTCGCCGTACGAATTCGTAGTCCTGATCAATCCTTATCTTCACCGCAGGAAACGTCTCAGCCGCCAACAATTGGGAAGCGTCGATTCGATAGTCACTTTGAAATAGTCGCCTTAATCGTCACCGTGGGAAATCGCAATCCTTCAACGTCGGAACGTTGGTCCAATCGCCACCATTGAAAATCGTCACCGACGGAAAACGTCACTTTCATTGCCACCGACGGAAAACGTCACTTCACCATTGAAAATCGTCACCGTCAGAAATCGTCGGTTCGGTCGTTACCGTCAATAATCTAGATCGTCACCGTCAGAAGCAGCCGTCGCTGACCGTCTCAACCATCACCATTGGAAAAATCCGCGATGTTCGTCACCGTCAGGAAACATCTTCTCATTCACCGCCGTTAGATGCCGATGACTAGCTACTCCGAGTCGAAGTCCGAAGTACGCATCGCTAACCCCGTATAATCATTCAGCGCTGTCTTCGCCGTGTGAATCAGCTGTCGCCAGCAGCCTCCGTCATCACCAAATCGAAACTTTCTCGCTGCTGGAGAGCGGCGACGCCTCGTGACTAGAAGGAGCGTATGGAGATCGGAAGACTATGTTCCGCGCTCGACGGACGTCTAGAATACTTCTACCAAGTTGTTCTGGAAACTGGAGCAGAAATCAGAACTGCAGTCAAGAGAGATTGCTAGATGACGGAGATGAAACTGCTCTGAATGACTACAGCTTCTAAGCTTCAAATGTCTCTGTCCGACTAGATCAGGCGTAACACTTAAAGGGTTTGCAATGATCAGTGATCTCCGGCTTAACGACCTCGTGATAAGAAAAAATAAAGATTAAGAAGACTAATACTACGATCGAGAGCCATTAATGGTTCGTAACAAGCTGGCGACAGCCATGGACTTCAGCGTAGTGAGCTATCTCAAGGAATCTTGGAAAGAAAGACGTTCAGGGAAGTTGGAGAATGCAGTTAGGAAAAAAGGTGATCACGAGTGAAAAGGGCCAGGTTCAGAGGTGAACTTAAGGAGATTTAGATGGATCGAGAGTGGTGAGGAAGGATTCGCAGAAACTGAGTATCCATTACCATTTCCCCTGCCAGGGGCAAGCCGCCGTATGGTCAGCGGACTGCCTTCGTGATAGCGCTGACGACGGGGATAGCAATTTCGTTTGCGAGAAGATCCTCGGAATCTCCGCACCACGGCGCGCTCCGCCATTTGAGCGGGAATCGAGTGTCAGAAGCACATGCTTGTGACACAACGGCATGATGTGATGCTCCATGGCAACATCTGTGTGATGTGATGGTTGTCGTCGATCTTCATGCTTCTCCCGTTTCTGGGTACACCAGATTGATCGAACGGCCAAGCGCAACTATTATTTGTAATGAGACGTGTCGCTCTGACACACAAACATCATCTGCCGAAGCATGGTTGTATCGAAACTATGGCAACCCGTAATACCATTTATCCCTCAATCACCTTCACCTGATCGATCCTATTCAGATGAACGATACAGAATGCATTCCAGAAAAGCTTTAGCTCCCAAGTTTCACATACTTTACATACGATTGGCAACCTAATGGGTGATGCGATGCTCCTTCAAAGGTGGATGCGTTATTTTACCCCCTGGTATGCACAAGAACGGCGTTACCACTGTGGGGGAACAGAACTCGCGCTTTGCAAGACAACCTAGGCAAGAAACGGTAGGCAACATTACAAATCTTGCGCGACATGATTTTCCCAAGCCGGGAGACCCAACATGTTCCACCATGTTTTTTTCCTCAACCTTTGTTTGTACGATCCTGTTCCACATTCCATGTCATCCTCCATTCCTCTCCCATCACTGCTACTACAACTACCCATTAGCTTGTTCCAAGACTTCACAGCCAACGTGCACGACTGGGTACCTCTGGCTTTGGTTCCCATCAGATCTTCCATTCTGACTAGCATATGGCGCTCACAAGGTTCCCCTTCTGCACATCAACCTCACTGTTGAACACAAATCATTACAATATGTTCCATAGATTAGGTACCACATCAGTCACTCAGTAACCAAGCTCTTCCGGAGTGTAATTTAGCAGGGTCTGCAGCGCGCTGGGTGCAATCTTCCTAAGAACAAGGAAGCAGGAGTTCTGGTGGCCGCCCCAGGAGCACTTGGAGTCCCACTTGACCGACGTGAGGAAGCGCGGGGTGAGCTGCTCCCGTGTGTACTCCACAGGGTGCGGCCCCCCTGACCACATCGCCCATGTGGGTCCTCTTCTCGCCACGTGCTCTGGGTCGCGGATCTTGAAGGGAAAACAGAGGAAGATATGGGGGAAAGGAAGGGAGGAGAGAGAGCGAGGGAGGGATGAGTGGGGAAAGGGATAGAGGCATAGTGTAAATCATGAGTAGGGAAGGAGTGGGGAGACAGTGGTGGTGAGGGGAAAGAATGGTGAGGGAATCTGCGAGTACCTTGAGTAATGTTTGAAAATAATGCTCATCCAAATAGCAGTGCCGGTGCCAGTTGTCACCCTGCAATCGAGAAAGAAATGGTATGTGGGGACACACGGAGAGAAGAAGGCAGGAAAGACAAACACCAGGGATTGTCACCGAGTTAGTGACAAGAGATAAATAGTTGAACAGACAGGACTGCATCTATGGCTGCTCACTTATGAAACACCTCCATAGCCTCGCATCAACAAGCAAGCCACCCGACTCCCCTGTGCTCACCTTGCACCATCTGGCGAGGGTGGGGTAGATGGTTGTGTCCGTGGCAGCAAGGAAGGCATGGTGCCATGTCAGCGCCCACCACTGCTCAGGATAGGACGGGCAGAGCAACAGTGAAGAGTTACATGAAAGGATGGAAGAAATCGAAGGTCATCTTAGTACCCTTGGACCGCAGACGCCTTTGAATATGACTTGACTCATGGGAGTTATTTGAAGTGAATGGAGTATACCTGAGAGCCCTTGGTCCACTGGTTCCTTTGCACGTGCGGCTGCATGCGACTGCTGTAGTGCCCCATGCAGTTCCAATCGTTGTTGCACGCACTGCATTGGGGCGAGGAAGGGGCGTGGGGTGAGGGGAGACACTGAGGGTGGAGACAACGGGAGAGGTAATTAAAATAGTTGGACTAGTCGAAAGAAGAAGGGTTGGAAAGGGGAAGTCCTAGAATGGTTGTGCATTCAGGCATTGAAGTGCATGAACGCGTTGCTTCACCCACCTGTGCAGCAGGCTCTGGTTTTCCGCCATCAAGTAGCGATATGTGAAGGGGAAGTCGTGCAGAGGCATGCATCTGTTGGGGGGGATGGGGCGTAAAGAGGGGGGTGAGGGGTGGGTGCCGAGGCATGCACTTGTCGGGGGAATGAGGTGTGGAGGGGAAGGAGGGTGATGGGTAGGCGAAGTGGACGCAGCGTAGGGTCATGCATTTGTTTTCGCTGATAAGGCGAGACGGACACCCAAACCACGAGGCGGCAGTCTGAGATACAGCAATTAACAATGAGCCTTCCTACCCACCCACCCACACACCCACCCACACACCCACCCACACACCCACCCACACACGCACCCACACACGCACCCACACACGCACCCACCACGCGCCCACATCGAATCCCATCCAACCCCACAACGCACGACTCAGAGACAATGATGAACCCTGACTCATGTTTCGAAGGGCTGCAGTAGTAGAGAGGACGCTTAAGCAAAGGAACAACAGTAAAAACTCGTGAAAAAAAACGTGGTGGGGGTGATGCCTGGTGGGGGTGATGCCTGGTGGGGGCGATGCCTGGTGGGGGTGATGCCATCCCATCCCACCACATCGCATCCCATCCAACCCCACGACGCACGACTCAGAGACAATGATGAATTGCTTGTTGGCCGGGTCCAGCAACCCACCCACTCACCAACCCATGCACCCATGCTCCCACGCACCCATCCCCTTTCCCCCCCCTCCCCTCTCACGCACGACTCAGAGACAATGATGAATCGCTTGTTGGCCGGGTCCAGCAGGGCGTTCGCCAGGAGGCAACACACCCCCAACCCATCCCATCCCATCCGACCCACCCATTCATTCACTTCATCCCTCCTATCCCATCCCCTCACGTACGACTCAGAGACGATGAGGAATCTCTTGTTGGCCGGGTCCAGCAATGCGTTCGCCAGGAGGCGTCGCTCTGCCGCCACCATGGAGGGGTCGCCCCACTGCACCTTCTCGCTGGGGATCTCCCGCGCGTAGAACACAGGCGACGAGTCCAAGGGATACTGGAACCCCGGCGCTGCATGCACGTAGATTGAGTACCGCCGCTCGTGGCCCTGAGGGGGGAAATAAGGGGTAGATGGAGCAGCGGCGCGACAGCCGAGGTGTAGGGGATGTTGAGGCAGGCGCAGATGGTGGAAAAGAGGGGGGGCGAGAGTGTGTGGTGGCAGTGACAGTAGGGTTTGCAGGTCGCACCGAAGGTAAGACAATGGGCCATAATGGGGGGTGCGAAGGTAACCTCGGATCATGCAGCAGCATGGGATCTCACCCGAAGGTACCTCTCCCATAGTATACTTAGAGGCATGGGCCCTCTCATTTGCAAAAAGAACTCTGCTTTCACACACTTGCAGCAGCAAGGAAGCTCACCCGTAGGTACCTCTCCCATAGTCTACTAAGAGGCATGGGTCCACGTGTCAGGAATAGGAACGCGACGCGGTCCTCCTCCCCCTGACCGCTCCCCTTGGGTTGTCCCTCGGGGTACAGCCTCCGCACCCTATCAAACAACGCCACGTCAGCGGCGGATAAGACCGGCTCGTCCATGCTTCCGGGCGGTGGGCCTTGTCTTATCTCCTCGTCGGAGCATCTGTGTCCGGTAAGGTTGACGCAGGGAGACTCGTCCTTGGCTAGTAGGCGGAGGTACGCTGGTGTGGGATCGGTCGGAGATCCCGCGAGAGACGGAGGGATGGAGAAGGAGGAAGAGGAGGAAGAGGAGGAAGAAGAGGAGGAAGTGTTTTCAGGTAACGCTTCGTGTGATGTGGATGAGTCTGTGCGTGGGAGTGTCGTCGAGAGGCCATAGCTGTCACGGGTTTCGCTAGCGGATTCTGAACTCCCGAGGCTTCGCAGATGCTTTCGCAGCGGCGGCGAAAGCAGCACGGTAACCGCGAGAAACGCTGATATTCCTAACGCGACGGGGAGGATGCTACGTTTCGTGCTACGGCCCTTGGGATTCGCGCGCCTTGGAACACTGCTGGCGGAACCGGCGCTCCCCGTTAAAACCCCTCCTTTAGCGGCGACAATCGGCATCTCTTATTGACTCTGAGTTAGCTCACGAACATTCACGAGATCGAGGGAGTTTTAAACTGACCATCGAGGATTAAGGCGCTAATCTCTTATGAGGACTGAAGATCGAGACGACGCAGAAGCTCCTTGGAGCACGACGGCAGCGATCTGACTGCACGTCTGCAACAGCGTCACCTTTTCTAAACTCGGGCTGCAGCCGTTTTGACATGGAATGCTGCGCACATTCTGAAGAGTTGGTGTTTCGCTTTTCGGAGTGCCTTTAGATTCTCGAACAATCTTCACGCAGCGAATCCGGATTGGGCAAATGATGGACGGAATCTGACATGTCTGGGTCAGCCTAGCGCCGCAAAACCGGCCATTTTCAGGTGCATGCAACTTATTCAAGGCGCGATATTCAGGTGCATGCCAGGTTGCGTGCACTTTTCTCAGGTTACACTATGTCACTTGTAATTAAAACGTTGTTCAAGATTCGATTAAATTTGGCACAAAAGGTCTGAAATAGATGCAATTTCGGGCTACGCAAATCGGGATCGGATGGTAACGAACGATATATCCTTAATAGCCGTAGGGGTAACTCCCTCTAACACTCGGGCATATTTCTCGTGTTTCGGATTACCCTTTCCAAAGAATGCACGTCCCGCTAGGGTTTGCTGGTTTGACCCGCGAAGCGTCCGCCACCTGCGCCAAGAGTACAAACGATTTACCATTACAATTCGTTCGAAAAGAGTTGGTGCGAAGCAAAGATTTGCGTAGAAATTGGGCAGAAATGCAATCATCGCCCTGAGTGACGTCAGAAAATGCAGCATCGAGTCGAGAGCCAACCATTCCGACCCCGATTTGCGTAGCCCGAAATCGGATCTATTTCAGACATTTTGTGCCAAATTTAATCGAGCCTTGAACAGCGTGTCAAGTTACAAGAGCCATAGTTTAACCTGAGAACAGTGTACGCAACCTGGCATGCACCTGAATAAAGCGCCTTGACTGATTTGCATGCACCTGAAAATGGCCGCCGCAAAACAGAACCTGTCAGAGTGTCAGAGACTTTCATGTGCTCACAGTTTTCAATATTCAAACAAGTATCTGTGCTAGAATTGGACTACAATAAGTCTGTACAATTTCGAATCGACTCGGGCCAGAAACGCGGATCTGCTGCACCGCCTTGGGATCTCCAAACTCTTCTGGTGAGGTGAAGCGTGTAGGTGAAGCTCCCATCCCCTTCACTGAAACCGCCATTTTCCGCCATTTCTGTTTCTACCACTCACCATGATCTGAGATGCTCCATTCCAGAGCCACATCAGCCGTTCGTCCCGGGAAGCTCCTTTCCCGTTACCTCTGTTATTATCGATCGCCATCGCAGGAGGTATCCTCTGAGTTCGCGACGACCTCCGTAACCCCCTGCTGCGAGCGAGTGAATCTAGAAAGCGTCGATACCGGAAGCCTCTATCTTGGAAGACTTGCGATGCTTCAATTTAGCATACCGTCCGACGCCGCGCTCGCTTGCCGGCCGTTGCGCAGCCTACACAGCACACCCGCCGCCGTCTCCAACCGTAACGACGGACGAGGATGCGACGTGGCGATCTTACATCAATCCCAGCCTCGCTCATTTGCCACGTCAGCCACTCCAACCTCACTCCTACCTTCAAACCGTAGGCATTCCCGTCGTCTCCTCCCAGCGCTTCCGTCCTCCGTCGTAGCCGTTCCGCTCCCAGTCTCAGGCTTGTCACCGTCATCCATACTTCGAGCTCCCACCGCCTCACTCACTGGCCTGTCCACGTCTGGCCGGAGTCTCTTTACCTCGGGATTGCCTTCCTTGTCGAAATCCCGCCGAGATGAGCGGAAGCTGGGGATCGCGCCAGGTGGGGAAGCGTGGCGGGTGCATGCGCAGGGTATAGTGGGGAATGCGGGGACGAGTGTAGCGGAGGTGGTCGAGGCGGAGGCGGAGGCGGAGGGGAGAGAAGGGGTTGGCGGAGCTGGAGAGGAGAAGGCGGAGAAGCTTCAGTATGTGCCACTGCACACGCATAGTGACTTCAGCCTTCTAGACGGAGCCAGCCAGGTGGGAGGCTTTTACAACGAGTACAACGATTAAAGAAAGTATAACGCTCGATTATATCCTCATGTTGCGTCCGTATGTCCTTACGTACCCTCCATGCCATGGCAGCTGAAGGGATTGGTGGCACGGGCCAAGGAGCTTAACATGCCTGGCATTGCGCTCACTGACCATGGTGGTAAGTCTGCTGTGAGTCCCATCCCATGCACAAATTGCGAAAGAATTTCCTTCTGGCAGTCTGATTCACCCAGACCATGGCACGGTATGTTACACACACCCCATCCCTCTCTTTCCTCTCGCAATTCTTCCTCCCTCCACTGCATTCTTCCTTCTTTCCTTGTTTCATGCCTGTTTCTTTCGTCTGACCGACGTTTAATGGTAGGCGACTCGATTGCTGTCTGCTAAGCGCCTTACCCACCCATCTCGCCCATCACACTTCTCCGCCTTCATTGTACCCCACACGCTCCCCGTCTTCTGCTCTCTCCCCCCCGCCCCCCCCCCCCCCCCCTCTCCTTTTCTTTCCCCCCCACCCCAGTGATGTATGGCGCCCTCCAGCTGGTGCGCATGTGCGAGGCGGAGGGCTTAAAGCCCGTGATCGGCAACGAGATGTACCTCGTGCATGACGAGGGCGCTCCCGCCGCCCTGCTGCAGGCTGTGCGGGCACTCAGGGAGGAGAAGGAGCAGGGAGAACGGGGGGAACAGGGGGAGCAGGGGGAGCAGGGGGATCAGGGGGTGATGCGGGAGGAGAGCGGGACGGGAAGTGGGATGGGAGCAGTGGAGGGGGAGGGGGGTGTGGGAGGTGGAGGACAGGTGGTGTTGGAAAGAGAAACGGAGGCTGGTGGTGCTGTTAAGGGGAGTGGTAATGGAGAGGGGGAAGTGGGGCGAGTGGCTGTGGGGGAGGTGGCAGAAGGCCTGGCTGGGGAGGAACAGGCAGGAGAGGCGGAGGCAGTTGGGGCAGGCAAGGCGGTCAAAGCACCCCCAGTCAAAAGGTGAGTGCATGAGAGGCAGACTGGTTGGCAGGAAAGAAGAGAAAGGGAAGTTTGTGACTTATGAAAGTTCTTCTTATTCATGCCCGTGCCTTCCCCGTGCATGCTGATGTATTCCCCACCGAACCCACAGGTACCACCTGACTGTTCTAGCCAAGGACATGGAGGGGTACCGCAACCTGGTGCAGCTCACGTCGCTCATACGCCCGCAGTGCTTCCCCCATACATCCACCCCCCACTCCACAGATACCACCTGACTGTTCTAGCCAAGGACATGGAGGGGTACCGTAACCTGGTGCAGCTCACATCGATCTCGCACCTGCATGGCATGGTGGTGAGTCTGTAGCGCATGCTTGCTGTGAGAAGGAGTCATGGAGTGGAAGTGGGGAGCACCCAGGCCTTAGGCCTGACTCCCGTTCTCAGCTGTTCTGCCGTTTCAAGTTGTACCGAAATGCACAGTGAGATGAGATGTGCGCAGTGGCCTGTTTGGTGTCATGGAATTTTCTTACAATCGCTTGCCGTGGTGACAGTTGAGGCTTGAGTGTGAAATTCCATCCGGTGTTTTTGTGCCTATGATGTTTGTTCCACGTCATGGCAGGGCAACGGGGCAAGAGGGCGTCCGTGCATCACAAGGTGGGTGCGCATGCATTGCATGTGGCATGAATTATCAGACTGTTGAGGACCTTGCACGTTCACCTTTGCAAGGGTTTAGGTTGCGTACCCTCCTGCGTCTGGCAGGGCTGTTTGGCAGGGCTTTAGCTGAGTGGCCTCCTGTCTGCCCCGCACCACCTCCTCCCCCATTCCGTTGCTGTTACAGGGAGCTGTTGGCACATCACAGGAAGGGGCTCATCGTGCTGAGTGGATGCATGTCAGGGGAGGTATGCTGATGGCTTGAAGCAGCCGAATGCTGCTATTTGCACATCATATTCGAGACATGCATACATGGATGTCATGTCACAGATGTCACATGCATCATGCATTGGCCTTGCGGTATACTGTATCTCCTCTTCTATTTCCACTTTCCCAGTTATCCATACGCTGATTGAATTCACTCATCATTCGTTTCATGTCATCTCTCCCTCCTCCCCTCCTCCTCTGCGTGTGTGTGAGTGCAGGTGCCTCGTGCCATCATGGCGGATCGCATGGACGAGGCTCGGAGCACAGTTGACTGGTGAGTTTTCCGCGCATCTGATGCATGCATCATACCCCCACCGCCCTTCTCCTCTGCGTGTGCGTGAGCGCCAGGTGCCGCGTGCCATCATGGCGGATCGCAGCACAGTTGACTGGTGAGCCCATCCCTCGCAGCACAGTTGACTGGTGAGCCCATCCCTCGCAGCACAGTTGACTGGTGAGCCCATCCCTCGCAGCACAGTTGACTGGTGAGCCCATCCCTCGCAGCACAGTTGACTGGTGAGCCCATCCCTCGCAGCACAGTTGACTGGTGAGCCCATCCCTCGCAGCACAGTTGACTGGTGAGCCCATCCCTCGCAGCACAGTTGACTGGTGAGCCCATCCCTCGCAGCACAGTTGACTGGTGAGCCCATCCCTCGCAGCACAGTTGACTGGTGAGCCCATCCCTCGCAGCACAGTTGACTGGTGAGCCCATCCCTCGCAGCACAGTTGACTGGTGAGCCCATCCCTCGCAGCACAGTTGACTGGTGAGCCCATCCCTCGCAGCACAGTTGACTGGTGAGCCCATCCCTCGCAGCACAGTTGACTGGTGAGCCCATCCCTCGCAGCACAGTTGACTGGTGAGCCCATCCCTCGCAGCACAGTTGACTGGTGAGCCCATCCCTCGCAGCACAGTTGACTGGTGAGCCCATCCCTCGCAGCACAGTTGACTGGTGAGCCCATCCCTCGCAGCACAGTTGACTGGTGAGCCCATCCCTCGCAGCACAGTTGACTGGTGAGCCCATCCCTCGCAGCACAGTTGACTGGTGAGCCCATCCCTCGCAGCACAGTTGACTGGTGAGCCCATCCCTCGCAGCACAGTTGACTGGTGAGCCCATCCCTCGCAGCACAGTTGACTGGTGAGCCCATCCCTCGCAGCACAGTTGACTGGTGAGCCCATCCCTCGCAGCACAGTTGACTGGTGAGCCCATCCCTCGCAGCACAGTTGACTGGTGAGCCCATCCCTCGCAGCACAGTTGACTGGTGAGCCCATCCCTCGCAGCACAGTTGACTGGTGAGCCCATCCCTCGCAGCACAGTTGACTGGTGAGCCCATCCCTCGCAGCACAGTTGACTGGTGAGCCCATCCCTCGCAGCACAGTTGACTGGTGAGCCCATCCCTCGCAGCACAGTTGACTGGTGAGCCCATCCCTCGCAGCACAGTTGACTGGTGAGCCCATCCCTCGCAGCACAGTTGACTGGTGAGCCCATCCCTCGCAGCACAGTTGACTGGTGAGCCCATCCCTCGCAGCACAGTTGACTGGTGAGCCCATCCCTCGCAGCACAGTTGACTGGTGAGCCCATCCCTCGCAGCACAGTTGACTGGTGAGCCCATCCCTCGCAGCACAGTTGACTGGTGAGCCCATCCCTCGCAGCACAGTTGACTGGTGAGCCCATCCCTCGCAGCACAGTTGACTGGTGAGCCCATCCCTCGCAGCACAGTTGACTGGTGAGCCCATCCCTCGCAGCACAGTTGACTGGTGAGCCCATCCCTCGCAGCACAGTTGACTGGTGAGCCCATCCCTCGCAGCACAGTTGACTGGTGAGCCCATCCCTCGCAGCACAGTTGACTGGTGAGCCCATCCCTCGCAGCACAGTTGACTGGTGAGCCCATCCCTCGCAGCACAGTTGACTGGTGAGCCCATCCCTCGCAGCACAGTTGACTGGTGAGCCCATCCCTCGCAGCACAGTTGACTGGTGAGCCCATCCCTCGCAGCACAGTTGACTGGTGAGCCCATCCCTCGCAGCACAGTTGACTGGTGAGCCCATCCCTCGCAGCACAGTTGACTGGTGAGCCCATCCCTCGCAGCACAGTTGACTGGTGAGCCCATCCCTCGCAGCACAGTTGACTGGTGAGCCCATCCCTCGCAGCACAGTTGACTGGTGAGCCCATCCCTCGCAGCACAGTTGACTGGTGAGCCCATCCCTCGCAGCACAGTTGACTGGTGAGCCCATCCCTCGCAGCACAGTTGACTGGTGAGCCCATCCCTCGCAGCACAGTTGACTGGTGAGCCCATCCCTCGCAGCACAGTTGACTGGTGAGCCCATCCCTCGCAGCACAGTTGACTGGTGAGCCCATCCCTCGCAGCACAGTTGACTGGTGAGCCCATCCCTCGCAGCACAGTTGACTGGTGAGCCCATCCCTCGCAGCACAGTTGACTGGTGAGCCCATCCCTCGCAGCACAGTTGACTGGTGAGCCCATCCCTCGCAGCACAGTTGACTGGTGAGCCCATCCCTCGCAGCACAGTTGACTGGTGAGCCCATCCCTCGCAGCACAGTTGACTGGTGAGCCCATCCCTCGCAGCACAGTTGACTGGTGAGCCCATCCCTCGCAGCACAGTTGACTGGTGAGCCCATCCCTCGCAGCACAGTTGACTGGTGAGCCCATCCCTCGCAGCACAGTTGACTGGTGAGCCCATCCCTCGCAGCACAGTTGACTGGTGAGCCCATCCCTCGCAGCACAGTTGACTGGTGAGCCCATCCCTCGCAGCACAGTTGACTGGTGAGCCCATCCCTCGCAGCACAGTTGACTGGTGAGCCCATCCCTCGCAGCACAGTTGACTGGTGAGCCCATCCCTCGCAGCACAGTTGACTGGTGAGCCCATCCCTCGCAGCACAGTTGACTGGTGAGCCCATCCCTCGCAGCACAGTTGACTGGTGAGCCCATCCCTCGCAGCACAGTTGACTGGTGAGCCCATCCCTCGCAGCACAGTTGACTGGTGAGCCCATCCCTCGCAGCACAGTTGACTGGTGAGCCCATCCCTCGCAGCACAGTTGACTGGTGAGCCCATCCCTCGCAGCACAGTTGACTGGTGAGCCCATCCCTCGCAGCACAGTTGACTGGTGAGCCCATCCCTCGCAGCACAGTTGACTGGTGAGCCCATCCCTCGCAGCACAGTTGACTGGTGAGCCCATCCCTCGCAGCACAGTTGACTGGTGAGCCCATCCCTCGCAGCACAGTTGACTGGTGAGCCCATCCCTCGCAGCACAGTTGACTGGTGAGCCCATCCCTCGCAGCACAGTTGACTGGTGAGCCCATCCCTCGCAGCACAGTTGACTGGTGAGCCCATCCCTCGCAGCACAGTTGACTGGTGAGCCCATCCCTCGCAGCACAGTTGACTGGTGAGCCCATCCCTCGCAGCACAGTTGACTGGTGAGCCCATCCCTCGCAGCACAGTTGACTGGTGAGCCCATCCCTCGCAGCACAGTTGACTGGTGAGCCCATCCCTCGCAGCACAGTTGACTGGTGAGCCCATCCCTCGCAGCACAGTTGACTGGTGAGCCCATCCCTCGCAGCACAGTTGACTGGTGAGCCCATCCCTCGCAGCACAGTTGACTGGTGAGCCCATCCCTCGCAGCACAGTTGACTGGTGAGCCCATCCCTCGCAGCACAGTTGACTGGTGAGCCCATCCCTCGCAGCACAGTTGACTGGTGAGCCCATCCCTCGCAGCACAGTTGACTGGTGAGCCCATCCCTCGCAGCACAGTTGACTGGTGAGCCCATCCCTCGCAGCACAGTTGACTGGTGAGCCCATCCCTCGCAGCACAGTTGACTGGTGAGCCCATCCCTCGCAGCACAGTTGACTGGTGAGCCCATCCCTCGCAGCACAGTTGACTGGTGAGCCCATCCCTCGCAGCACAGTTGACTGGTGAGCCCATCCCTCGCAGCACAGTTGACTGGTGAGCCCATCCCTCGCAGCACAGTTGACTGGTGAGCCCATCCCTCGCAGCACAGTTGACTGGTGAGCCCATCCCTCGCAGCACAGTTGACTGGTGAGCCCATCCCTCGCAGCACAGTTGACTGGTGAGCCCATCCCTCGCAGCACAGTTGACTGGTGAGCCCATCCCTCGCAGCACAGTTGACTGGTGAGCCCATCCCTTGCATGTGCTGCATCACATCACATCATGCTTGCAAGCAAGTACACGAATGACACATATACTATCCAGAGGCGATGGCCAACCCATCACCTCTCTCCGCCTTGCATGCATGCAGGTACCAGTCAGTGTTTGGGTCAGACTACTACCTAGAGGTGATGGACCACGGGCGCATTGACTTTGGTAGCGGCTACGATGTCAACGCCAAGATCAACCGTGCACTGCTGCAGCTGTCCCAGGAGACGGTGAGGGGGATGCGATGCGATGGTCTCTTGACCATGGGATAGGAGTGCCCTGATACTCATATCATATTCTCACCCGTTGCTCAAATGTGTTAGAGCCCCTCAAGTAACTGTCCCCCATTCCTCCACTTTCTCCCCCGATTCTCTCCATCCACCTGCTCCTCCCCCTCCCGCCGCTTCCCACAGGGCGTGCCCCTGGTGGCCACTAACGATTCTCATTTCACCCGGGCTGCGGACCACAGGGCACACCAAACACTCGTCTCTGTCAAGGTCTGTGCATTTCCTCTGGGAACTTGACGTACTCCAAGTTCGTGGCCTTTCAATGCACGAAACATAGGAATTCGTGCATTGAAAGGATCCCCTATGTTCTTCTTGCATGTCCGTGTTCATGCCTGTGTGATATTTTACTTCACATTCGCCCTCTCCTCCTTGCCTTCCACTGCACTGATGTTTTGCTGCCCAGGCTCACCTCATCCGCCCTTGTGTGTGCATGATGTGTTTCAGGCTGGGAAGAATCTTGTCCAAGCGTACACGTGAGTTGGTTGGTTGCCTCCGTTTTGTACATTTCCAGCATTATTCACGTCCACCAGTAATTTGATTTTCAGAATTTGGGGGTACACATTACAAAAGAAAAGAAAATCACTTTGCATCAAGGCTTCTTCCAATAGTACTTCACACTTTGCCTTATCCCAATGCGCACATCACGTCACATCAGGGGTCAGGAGTACGTCAAGTCGCCAGAGGAAATGCTGGAGAGTCTGCAGAGGACTCTTCCCGAGGAGCATGCCGTGGCAGCCCTTGAGAACTCGCTACGCATTGCTGATAAGGTGGGGCCGCCCAATCCGCACATCACACCACATCACACCACATTACACCACATCACACCACATCACACCACATCACACCACATTACACCACATCACACCACATCACACCACATTACACCACATTACACCACATTACACCACATCACACCACATCAGAGGACAGGAGTATGTCAAGTCCCCAGAGGAGACGCTGGAGAGTCTGCAGAGGACCCTCCCCTCCCATCCCCTCCCATCTCCGCCCCTCGTCGTTCCTCTCCCCTCCCCCCCCACTCACCTCCGACTCTTCTGAACTCTTTTCATCCAAGCCCAAGTTGCGTCCTAAGCCCTGCGTCCCCCCTCTGCTCCCCTCGCCTCCCCTGGCCCTTTCCCCTGGCCCTTTCCCCTGGCCCTTTCCCCTGGCCCTTTCCCCTGGCCCTTTCCCCTGGCCCTTTCCCCTGGCCCTTTCCCCTGGCCCTTTCCCCTCGCCCTTTCCCCTGGCCCTTCCTCCCCCAGGTGACCTCCTACTCCGCCGACCTCTTCTCCTCCAAGCCCAAGCTGCCCACCTTCGACGTGCCTCCTGGCCACACCGACGCCTCGTGGCTTGAGGTGGGTGTGGGGTGGGGTCGGGGAAGAGACGGGGGCACTGGATGTTTGAGGAAGTGACGGGGCAGTGAGGTAGCGAAACAAATTGAGAGGAGAGGAACGTAGAGTAGAGGAGACAAGAGGGGGAGTCGTCATGTCATGGCTCTTGCTGCTGATCTTTCGAGTTTCTGTCTGCCTGATCCCCTGATTCCTTGATCTTACTGCTCCGTGCCGACACATGTCCATTCCATGTGTGCATGCATGCATGCATGGATGCGTACATTCCTGCTCGTGTGCCATCAGAGTGAGGCACGGAGGGGGCTGCAGGCAGTGATGGGCGTACAGACGTGGGAGTCAGTACCCCAGCAGTACAGGGAGCGACTAGACTTGGAACTCAGGGTCATTTGCAACTATGGCCTCTCCGCCTACTTCCTCGTATGTTCATTCTGCCATCACTTGCTCTCCGTATCTCGCTAGCAACACATTTGTGCTCTCTGCCAGCTTATCGGTCCCCTCTTGTCCCTCCCCTTTTGTTCCTCCCGTCGTAGCTCTCTCTCTCCTCTTGCACAATCCCGCGCCCCTCCCCGCCCCTCCCGCCCCTTACCCTCCCCAAATAGATAGTGTCTGCGTCATTCAACTGTAGGTGACGTTTGAGTTGGATTAAAAGTCTTCCCACCCCTCCCTGCGCTTCTCCGCCACTCCCCGCCCCTCGTGCCCCTCATCTCTCCTGTAGATAGTGGCGGACATCATTCAGTTCGCTCGCAGGAACGACATTCCCGTGGGCCCGGGCAGGTGAGGCGGGGCGCGGATGGCAGGTGAGGCGGGGCTGGGAATTGATTGAGTAAGCCAGATTTGTATTTTGCTGGGATGAGGTTCTCTAGTATGAGGCTCGTTTGGATGAAGCTTGGTTTGTGGTTTGAACTGAACTGCATTCTCATGGGACAGGGCGGGTGAGGCAGGCATAGGAGAAGGGAAACGAGTGGCATGGCACTGCTTGGGGGCTCTTTTTTTCAAGGCTACTTTTGAATGAAGTTCACTCTTAGAAGCTGCATCCCTGGGGGTGTGCTGCTATTTTGTGCTCTAAGCGGTCATCGTGTCTCAACAGATAACGTCAGAGTGTAAATCTTCTCAGTCTCCCCACTTCAGTCTCCCTTCCCCCCCACTCCCCCCTTCCCCCTCCCCCCTCCAACGGGCGCTCCCCAGGGGGTCAGCAGCGGGATCCTTGGTGGCATACGCGTTGGAGATCATATCCATTGATCCCATCGAGCATGGTGAGTGGGCCCCTATGCTCTTCCTCTTTTTTTCAATTCAACGGACATTATTCAAATTGCGACTTGGTCCACGCGCGCGCCTTGGTCACACTCGGTCACACTCGGTCACACTCGGTCACACTTGGTCACACTCGGTCACACTCGGTCACACTCGGTCACACTCGGTCACACTCGGTCACACTTGGTCACACTTGGTCCATGCGCGCGCCTTGGTCCACGCACGCGCCCTGGTCCACGCACGCACCCTGGTCCACGCGCGCTCCTTGGTCCACACGTGCGCCTTGGTCCACGCGCACGCCTTGGTCTATGCGCGCGACTTGGTCCTTGCGCGCACCTAAAAGATATTAGCCAAAATATGGTTGCTATGATCATACTAGCCTCATTCCAGCTCCCATTTTGTGCCTCAGTTTTTTTTTTTGTTTCTTTTTCCTTTTTTTTTTGGTCCGCGAGGAAAGGCTGGAAATTTAACAAACCCCCCATTTCTCTGCTTTCCGCGGCACCCCTTCCTTCCTTCCCCTCCATCACTCACTCCGCGAATGCACTGCTCCTTCCCACAGGGTTGTACTTTGAGTGCTTTCTGAACGAAGAACGGCTGGCTCCTCAACACATCCCCTCTCTTTCCGTGCTCGCCCCCCTTCCTTCCCCCCCACTTCACTCCCATTCTGCAAACACCCACAGGGCTGTACTTTGAGCGCTTTCTGAACGAAGAAAGGCTGGCTCCTCCCGACATTGACTCCGACTTTTGCCCTCTCGGGCGGGATAAGGTGGGTGTGCCACGGTGGAATGCAGTGCCTGCCATAAGGCGGTGAGTGGGAAAGATCACGAGAAGTTACATGTGAGACGCGCACAGTATCAGGCAGAAATATATAGTTACTGCTGGTACCTGCAAGGCCGACAAACACTTGGTTGGTTGCCTCTTCCCTGCATGCAATCTCATCACAAAAGATCCTGGCATACACCACTGAGAAGTCCGGTGCCCACAGGTTGGCGCAGATTTCGCCATGTTCAATTGCATTGCAACAGCATCCTTTTTGCTCCCACTCCCACGTCCTTCCTCTCCCTGCCTCTCCCCGTCAGATCCTGGCATACATTGCAGAGAAGTACGGCGCGCACAGGGTGGCACAGATTGCAACCTTCAACCGCATGGGGTCGCGTGCTGTGCTCAAGGACGTGGGGCGCGACATGCAGATTCCTTTGAACATCATGAATGAGCTTACAAAGCTGGTGAGAGTCTGGTGACGGGAAGTAATGAGAGGGAGAGCGTGTGATGTCAACCGCATGGGGTCGCGTGCTGTGCTCAAGGACGTGGGGAGCGACATGCAGATTCCTTTAAACATCATGAATGAGCTTACAAAGCTGGTGAGAGGGGGATAACGAGAGAGGGTGCAAGTGTGAATGGTTGGATGCATTGATGTACTGTGAAGGACGTGGGGTGCAACATAGAGATTCCTTTTAACCTGCTGTACGAACTTACGAAGCTGGTGAGTGAGAGAATGGGAGAAGGTAAAGCAGGGTGTGGGACATACTGCTGGTCAGGACATGGGGCGAGACATGGCAATTCCAATGAACGTCCTGACAACCGGGGTGCGTAATGGTAACGGAGGTGCGTAATGGTAACGGGGGTGCGTAATGGTAACGGGGGTGTGTAATGGTAAAGGGGGTGCGTAATGGTAACGGGGGTGCGTAATGGTAACGGGGGTGCGTAATGGTAATGGGGTGCGTAATGGTAACGGGGGTGCGTAATAGTAACGGGGGTGCGTAATGGTAACGGGGGTGCGTAATGGTAACGGAGGTGCGTAATGGTAACGGAGGTGCGTAATGGTAACGGGGGTGCGTAATGGTAACGAAGGTTTGTAATGGTAACGGGGGTGCGTAATGGTAACGGGGGTGCGTAATGGTAACGGGGGTGCGTAATGGTAACGGAGGTGCATAATGGTAGCGGGGGTGCGTAATGGTAATGGGGGTGCATAATGGTAACGGAGGTGCGTAATGGTAACGGGGGTGCGTAATGGTAACAGAGGTGCGTAATGGTTACGGAGGTGCGTAATGGTAACGGAGGTGCGTAATGGTAATGGGGGTGCGTAATGGTAGCGGGGGTGCGTAATGGTAACGGAGGTGCGTAATGGTAACGGGGGTGCGTAAAGGTAACGGGGGTGCGTAATGGTAACGTGGGTGCGTGTGTAATGGTAGCGGTGGTGCGTAATGGTAACGGAGGTGCGTAATGGTAACGGGGGTGCGTAAAGGTAACGTGGGTGCGTAATGGTAACGTGGGTGCGTGTGTACTGGTAGCGGTGGTGCGTAATGGTAGCGGGGGTGTGTAATGGTAACGGGGATGTGTAATGGTAATGGCCATCAGGTTCCCCCCATCAGGTTCCCCCCATCAGGTTCCCCGCATCAGGTTCCCCGCATCAGGTTCCCCCCATCAGGTTCCCCCCATCAGGTTCCCCCCATCAAGTTCCCCCCATCAGGTTCCCCATCAGGTTCCCCATCAATTTCCCCACCCCATTAGGTTCTGTTAGAATTAGGCTGTCAACACTTTGTGTACTATATTCTATATCGCGTAGGTTATTTGCGGGTTGGGTGTAGTTTGTGATCCCAACCCTATCTGGTTGAGATTCCCTCGTAATCCTGCAAATCTGCCAACTCACCAATTGGAGATTTGCTAGGATTCCCATCCCATCCTTTCCCTAGCCTTGCCCATCCCAACCTCGTTTGTACTTAAGGCCTAGTGCCTTCTTTCCTATCAATCAGTTGAGCTCCATTATTATCATGGTATCAGAGCTAGCAAATTCCGCTCACGCGGAATCCGATCCTTGGCGTCGCGATCATTCTCTTCCTCTCGGCTATGGCGTTCTCGGTTCACGCCTTCTTCGCTTAGCGTTTTTCGTCTTCACATCGTCGCACTGGTCAAAAGCGCTTTCCCGCTCCGTCTACGTGCATTTCCGATTTCCACGGCGGCACATTTCTCCGTCAATTTCCTTCATCGTAAGCTCTGAAATTTCAAATTTCCGTGGCAATTTTCTCACATTCGAAACTTCTAGCAGGTTTTCATCGGTGCGGCAGAGCAGGTTCAGCGGCGCAGCAGAGCAGGTTCAGCGGCGCAGTAGAGCAGGTTCAGCGGCGAAGCAGAGCTGGTTCAGCGGCGCAGCAGAGCAGGTTCAGCGGCGCAGCAGAGCAGGTCAGCGGCGCAGCAGAGCAGGTTCAGCGGCGCAGCAGAGCTGGTCAGCGGCGCAGCAGAGCAGGTTCAGCGGCGCAGCAGAGCAGGTTCAACGGCGCAGCAGAGCAGGTTCAGCGGCGCAGCAGAGCAGGTTCAGCGGCGCAGCAGAGCAGGTTCAGCGGCGCAGCAGCACAGGTCAGCGGCGCAGCGGAACAGGTCATCGGCGCAGCAGAAAAGGGGTCATCGGCGAAGCAGAGAAGCAGAACAGGAATCGCAATCTTATTGGCGAAATCGCACGTTTCCGCGTTTCGGACTTCATCAATTTTCAAAATCGCCGGGTTTAGGGTTTAGGGTTTTCATCACCACCACTCCGGTTGAGCTCGTCAAATCCTACCGCACCTTTCGCTCCGCTCATGCGATTTGGAAGTACCTCCAGGACCGTTTCCATGACAAGACAGCAGTGGGTGTTGCCATCCTCATCCCTCGAATGTTCCAGGTCCGCCTTGAGGAATGCCCTGGCATGGCAGATTACATCTCTGAAATCCGCAACATCCGTGAGGAACTCAAGGACATTGGGATCATTTTCCCCGAACAGGCACCTGCAGCTGGCCTACTTGTAGGACTGACCCCGGCCTACAATGTCACCAGCTCCATGCTCAAGCAACTTTCCACCAAGGAACTCATCTTCGAAAAAGTCGCATCGGCTCTCCTTTCCGCCGAAAAGGACCTTGCAGCCCAAGCATCCGTCAATGCTGTGCGCTACACCCCTGGAATCCCATTCCGCTCCCAACAGGGACCAAGGCGCAACTCCTTTCCCCCATGCCCCTACATCATTAGGAAAGGCCCACGTGCGGGGCAAAAATGCGGAGGCACCAACCACCCTGAGACAACTTGCTTCAAGAAGCGAGATGATGAGTGGTACGACGTCCATGGTGTCTCCACCAACAAGCGCCCTCCCAACTGGGCCCCACCCCGTCGCGTGAACCATGTCGAGGCAGTGGAGGAACCTAGTCCCTCAGTTGATAGCACCCCATCTGATGTTCGCCTCAACCTGTTATTCTCTGGTGCTGGTCTTATTAATGAGAAGGGGTCGCAGTACATCGGTGTTTCAAACACACAAGGGATCGAGTTCATACTAGACAGTGGTGCCACCCACACAGTGCTCAAAGACCAAACCGCGTTCGTTCCTTACCAGGCTCCCATCCCACTCCTCGGAGCTGACTCTAGCTTCTCCATCCAATGCCATGGATCCTCCACAGTTCCTTGTCCAGCATTTCCATCGGGCACAGTCACTGGCATCTGTGCCCTCACCCTCCGCCACAACTTCCTGGCACAAAGTGAAATCCAACAAGCAGGAGTGATCACCATTTTTCCTAATGATGTCGACTACTGTGACCTCTTTGACGCCAAAACCGGCATTCATCTAGCCCGCTTTACTCTCAACTCCAACAACCTATACACGCTCGTAGTACCTCCCATTCAAACGTGCTCCCTCACAAACCTCCCGTTACCTTCCCTTGACTCTTCCACCTGTCACTGCCGCCTCCTTTCCGACAAAACCATGCTCTTTCATCACCGCCTTGGCCACATCAACTTTCGCGCGCTTTCAGACCTTGCCACAAAACAACTCCTCCACGGGCTTCCAACCTCACTTCCCTCTCCTACCTCCACCCTAGGGCCGCCTTGCCTTGACTGTGCACAGAGCAACCTTCGTGAACAGCCCCATCCCCCCACTGAGTCCATCTCCGCTGCACCTCTCGATCGCGTGCACATGGACCTTTGGGGCCCAGCTCCTGTTCGCTCTCGCGGTGGACATTTTTACTTCCTTGTCATCATTGATGACTATTCCCGCTATGTGTCTGTCCACCTTCTCTCCTCCAAATCCGAAGCCCCAGGCGTCATCATTGAATGGGCGAAGCAGGCTCACAAACACTTCAAAACCACCATCAAGGTCCTTCACTTTGACGGTGGCGGTGAATTCCGCAACAACACTCTCAAAGCTTTCTGCTCCACTGAGGGTATCCGTCAGACCTTCACTCTCCCGGACAGTCCCCAACAGAACGGTATTGCCGAAAGCCGGAACCGTACATTGGTGCAGATTGCTCGCTGCCTCCTCACGCACGCCTCCGCCCCTCCCTCTCTCTGGGGGTACGTCATGCTTCATGCTGCCGCCCTCCACAATCTCCATCCCCATCCTCATCACACCCACACCACCCCCGCTGAGCTATGGATAGGTCAAAAGCCATCCGTCCGCCCTCTTCGTGTATGGGGGTGCACTTCCTATGTCCTCCTCAACTCCCAAGCCCGTCGTGCGGCTGGCGGCAAACTTGCTCCCAAAACGATCACGTGCGTATACCTCGGGCACAACTTAGATTCGCCAGACTATCTCTTCCTCCATCCTTCCACCAACAAGCTCTATCGCAGCCGGGACGTTTACTTTGATGAGTCCCACCCATTCTACCCCTCCTCCAAGGCTTCTTCCTCTCCTCCGCCTCCCTCTCTTACTTGGGCTGACTTTGACAGTCTCCCTCTTCCCGACACTCCATCTCCTCCTCTTCCCGCTCCCTCCACCATTTCTGATCCCCCATCACCCGCTTCCCCCTCCAGTACCACACGGTCTCCCTCGCTCCCTCCCTCCTCCGCTACCCCTCCTCCATCTCCTCTCGCATCTCCTCCTACCGAGCCCGTTCCTCTCAAAACCTACCAACGCCGTCACCCAGCTCCTCCTCCTCCTGCTCCCACCCCTGATCCCGATCCTGTCTCCACTCTCCCTCCCACTCCCACCTCCCCTTCCGCTGCGCCTACTCCGGCCCCGCCTCCCTCACCCATCGCTTCTCGCACCCGCTCTCGCACACCTCCACAACCGTTCTCCCTTTCCGTTCGCGTCTCTCTCAATCCTCCTTCTGTCGGGGGTGATTATTCTCTCATGCCATCCCTCCTTGAAGACAGACATGAGGAGTTGATTGATATCGACTCGGCCATCCACGCACTCTGCTTCCTCTTTCCAGACATCGCAGACTCTCCAACCCTCAATTTCTCCGACAACCCCTCCATCCCCACACCTCTCACCTATGCTGAAGCAGTCTCTGGTCCTCACGTCGCTAAGTGGTTGGGGGCCATTGTCGCAGAATGTGAGGCCTTCATTCACACAGGAACTTTCACAGACGTCTCTCCTCCCTCCGGCGTCAACATTGTGAAGGGAAAATGGGTCTTTCGGGTGAAACAACTTCCAGGCGAATTTCCTGTCTTCAAAGCCCGGTACTGTGCCAAGGGATTTACCCAAAAGCGTGGACTGGACTTCTTTGAGACATTCTCTCCCACCGCCAAACCTCCCACACTCCGCACCCTTCTCGATGTCGCTGCTCGAGATGACATGGAGGTTGACTGCATGGATGTGTCTTCTGCGTTCCTGCAAGGGATCCTTCGAGAGGAAATCTATATGGAGCGGCCCGAAGGATTTCCAGCTCCTTTTCCACCAGGCACTGTATGGAAGCTGAATCGGCCAGTGTATGGCCTCAAGCAAGCTCCCCGGGAATGGCACAACAAGCTAAAGAGCACCTTAGGGTCCCTCGACTTTCACCCATCCACCTCTGACCCCAGCCTCTTCATCCGAGCAACACCCTCCCGGTTCTTCATCCTGGTCTATGTCGATGACATGATCCTTGTCACCAAGGATCAGACTGAGCTGGCAGCAGTCAAAACCGCACTTGGTGAGAAGCTGGCCATGAAGGACCTTGAGAAGCTGACGAACTATTTGGGAATGGAAATCACACGTGATCGCACAGCCCGCACCATCACCCTTTCGCAGAAGTTTTACATCAACAACGCTCTGACGAGGTTCCAGATGCAGGAAGCAGCATCAATGCCCACCCCACTCTCTCTGCAACACCAACTCACTGCACCCTCCGTTCCCTCACCTGAGCCCTGTGATGAGCCTTACCCCGAGCTCGTGGGATCCCTCATGTACGCGATGATGTGCACTCGACCAGACTTAGCCTATCCAGTCAGTGTACTGTCCCGCTACGTTGCACCTGGTCGCTTCACTCGCCACCACTGGTCTGCCGCCAAGCGGGTTCTTCGCTATCTCAAAGGCACACAGGATTATGTGCTCACACTTGGCGGCACTTCCCCTGTTCGCCTTGAGGGGTACAGTGACTCATCCTATGTTGATGACCAGAGTGATCGGCGCTCGTCCCAAGGGTATTGCTTTACCCTTGGCAGTGGGGTTGTAAGTTGGCGCTCCACTCGGTCGTCCTCCGTCTCACTGTCGACCTGTGAGGCAGAGCTGTATGCCGGGACCATGGCTGCACAGGAGGCTTGTTGGCTCTCCTTCCTGCTGACAGAACTGGGGTATCCCCAACCAACACCAACGTTTTGGTGTGACAACGAGAGCACCATTCATCTCACCAAAGACCCCGTTTTCCATGGCCGCACCAAGCACATTGAAGTCCGTCACTACTTTCTTCGTGAGCTGGTGCAGCGCGAGCAGCTGAAGGCTGAACACATTGCCTCCGACTGCAACCTTGCTGACTTGAATACCAAGTCGCTTGTTCGCGAGGATCATTACCGCCTCCTCTCGGCCATGGGTGTTGGGCCTCCTTGTGGCTGATGTGTTGCAGCCTAGGGGGTGTGTTAGAATTAGGCTGTCAACACTTTGTGTACTATATTCTATATCGCGTAGGTTATTTGCGGGTTGGGTGTAGTTTGTGATCCCAACCCTATCTGGTTGAGATTCCCTCGTAATCCTGCAAATCTGCCAACTCACCAATTGGAGATTTGCTAGGATTCCCATCCCATCCTTTCCCTAGCCTTGCCCATCCCAACCTCGTTTGTACTTAAGGCGTAGTGCATTCTTTCCTAATCAATCAGTTGAGCTCCATTATTATCAGGTTCCCCATCAGGTTCCCCATCAGGTTCCCCATCAGTTTCTCCACCCCATCAGGTTCCCCCTGTCAGGTTCCCCCCATCAGGTTCCCCCCATCAGGTTCCCCCCATCAGGTTCCCTCCATCTAGAGATGAGCAATGGTAGCGGGGGTGCATTATGGTAACGGGCTCTGCAATTCCCTCCAATGCCCTCCAATGCCCTCCAGTGCCCTCCAATGCCCTTCAATGCCCTCTGAATCCAATCTGCACGTGTGCATCGATGGCAGGTGCCAGTGGAGAGGGGCAAGGCAGTGTCCCTGAGCATGCGCATTGTGGCCTCAACTCCCTGCGCCCTTTCCACCTGCCATGCGCTGCCTGACTTGCCTGACCTGACCCATGTCACGTGTTGCTCCACCACGTGTGCAGTGAGTGCAGGTGTCAGTGAAGAGGGGTAAGGCAGTGTCACTGAGCGCCCTCAGGACGGACTCAACCCCGCATGCCCGTCCCACCTGCTACCTGTTGCTTTGCTTCACTCGTCCAATGAGTGCAGGTGCCGGTGGAGCGAGGCAAGGCAGTGTCGCTGAAAACCCTCATGGCGGAGGACACTCCCTTCAGGAGACGCGTGGAGAGGGATGCAATGGTGAGTGCGGTGTATTCCGGTGCTGTAGTGCGGTGCATTCCGGTGCTGTAGTGCGGTGCATTCCGGTGCTGTAGTGCGGTGCATTCCGGTGCTGTAGTGCGGTGCATTCCGGTGCTGTAGTGCGGTAAGTGAACAGCGAGTGTGGGGCATGTGGATGGGGATGGACGGTTAAAAGGGTGGGCTTGTTGATCTGCTTTGCTGATTGTTAGGTTCAGTCCACTGCAACCAGCTCTATGCTCCTGCAATGTGTGTGTAGAGGGCACGATGGTCATGCCCTGCAAATCTCTCGTCTTCCTCTCTCATGTCTCCTCTGTGCATGCACAGCTGCTGCAATGCGTGGAGCTGGGGCAGCTGTTGGAGGGCACGAACCGCTCCTTTGGTGTGCATGCAGCCGGTATCATCATCTCGCCCGCCTGCTTCCCACTCTCCCAGGTCAGCAGCACAACGCTCAGTGCCGCTCCCTTTCTCCACGCTCCTCCTCGTCCTCACGCACTGTTCCACTCTCTACACTGTACTTTTCCTTTCCTCCCCCTTGTCCATTTTTCCGTGCCATCCAATCCCATGCATCCCTCTATTTCTTCCCTCTTCCTGAGGGCACAACACACCATCCCACCCCATGAATTCAAGAAAACCTGAAACCACCACCCCCCACCCATTCCAGGTGGTGCCAGTACAGCACGCGCCTGGCAACCCCTCCGCCCTGGTCAGCCAATACGCCATGGATGATGTGGAACGACTGGGTCTGCTCAAGTTTGACATCCTAGGCCTCCGCAACCTCACCACGGTCCACCTCGCGCGCCTGCTCGCCCAGCGCACCTACGGTGTGACCCTCCCTGCGATTGAAAAGCTTCCAGTGGAGAACCGCGCTACGTTTGAGCTGCTGTCAGGGGGCGACGTGGACGGGGTGTTTCAGCTGGAGGCGTCTCCAGGGATGAAGAAGGTGGTCAGGGCGCTCAAGCCCTCGTGCCTCGCGGACATCTTTGCTATCGTCGCTCTTTATCGCCCCGGGTGAGTGAGTAACCACAGGGAGGGCTGCTGTCGGGGTGATGTGGACGGGGTGTTTCAGCTGGAAGCGTCTCCCGGCATGAAGAAGGTGGTCAGGGCGCTCAAGCCGTCCAGTCTCGCGGATATCTTTGCCATCGTCGCCCTCTACCGGCCTGGGTGAGTGAGTAACCAGAGAGAGAGAGAGGAGAGGTGCTGGCAGGGGCGACGTGGACGGGGTGTTTCAGCTGGAGGCGTCTCCAGGGATGAAGAAGGTTGTCAGGGCGCTCAAGCCGACTTGCCTCGCGGACATCTTTGCTATCCTCGCACTCTATCGGCCCGGGTGAGTGAGTAAGCAGAAAGAGGGTTGCTGGGGTGCAGGGGGCGACGTGGACAGGGTGTTCGAGCTGGAGGCGTCTCCTGGCATGAAGAAGGTTGTTTATGCGCTCAAGCCATCGTGCCTCGCGGATATCTTTGCCATCGTTGCTCTTTACCGCCCTGGGTGAGTGAGTAACCAGAGGGAGGGCTGCTGTCAGGGGTGGGTAACAAGAGACATGAGGGTTGGGTGGACAAGGGGTAGTGTGCATCCTGCACTGCACTGTATCAGAGGGAGCGGGACTGAGGGAGTGGGACTATTGCTGCACAATCTATTGCTGCTGCACGGTCTATTGCTGCACGGTCTATTGCTGCACGGTCTATTGCTGCACGGTCGATTGCTGCACGGTCTATTGCTGCACGGAGGGAGTGGGAGTGAGGGTGCGGGACTGAGGGAGCGGGACTGAGGGAGCGGGACTGAGGGAGCGGGACTGAGGGAATGGGACCTAAACTTGCTGGATACTCCTAGATTAAACCCTCCCTGGGGCGAGGCTAACATGCTGCCTGCACTCACATCCTTCTTACCCACTAATTCTCCAACCCCACCCCCCACCACCCCCTGCCCTCCGCACCAGCCCTCTGGATGCGGGCCTAGTCGATCGATACATCAACCGCAAGCACGGACGGGAACCTGTGTCTTTCCAGACCCCCAAGCTGGAGCCCATCCTGAAGGAGACATACGGAGTGCTGCTGTACCAGGAGCAGATCATGCGCATGGCACGGGACCTGGCGGGGTACTCCCTGGGGCAGGCGGACATGCTGAGGCGGGCCATGGGGAAGAAGAAGCAGGAGGAGATGGTTGCGCACCACGAGCGGTTTGTGGAAGGGGCTGTGGAGCGAGGGGTTGAAAGAGCCGTGGCGGAGGATTTGTTCGAACAGATGGTGAAATTCTCGCAGTACTGTTTCAACAAGTCCCACAGTGCAGCGTACGGGTATCTCACATACGTGACGGCCTTTCTCAAGGCCAACTATCCTCTGCCCTACATGGCCGCCCTTCTCTCTACCTCAATGCTCGAACCCCCCACCCTTCGCCGCTACGTCAACTCCTGCCGTGCTGCTCACATTAATATCCTTCCGCCGTCGGTCAACGCATCGGCTTATGATTTCTCTGTGGAGCTTCTTAAAACGGGGATGGAGGGGGGGGAGGAGCGGGAGGAGGGTTTTGGACAGGTGTCGCCGTCGGGCCCTGCCACGTCAGCTGCGGACGGCGGGATTCGGTTTGGGCTGGCGGGCATTCGGGACGTCAGCAGGGCGGCGGCGGAGGAGATCATCGGGAAGCGGGAGGCGGGCGGCAGGTTTGTCAGTATTCAGGACCTGGTTGACCGCATTGACTTGGGCATGTGGAAGAGACCCACTATACATGCCCTTGCCCACTCAGGCGCTCTGGATTGCTTAATCCTGAGGGAAGGAGATGGAGGAGGAGGGGGGTACAGGGGAGGAGAGGGAGGAAGGGTTGGGAGTGAGGGAGTGATGGGAGAAGTGGGAGAGGGTGACGGGGTGAGAGGGGGAGCGAGAGAGGCGGAGGGGGTGGAAGGAGGAGAGAGAGGGGGGGATGTGGGAGAGGAGGTGTATGTGGATAGGAAAGGGTTGGCGGAGCTGCTAGAAGGGCTGGTGAAGGGGCGAAAGGAGAGGATCAAAGCAGAGATTAAGGCTGTTGCCAGGCGGGAGAGAGAGCTGGTGATGCAGCAGCGGCGAGAGGAGAAGCAGCGGGAGAAGGCTGCAAAGGAGTTGCAGAGGCAACAGGAGAGGCAGGCCCGGGAGGAGAAGAAGGAGCGGGAGAGAGTGGAGAGGGAGAGGAAGAGAGAGCAGCAGAGGATTGAGAGGGAGCAGAAGAAGCTGCTGCAGGGGAAGGGGAGAGCGAGCAAGGTGGAGGCTGCTGTGGTGTTGGGTGATGTGCCTCTTGTGGCTGATGCTGCTGAAAGCAGCAACTATGCTGGAGCCAGCAGTGGCACCAGCAGTAGCACTGATAGCTTCGATCGTGACACCATCGGCAGCAGCAGCAGCAGCAGCAGCAGCAGCAGCAGCAGCAGCACCACCACCACCGGGAGCACTGACAGCACTGTCACCATCAGCAGCAGCAGCAGTGACACGAGTGACAGCATCACCCCGACTCCCAGCAGCGTCACTCTCTCCTCCTTGGATGGTGCATTTGCTACTAGCACAGGTGTTGAAAATGCCAACTCACCAGACGAATCCAGCAGTGCTGCAGCTGCAGGTGCATCCAACGGTGCAGTCACCACCACTTCTCCACCTCCAGCCACGGCCCCATTCCCCACTTCTCCTCCCGCCGCCACCACCACCCCTGCATTCATCATCCCCCCTCCTCCTCCCCTCCCCCCGTCCGTCACAGCAGCACTCATCCTGCGACGGCCCCTGCAGGAGGAGGAGATGGTGGAGAGGCTAGCACAGGAGAAAGCCCTGCTAGGCTTCTACGTCACACAACACCCCGTGGAGGCACTCCTCCCCTCCCTCCCCACGTGGCTCTCTCTCACGCCCCTCGCCTCCTGCGCCCACGTGGGCTTGACTAAGGCTCTGGAAGACAGTGCAGCTGCTTCTGCGGCGGCGAAAGGTGGCGGGAGGAGAGGGAAGGGCGGTGGTGGGAGGGTAAAGGGTGGGAAGGACGGGCCGTCGGTTGCGGTGGTGGCGATGGTAGAGGCAGTGAATGTGCGCATGACTAAGAATAGTAACAAGCAGATGGCGAATCTCCAGTTGGATGATGGGACGGGGCAGCTTGAGGCTGTGGTGTTCCCGGACGTGTTTGCCAGGTACGGGTCGAGCCTGAGCAAGGGTGCGACGGTGCTGGCGTGGTGTACTGTTGATGTGGAGTTGGATGATTCGCCTGCCGCTGCTGGGAGCGGTGATAGCAGCAGCAGCAGCAGCAGCAGCAGCAGCAGCAGCAAAGGAGAGGGGTCGGCAGATGGGGCAACCGGACAGGAATCATTGTCATCTTCAGCAGCAGCCGGAGCAGAATCAGACACAGAAGCACAGGATGACACCTCCCCCGGACACACCCTCTCCCTGGCAACCCCCTCCCTCAACCGAGTCCAGCTGGTTGTGCAAGCTGCCGTGCCCACCAGCACAGCTCAGTTTGTGCGTATAGACGTGACTGAGCAGGAAGCAGGAGATCCCGAGCACGTGCACGCACTCAGGTCCACGATTCAGCAGGTGAGGCGCGATGCGGACAACAGGCACGAGGCGCGGGTGATGCAGCAGGACGTGCAGAGGGATGTGGAGCCTCAGGTGCAGCACTGGGTGCGCAAGCACAGGGCGGGTGCACCTGGTGCTGTGCCGCTGGTGTTTCGTGTGTGGCCTGACACTGATGCCATGCCTAGGGAGATCGTTGCTAAGAAAGGGTCGACACCGTATGGGGAGTGGGCGGGTGAGGGGTGGGGGGGGTCTGGCTGGGGTGGTGGGAAGCGGGAGGGAGAGGAGTTGAGGCGGGAGAGGGAGAGCAGGAAACCGAAGCATCTTATACGGTCAGACGAGGTATTCTTTGTGGAGGACGCGGAGAGGGCAGTAGAGGAGCTGGGGTATGCGGGGTACCGGGCACGGGTGGTGCCGATTTTGTCGCATGAGTGCCGGGAGAAGAGGAGGGAGGAGGGCCTGTGTGGGTACGATGAGCAACTGGTGGAATAGTTTCTTGTCCAAGTGAGAGGGTGTGTGTGGACGAGCACCGCGCATTCGTGCAAACCTGCACTCATCATGTTCCCAACAGAAGGATGTTGATGTTTCCAATCATTTTCCATTTTTCAATGAATGTGGGCTTTCTTTAATGTTTCATTCGTAAATGGTGATATTGTACAGCCATGTGTCGTATCCCAATCAAGCAATTGCGGTACACACCCATACCAAACGCTGTAGCGGGTGCCACTCATAGCGACATTCGGTTTGCGAAGATCCAGCTATGGATCCACGTGCCTCGTCACGAAAATCCGAGCCAAACCACGATGTACACCAGAGTACCGAACCGTACCTCGAGATCCTGGTCTGGGTGTTCCCTTGGGAATCTCCTGCTTTGGCTCTTCATTATTGAATCCAGCAGGGCTTGCTTGGCGATTTGGATTCTCTGGTTGTCGCAATTTTTTAGGCCCAGGGAATGCTCCGCTGTATCAGCGTGGAGTAGGATTCTGAGAGTGAGGAAGAACTGACGTTTCCAGATCCTTAGTATTCGTTCTTTAGGACGAGCGTCAGTTGCGTATCGGAATTCTTTAGTCCGCGAAGATGAGGAAGCGCGATTTAGGAATCCTTCTGATATCGGCGTTCGCGGTTTTCATCTGTCTTCAGGTACCCTACTACTGTCCGTCACCATCTCGCCCGGAGCGAAGACGGTCAACCGTCACCGTCTCTTATTTAAACGATCCGTTCCCGCATTTCAGATACCGTGTCTCAGTTTTAAGAGTAAAGTTACTGCCTTCAAATCTTCCGAATATCAAATTATGCTGTCACCGATCTCACGTTGCGTCTCCGTCTTCCCTATTCGAACGACCCTGCATGAGAGCAGCTTCACGTTCAGGAGAGTGTGGTTCACGTGCACCGGGTCGGCTACAGCCAGGAGCTCGAAGCGCGTGTGTTCCCTTTGCTACTATCACATAAACTCGTGTGCATTTCCTCTTTTTCCTTCTTCCGCGTTTCCCTGATTGAGCCGAGCAGCACGAGAGCAACTTCACGTTCAGGGAGGCGTGGTTCCACGTGGATCGCGACGACTACAACCAGGAGCTCGAGGCGCACGTGGGTTCCCTTTGCTACCATCATCAAATTCGCGACTTTTTCCTCGCGTTCTTTTTTCCTGCGTCCCCCTGATTGAACCAAATCAGCATGAGAGCAACTTCACGTTCAGGGAGGCGTGGTTCCACGTGCACCGCGACGACTACAACCAGGAGCTCGAGGCGCACGTGGTGCCGCCGCCCGTGGTCTTCGATCTCAACGGCGACGGCCGCAAGGAGGTCATTCTCGCCACCAGGGACGCGCGCCTGCAGGTGGGGACGCGTGGATTGCCTGTAGGGAGTGTGGATTGTAGGGGATGTGGATTGCGGGTCGTCCCCTCGTGGTGTTCGATCCCAGCGGGGACGGCCGCAAGGAGGTCATCCTCGCCACCCGGGACGCTCGCTTGCAGGTACGGCATCGATTGGCTGTACGGGTGGATTAAACAGACAATCCGCAAATCTTTCTCCTCATTTCCACTGTCTGCCATCATTAAAGTCAGTGACGTGTAAATCTGTGGCAAATCTCACGAATCTGTGGTGTCCTTCTGTGTCTCCGCGGTGTTGCTCCTTGTCCGTGCAAATTCTTAACCGATTAAAAGTTAGGATTCTGTGGTAGTCAGCTGCGTCTCCCTCCCCGTGTGTCCCGCGTTGTCCGCGCAGGTGATCGAGCCGTTCACGCCGCCGTCAGGCGAGTCGTACCATCCAGTGCGCGTGCTCAAGGAGGTCTCGCTGCAACCCGGCCAGGTGCACTCCTTCCCCCCCCCCCCCTCACTGCTTGCTGCTCGCTTCTCTCCCCACCCCAGCTTTGTCCAGCCAGCCCACTGAGCCCATATCATACCGGTAGAAACCACCCACCTCTATGGTCAACGTTACCATTCATCATTGTGCTCTGTAAATGATGAATAAGGAGTGAGTGACGTAGCGTACGAACCCGCCGTTTCCCCTACTCCTCAAATCAGGTGGAGCTGAACCCAGCGGGGCACCAGGCAGTGGCGTTCGCGGTGGGGTATCTGGACCCACCGTCCTTGAAGCCCCCCAAGAAGGCGGGCAGCGGCAAGGCGGTGAGCGTGCCGCGGCGCAAGGCGGTGGTGGCGGTGGTGACGGCGGGATGGGCGGTACTGTGCTTCGATCACAACCTGAAGCTGTTGTGGGAGACCAGCGTGCAGCACCACTTCCCCCACGGCGCACGCCACAAGGAGGTGGCGGTGCTGATTGCCAACCACACCATGCACCGGGGGGATCGAGGCGTCGTGATTATCGGCGGATCCATGGAGTCAGACCCGCTGGTGAGGGCTCTGGTTCGGGGTAGCTTCGGAGTAGGTTTGGGGCAGGTTCGGATAAGGTATGGAGTGGGCTTTGACTGGGCTTTAGGGTTTGCGCTGCTGGGTGTGTGGGCGTGTGGGGGTGGGTGGTACTGTGCTTCGATCACAACCTGAAGCTGTTGTGGGAGACCAGCGTGCAGCACCACTTCCCGCACGGCGCATGCCACAAGGAGGTGGCGGTGCTGATTGCCAATCACACCATGCACCGGGGGGATCGAGGCGTCGTGATTATCGGCGGATCCATGGAGTCAGACCCGCTGGTGAGGTCGCTGGTTTGCAATAGGTGTGGAGTAGGTTCGGGATAGCTTTGGGGTAAGGCGCTCTGGTGAGGCGCTGGTTTGGGATGCGTTTGTTGTGGGCTTTGGGGCTTCCTTTTCCTGGTGGCATGGGTTGTTTTCGGTTAATTCTGGAATGTTTCGTCCTCTATATCTCTTGGGTTCTGCATGTGTGATTTGGTGCTCTACCATGCGACAGAAGGTTGCGCTGCGTGCGGGTATGGGAACCCATGAATGTACTGTACTCAAACATGTCTTTGTGTCGGTGTTTCCTACCTACCCGTTGTGTGCAGCAATTCGAGGATCCAGTGGAGGAGGAGGAAGCGGAGGAGGAGGGCGAGGAGAAGCACCGCAAGGAAGCCGGGGACAAGGATGTGAGCACCCGTCCATCCACCCATGCCATCCCATGCCAGCCACCCCTGTGCTTCTCGCTCCCGATGCACTCTTCATCCCTTTCCTACACGCACTGCCCTGCCATTTCCGGTTTGAGTGTGCTGTCACAGCCCCTCTCCTCACCTTCTCCTGCGCTTTCTGCGCGCTCACTCCCTGACGGGCATTTATCCGGGTCTGTGTTGTGCTTCTTCCCGTGCTGTGCATCCCCCTCCCTCCTGTGCGAGCAGGAGCTGGAGGATGTGTCAGAGGGGGCGGCAGGGGTGAACGAGCGCCACTTCTCCTACTACGCCTTTGATGGTGCCACTGGCGCCATGCGCTGGAAGCATGACAGCAAGGTGGGGGAGGGCTTGACGGCAAGGTGGGGAAGGGTGGTATGGGCGACATGCTGTGCCATGACATCACGTAGCACGATGACCGGGGTGCAGCACGCCACTTTTCCTACTACGCCTTTGATGTGGCCACGGGCGCCATGCGCTGGAAGCACGACAGCAAGGTGTGGCGTAGCATGATCGCTTGGGTGCAGCACTGGGCAGGGTGCTGAGGGGTGGAATTGCGGGTGGGAATGGTGCGGAAGGGTTGGAATGGCTGCCACGGCTCCTCATGGTGAACACAATGCTGGATTGCTCTCCGCCATCCTATCCCCACTCAAAGGGCCCCTTCTCCACTCCACTGTCTCGTGCCGCTGCTGCGTCAGCTCTGATCAAGCACCTGTGTCTTTCAGTGTGCTCGTCCCACCTCCTAAAGAGGTCATTCGAACTCTCCCCTCCCTCCTCTTCCACTTCGCCCTGCCTCTGCCCCTTCCCCCTCGTCCCTCCCCTCCCTTCTCCCACGCCCTTTCCCTACCCACCCCCCAAATCGCTTGAGAGCAGGACTTCCATCGGGACATGTCAGCGCTGAGCCAGCAGCTGTTGCCGCAGCACAACTACAAGCTCGACGCCTCCTCCCTCTCCTCCCGCCACTTCGGCGAGGTAAGAAGTCATGCCCTGCCCTGCCCTCCCCCGTGCCCCCCCGCCCTGCCCGTTCCTGTCCTCTCCCCTCCCTGCCCCGCCCTCCCTCTCCCTGCCCTGCCCCGCCCTGCCCTGCCTTGCCCTGCCCTGCAATGCCTTTTTTTTCTGGTGTCCCGCTCAAGCGTTATCTGTGTCCGGATTCAAATACATGGAGTGCGTTTGGCTATTTTTTTTCCATGATGTTCTTGCTCTCTCCTCTAACCGCCACCCCCCTCGAACCCTATTCATGCCATACCATACCACTCCATACCAAGCGCTTACCGCACTCTACCGTGCCGCACCATGGCTTGTGTGTGAGCAGATGGAGTGTCGCGAGTTCAGAGAGTCCATTCTGAAGCACCTGCCGCACCGATGGGTGAGTGTCGCTGCTCTTTCCCCAGCTCTTATGTGATGCCACGCCACGTGCCACGTGCTGCCATGTGCTGCCATGTGCTGCCGTGTGCTGCCATGTGCTGCCGTGTGCTGCCATGTGCTGCCGTGTGCTGCCATGTGCTGCCGCGTGCTGCCATGTGCTGCCAAGTTAAGGGTATGCCTAGTTCACCTCAATGTTTTCCTGTGCTTCCACTTCATACCACACAAAACTGAGGGCCTGCGTCTACCTTCCCTCCTCATATCCCCCCACCTCCCCCCCCCCGCCAGGACCATCGCCATGACACGCGCTTCGAGCTCGCCAGCATCCACCGCCACCGCCGCCGCATGCACAAGCGCCTGCCGGGGAGTGGCAGGCACGGGGCACCGCACCACGCAGCACACCCCCACGGCACGCCCCCCCGGCTGCTGGCAGGGCGCGACCATGAGAGGAACGTGTTTGCGCGGGCCGTGGGGAAGGCTGTGGATGCTGCTGGGTCCACCAAGAAGGCCAAGGTGAGGAGAAAAAGGGGGGAGAAAAGGGATGCGGAGGGAAGGGATGGGCGGGAGGGGAGGGGGAGAAAAGGGATGGGAGGGAATGGAGGTTTCTAGGCAGTGGCGCCACAACACACAGCCCACCCACCCCCATGGCATGCTCACCAAACTGCTGGGTGGGCGAGAGCATGAGAGGAGCGTGTTTGCCTTGTAGTCATTCACCTCTACTTGGGTCGCACCATCTGCAAGCTGTCTCCGTCCCTGTCAACTCAAGAACCACTTGTACACATGCCCATGCTCTGGCCGTCCTTTCTCTCCTCCCTTTCCTGCTCTCGTTCTCTGCTTCCCTCCCTCCTGCCCTTCCCCCACCCTATCTGCACCACAGCACGCGCAGCACCACGTGCACGGCAATGCATTGGCGCACCACTGGTGGGCGCACAACGCGGTGATAGCGCACCTGGAGGAGGGCATCGAGGTCATCCACCTCTACTCCGGGCGTACCATCTGCAAGCTGCTGCTGCCCGACCATGGCCTGCACGCTGATGTCAATGGAGACGGCGTTCTTGATCATGTGCAGGTGAGATGCGGTGGGTTTCGGTGCAGTGCAGTGGGGCACAGCGCGGTGCAGGGGAGAATAGGGGGCATAGAGGTGATCCATCATCCACCTCTACTCCGGGCGTACCATCTGCAAGCTGCTGCTGCCCGACCATGGCCTGCACGCTGATGTCAATGGAGACGGGGTGCTGGACCATGTGCAGGTGAGATGCGGTGCAGTGCGGTGCAATGGGGTTGGATGGGGCGTGCAGTTGGGGAGGTGCGGTGCAGTGGAGAATGGTGTGGGCACTGAGCATCTGCATTGAGAAGTCGTGCTGGACCACGGCCCACTCCAGCATCCCCCCCATGTGACCCACCGCCCTCCAGTGCCTTGCACCACACTCACCCAATGTCGCACCATCCCCTTGCCGCATGTGTCCGTTCCCTTGCCCCATGCACCATCTGCAGGCATCAGGCGCATTGGGAGACGAGCTGTTCACGTTTGGCAGTGAGGAGGAGGCATCAGAGGTGGTCAAGTCCTGCTGGACCATGGCGCTCTCCGGCATCCCCCCCACCCAACCACTCTTCAACGGCTCTATCTGCCGCCCCCACGCCTCGCTCTTCAACCTCGCGTGAGTGCCTGCACTGCACCCCATGAGACTCGGCCCATGTTGAGTTGAGTGGTGTCGAGGCTCATCAGAGGAGGTTAAGTCCTGCTGGCCCACGGCTCTCTCTATGGCATGCTGTTAAATCATAAGTACCCCTCACAGCCTCTCTTCAACGGCTCCATCTGCCGCACCACGCCTCCCTCTTCAATTTCACGTCAGTGCCAGCCTCCCACCTGGGGCAGTGCCAGCCTCCCGCCTGGGGCAGTGCCAGCCTCCCGCCTGGGGCAGTGCCAGCCTCCCGCCTGGGGCAGTGCCAGCCTCCCGCCTGGGGCAGTGCCAGCCTCCCGCCTAGGGCAGTGCCAGCCTCCCGCCTTGGGCAGTGCCAGCCTCCCGCCTTGGGCAGTGCTAGCCTCCCGCCTTGGGCAGTGCCAGCCTCCCGCCTGGGGCAGTGCCAGCCTCCCGCCTTGGGCAGTGCCAGCCTCCCGCCTTGGGCAGTGCCAGCCTCCCGCCTTGGGCAGTGCCAGCCTCCCGCCTTGGGCAGTGCCAGCCTCCCGCCTTGGGCAGTCATGCAGTTGTTGCGAGGCTTGTTGGCAGCTCTTGCTTGTGAGTCTCTCGTCTCTGAGTAGGAACAGTAGAAAGAGGGCATGCCACAGGGCAACAGCAAGCGGTAGATTGTTTTGGAGAATTCTCAAAAACAATCTACAGCGTCTCTGAGTAGGTACAGTAGAAAGAGGGCATGCCATAGCAGTTCTGGACAATAGCGAGCGGCACTGGTGGCTCATGCTCTGCCATCCCCAACCCCCTTCTCCTCTCCTGCTGCTGCCCCAAACACCCTCCTGTTGTTTTGTTCTCTCTCTTCCCTCTCGTCCCTTCCTCCTTCCATTGCAGTTCTGAGTTCCAGGAGCAGTGGAACGAGCACGCGACAGGGCAGCAGAGGGTGGGCGTGATGGCGCCCAAATTGCTGCTCATACGCTCTTCCCCTCCTCCCCTCCTCCCCTCCTCCCCTCCTTCCCTCCTTCCCTCCTCCCGTCCTCCCCTCCTTCCCTCCTCCGCTCCTCTCCTGTCGCAGTTCTGAGTTCCAGGAGCAGTGGAATGAGCACGCGACAGGGCAGCAGCGGGTGGGAGTGGTGGCGCCCATTCTGCTGCCTCGCAGGGACCGCCACCGCCGCCACCAGCGCCGCCATGGAGATGTCATCTACTTCAACAGCCGAGGCGAGGTGAGCAGGCAGTGAGTGAGCAGACATACGGTCCATGGCCGGCAGACATATGGTCCATGGCCGGCAGACATATGGTCCATGGCCGGCAGACAACGGTCATGGTTGAAGCGAGGAGATGCCGTCTACTTCAACAGCCGAGGCGAGGTGAGACCCAGCATACAGGCATGCAGGCTTGCTTGGTATCCACGTCAGCACTGATCCTAGTGGACCACTGCACACCCCACAACCTGCATCTGAGGCCCCTCTGAAGCCAGCTGTTTCATGTCCGCTTTTGCTACCCCCTCTTTTCCCACAGGTCACCTCGTATGCGACTGAAGCGCTGAGCAGCAAGGGACCACACGGGCACGTGCGGTGGCAGATCAGCACAGACGCCAACTGCACCCCCGCTGACCCCGCGGCCTCCTTTTGATGCCCTTCTGAAGCTGTTTCTTGTCCGCTTTTCCACCCTCCCCCCCCCACTCCCTTGCGTCCCCGCCAGATCACCTCATATGCGACTGAGGCCCTGAGCAGCAAGGGACCGCACGGCCACATGCGGTGGCAGATCAGCACAGACGCCAAGTGGACCCCCGCCGACCCCGCAGCTGCCTTTGACTCCTCCGCTCCCCCGGCCCACGTGCCCTCCCTGCACGCCATGGCTCTTAAAGCCGGGGGACGGCCGGAGGTGATTCTGGCGGTGGGGGATAACGAGGCGGTGTTTGTGTCCCCTGGGGGGAAGATCCTGGGGACGCTTGCGCTGCCGACGACACCCACAGAGCCGATTATTGTGGCGGATTTCAATGGCGATCGGCTGAATGACCTGATTATCGTCACTGCCATTGGCCCGTACGGGTTCGTTCAGGTGCGCTGCTCGTCTCTGCTCATCTCTCCTTGACTAATATTCATTCACTCTTTTCAAAAGAATTGCCTCGTTTTCTGTGTGTGTCCGTTGTGTCATGCTGCCATTGCTGCTTGTACGGTATGTTCCCTGCCACTTAGGCCATACCTCTTTCTGACCCACAACCTCACATGGTCTCACAGGTGCGGCAACCAGGAGCCATGCTGCTGTCCTCGCTACTGGGCTGCCTCGTTATAGTGATGAGTGTCATCTTTGTGTCGCTGCATCTTGACACGCCTCGTGGCGGCAAGCCACGTGGCCGAAGCACTGACTAGGGGGGTGCAATGCAATGCAGCGAACTGTTTGGGAATGTAAAGTGACTAGCACTATGTGACCCTTTACCCGTGAGTAGGCACAACTTTTAAGAATTTCTGGATGTAAACTCTAGAAAGGCGGGCTTGGGAAGGTTGGCGTGTGGCTGTTCTGTATTGTACTTGTTACAAATTCCTTTACCATTGGTGCAACAGTGTGGGTTAGAAAATGGTAAACCACATATCACGGCTTTTCCAGTAAGGGCGGCAGCGCGTACGCTTTTATCTGGTTAAAAGTAATTCTGTGCGGTTGATCTACTTACATCACGGTGCAAAGCGGTGGAAACTAATAGCCGCTGTGCACCTTTGGAAAACGTTTTAAACCACGACGGATGAACTGTAAGCAAACTGTACATGAACGCACTGGACCCGCCCTAAGGCCGTGTGCACTTAGGGCAAAATTTGTCAGAGTTCGAACATTAACCGCTTTGCACCGTGGCGAAGCGTTTTTTATTAGTATCGTACCGAGTAGAACCTCGCTGAAAGTTCGAACTTAGACAGAAGTTCGAATGCCTAGTGCACACGCCCTAAGGAACCCCGTCAGTTCCTGCGTCGGGAGCCTGGTAGCCACTCGTAACACCTCTGCTATAGTTTCCTCCGTTTCACTGTATCACGTTTGCCTACTCTCTCATCGCATCCCGTCGCGTGCCGCCAATCGCACCGCGACGACAACCGCGCGGGAGCATGGCGTCTCTCCGTCGCCTCGCCTCGTCGCGCGCCCCGCTGCAGCTCCGCTCGCTAATCGCCACCCGAAGCTTCCTTCCGCCTTCGCATACCACCCGCCAAGCAGACCCTCCCTGTTCAGTAGATCCCACCGCTGACCTAAGAATCGCGTCACATTTAAACGGCATTCTCGGCTTTCCGCACATTCCGCTGTTCGCCTCCGCGCCAGCGTCACCTGGACTACCTCCGCTTGAGGCTTCCGCGTCCCCCGTTATCAGTTCCGCTTCCGCTTCCGCCCAACCGCTGCCGTGGGGGGAGCACGCGGGGCCAGTGATGGAGTGCGGGCGCGGGGACAAGCGGACGAGGCGGGGGAAGATCTTCAAGGGGTCGTACGGGAACGCGCGGCGGGACAAGAAGCGGGAGAATCAACGGCTCCGGGAAAAGTGGGAGCTGCCACCTGGCAGCAGCGTTGACACCGTGTTAGCCGGCCGGTAGCTGAGCTGCTGACGTGTCACTGCGCCGGTCACGTGTCAGATGGTGTTTCATGACGTGGCAGCACATCCAGGGCAGCGCGTGCATAGGGATAGGATGATCGGATGAGATTCAATGTCCTGACGTGACGAAGACTGGCGAGGGTGTGTGCGGGGCTAGGCTGCATCTAGAAGCGCTATCCTCGGCTGTTCTCTCTATGCTGTGCAAGCTGTCGTGTGTGTTGCTGCTTTCCTGCTTGTTATTCCACGGTTTGTGCTGCACACATGCTTGCCTAGCAGTTTTTCTTTCCAGGCAGCACACCTGCTCTCCTCTCCTTTCTGCCAGGGTAGGGTGTCATGGTGTGCAGTGAAACAGCCGCCTGACAGTAGCGGCACTAATCCAATCGTGGCGTATATTAATTCTTGCAGATTTAATTCCAAATTTTGCACTGAGATCACATAGTTGGCTGTTGGGCACACAACACAACACAACACAACCCAACCATGGGGTTGGGCTTAAATGAATTATCTCCCAACACAAGGCAGCACCTCCAACTTTCTCCTGTCAAGTCCCACTCCCCTACCTGCCTTTTGACTTGACCAGACGCCTCTCTCTCAGTCGCATTTACCCCTGCCAGCACTCGCACCACCCCCACCACCCACCTCTGCCTGCACCGCTTTCACCAGGTCCAACAGCCGTGGCACCACCTCCCCTAGCTTCCCCCCTGCTGCCTCCCCCCACACACTGCCCCCACGCTGTGCTTTCCCTGTCTCCTTCCCTTCATCAACCCCACCAGCAGCAGAATTGGCAGCTGCAGCCGCAGAAATTGCAGCAACAGCAGCCACAGTAGCAGTGGCACCCGCAGTAGTACCAGCGGTACCAGCACCAGCGCCAGCAGCTGCAGCCATAGCGTCAGATAGCAGTATGTCGCTTAACTGCGGCTCGTCATTTGCTGCTGCAGCTGCTGCTGCCGCCCGTGCTCTTTCCTCTTCAACCCTCCTCTGCTCCGCCTCACCTGCCAATCGCCTCGCTGCTTCCCTCATTACAGTCACACACCGGCCCACAGCAGCTGCCAGCTGGCCTCCTTTGGGGAGTATGGCAGGTGCTGACGTGGCGCTTCTGGGAGGTGCCAGGTGGCTGCTTACGTGGAGGATGCTGAGGAGGAGGGTGAGTGTGCGGGAAGCTGAGGTGGCGACATCCTGTTGGGCGTGAGAGGGCATGGTACAGGCGGAGCAGAGACGCATTTGAGATTTCCCTGGTTATGCTGTTGCACAATGGTAGAACAGCTTGCATATCCCATTCAGTCTGTCCCCTTAGCTAACAAAACTCAGAAGCACAGAGGCACGCACAGAATGCAAACTGCCCGCCACTTACCAGGGTATAACCAAAGCTGTTCTTGTTTCCCATCGTTTCTGAGCCACCATCTCCCTTCGCTGTAAGCACATTCTCCATAGTCACAGCCAGGGAATCTAGCAGCCATGCCACAGGCATTTCGGCCCGGGTCCGGTTCGAATCCAGCAGCAATGGCCACACCCAATCAGCTTCGGCAACCGAACCAGGCAGCGCCGGAGCCAGACCTCCAGGCTCGGCAGAAGGCGGTTGGATCGGCGGAGGGAGCGGGGACGGAAAGGAGGCTCGGGAGGGCAGTGCTTTGGAAACAAAAGTCCGAACCTCTGGAGATGCCTGGAGGAGGACAGAAGCAGGGAAGAAGCAGGCAGCAATGAGGGTCGGTGAGTATGGTTTGAGTGAGTCCGGACATTGGTAAATCCGACCAGAGGCGAGCATAGGCATGTCCAGCAAACATGGTTGGAGAACATCTGAATCCTCATGGATTTGTGTGATCTGATCTGATCTGATCTCAATGAGGAGAGGAGAGTCAGAGCGAGGCTGGGTTGGTGGCATGGGGAGGTTATTGGGCAAGGGCGCTTACAGCAAGGAAGAGCAGCACAGTGTCAAGCCACTGCCATGACGTGGGAAACTGGGATGTGGCTGGTGGTGCTGCGTGTGTGTCTGTGGGCTGCTGTGTGGCGGGAGCGCGTGGCTTGGATGGTGCGAGGGAGGCGTGTGCTGCCACGAGGGCTCGACAGAGACCAGACTGGTGGGAGGCACAGCGGAGCATGTGTGGGTATGGGAGTGGATGACAGGGAATGGGAGGGGATGGGGGATGATGAGAGGGCATGGGGGATCATGGGAGGGCAGATGGAAAGGGAACATACAAAGGGAACAAAACATGTGAGAAAGGGGCACAGAGCAAGTGGGACAGGGGCACAACCGTTCTAGTAAGAGCCTCGACACGAAACCCAACAGTGCGAATGCAGTGAAGTTATCGACCCTGTGATCAGCACGTACCTTGAACCGCGCGTGAGAAGCCTAGTTTTGAGGCGCCTCAAATTATGGAGCCTGTGATCAGCAGCTTTTGAGACGTCTCAAATGTGATGAGCACGTACCTTGATGGCCGAGTCACCAACGGTGCGAGCAACAGTAGGGGAAGGGGCGGAGGAGGCAGCGGATTGGATCCAGAACAGCAGCACCCGCTGCAAGTGGATCAAGAATTGAGCAGTGGCTGTTGCTGTTGTCGCACTTGCTGCTGCCGCTGCAGTGTGATTGGTCGATGCCCATTGCACCAGATCCCCCAACCCAGGGCAAAACGCGTTCACAGCCGCCCAAACCTTCCGCCGAACCAGCTTCTCCTCCAAACCTCCTGCCAAGCCTGGTGCTCTGGCTCCCCCTTTCCCCCCACGTTCATCCTTCCCCTTAGCTGCAGACGCGTTGGGGGATGATGAGGCAGAGAGCTGAGAGATGAGGGTCGAGAGGAGGGCGAGGGAGGTAGCTGTAGCCGTGAGTGCAGGAGGGGTTGGCTTGGCGGGCGGAGGAGTGCTCGAGAGTGGAGAGGGGGAGGAGACGGAAGAAGGGAGGGAGAGGCGAGGGGAGGAGGCAGCAGTGTGGATGGCTTCTATTGTCTGTGATATCACATTGGCACCGGTGGCAGGGTTGGAGGAGGAGGAAGAGCAGATGTGCAGCAGTCTAAGGGAGAGGAGGTCCAGATAGAAGGATAGCAGCACGGGGTATGCACCCTCACCACCCACTGCACCGCATCCCACTCCTCCCTCTGCCACACGCTTATCCCCATCCACACCCTTTTCCACAACCCCATCCCCACCCCCATCAGCATCCCTACCCTCCTTCACTTCCCCACTGCCTATTGAACGGCTGCCAATATTGCCTTCTGTCTGTCCGTCTGTGATTGGCTGTGCGCCAATCAGCACCGCCAGCCTCACCACGTCATCAATCATCCCCGCCTGGCCCCACGCTGAGTCAGCACTGCCGGGAAGAACGCCCTGCAAGCTGCCGACCAATGCCGCCCATTTTGCAAGCAGAACTGGCCAATCAGAGGCATCCTCTACGTGCCTCTGTTGCTGGTGCTGTGGCTGCTGCTGGTGATGGTGGTGATGGTCTAGAGTGGAAGGCAATGAGAGAGACTCGTCTTCCAGGGGGAGCCAATCCGATGCGTCAGATGCTTCTGAGAGGGTAGAATGGAAACAGAACGAGATGGTGTGGGCGTGGGAAGGGACGGGAAGGGAAGAAGGAATTGGAATCGAGGAAGTGAAATGGGGGGAGGGTGGGCTGGAGAGGTTGAACTAGGCGAGTGTGAGAGAGGGATGAAGCAAAGCTGCTTTTGCATGGCACCCAACCAATGAGCAGCATACCGTTTGAATCCGCATGCGACGAAACGAGTTTTGAGGCGTCAGAAAAGCCACAAAGCCACCCACCCAGCCACCCAGCCACCCAGCCACCCAGCCACCCAGCCACCCACCCACCCAGAAAAGGAGCATACCGTCTGAGTCCGTGCGATCGTCTGTCTCCCTCTCTGCATGGCCCACACCGTCAACGTCGGCAGCAACGGGCATGGCACCGCTGGGGCTGCTGCCATTTGCTTCAGGTACAGCTGGTCCTTCTCCAGCCGTCTCACTAGCCTCGTTGCCCAAAGCTCTGGCTTCATTTGACTGAGGTTCGGTAGGAGGTTCGGCCGGAGGTTCGGCAGGAGGGGCGGGGAGCTCCGGAGGGTCGAGGTGCAAGGAGGAGAGGGCAGCTGCGAATGCCTTCACTCCAGCGTTGCCAGGCAGCTTGAAACAGTTTGCGGGCAGCTTCACCAGGAGAGAAGCTGCAGGAAGAAGAAACCCAACCAATCAAACGACAGAGATTCAAACACAACCATGAGAACGGAAACAAAATTGTGATGGGCACCTGCTGAGAAAAAAAAACTACGCAAGCTACCAGGACGCTATCTAAGATTTAAGTCACAATGGGGTGGTAAAGGGCCTGGGGGGTAAAGGGCCTGGGGGGTAAAGGGCCTGGGGGGTAAAGGGCCTGGGGGGTAAAGGGCCTGGGGGGTAAAGGGCCTGGGGGGTAAAGGGCCTGGGGGGTAGTTCAAGGCCGAAGGGCAAGGAAGAAGTGACGGCTGAGCTGTCTTCTGGAGACAAGACAATGCTGAAAACAGGATAGTGCATCCGGGGCTGCCGGAACCAAACAACAAACCCCACCCGCAATCTGAGCAGCAGCGTCTGCAAGCTGCCTGCCTGCTGCCCCCTGCTCCTCGCCCACTCCAGCGTCCCTTTCCCCAACTGCCGCTGTCACCCCAGGTCCTTCCCTCCCTCCTTCCCCTACGGCGGCTGCAGAAGCTGCGATGCTGGCGGGTGTGCTGCTTCCGCCTGGCTGTGCCTTGTGCGCGGATGCTGCAACGTATGAGAGGCCTGAGAGGAACCGGCTCGTGATGGGAAAGGACGGAACACCGCTGCTGGTAGTGGTGGTGGTGGTGGTGGTGGTGGTGGTGCTGCTGCTGCTGCTGCTGCTGCTGCTGCTGCTGCTGCCAGTGGATGGGATCAGGTCCACCTGCTTTCTGCACGGGCAGAGATATGCATGCATGTGTGCATGTGCGGACAAACAGACACGCAAGGAACAACTTGAAACCATTACCACCTGATTGATTACCCTTTGCACAGCCCACTTTTCCCTCCCACCCCATCCCCTTTTCCACCATCCTCTCTTCATGATAGTCCGTCCGCATGCCATGCGCCATGCCCCATACCCCATGCCCCATACCCCATGCCCCATGCCCCATACCCCATGCCCCATACCTCATGCCCCATACCCCATGCCCCATACCCCATGCCCCATACCCCATGCCCCATACCCCATGCCCCATACCCCATGCCCCATACCCCATGCCCCATACCCCATGCCCCATACCCCATGCCCCATGCCCCATGCCCCATGCCCCATACCCCATGCCCCATACCCCATGCCCCATACCCCATGCCCCATACCCCATACCCCACGCCCCATACCCCATGCCCCATACCCCATGCCCCATGCCCCATGCCCCATGCCCCATGCCCCTTGCCCCTTGCCCCATGCCCCATGGTCCATGCTCCTCGTTCCTAGCATGCCCCCCTCCCGTTCTCCCCTTCCCCTTCCCCTTCTTTTCCCCCCACCTGATATCTGCAGCGAGCGCAGCCAGGTCGCGCGGCTGCGCGGACGGGAAGTCGAACCACAGGCTGCGGAACGCCCGCTTCGCGCGCTCACCGTCGCTCACGCGCGCCGCCGCCTGCTCCGCTGCCATGATTGCGCGAGCCATGTCCGCCGCCAGCCTGCGCTGCTGCGCGCGCTCCGCCGCCGCTGAAGAATGGGAAAACAGGCGCGCGGGAGGGCGTGGGGAGGAAGTAAAGCAGGGAAGTCGGAAACCGCGCAAGACGGATGTGGAGAAGAACAGCGCGGGGAAAAGGAGGCCTGAGCAGAAAAGGCCTGATGCGCCATGAGCCATGCGCCAAGCGCCGTGCGCGCAGCGACGGTTGCCGCCCGTACCGGGGTCGTTCGCGTCGGCGGCGATGAGCGCGCGCGCCATGTCGACCACAGCGGCGCGCAGCTCCCCCGTCCCCATGACGTCAGCGATTGCGCGCTCCTGCTGCTGCCGGCGCAGGCCCCCGTCCGCCGCATCCCCCCGCCCCATGTGCTTCACCGCGCGTATTAATGGAGGAGGCCTATGGTGGTGAATGCGGAAAAAAACGAGTAATTGAGGACTGTCTGTACTTCATATAAGTGGAACGGTCTGCTCGAGTGACGGAAAAGCAAATCTTCTACTTCGTTACGAAGTTCATCATCGAATACATATTTCAGTATGGTGAGTCGGCAAGGAAGCGCACATGCTACATTTCTTTCAATAAGCAATTGAAATACACAAAAGTTTAATGTCCTTGATACCCTACAAAAAGGTCCAGAACCATCTCATTAACCTCCACAGGATCATGCCGCAGGTATTTCCCTGGGTGCCTCGAGGCCTCCATGACATGCTTGTAAGCGAGATAAAAGTCGGTGTAGGGTGCGAGCACACGCTGCTTCACCGCCAGTCGTAACTCGTCCCGCAGCGGGCCGGGGTTGACAAGCCACCGCGTTTGGTCGCGATGGATCTCCTCCAACAGGATGTTGAACGCCTTGAATTTTTCCTGAGAGGGTGGATTTGGAGGTGCATGATGGAAGGGAATAGGACGGAAGGGGCAAGGTGGGAAGGGGCACAAGCCATCGTGTTTAGTCGCGATGGATTTCCTCCAACAGGATGTTGAACGCCTTCAATTTCTCCTGAATGGGTGAATTTGCAAGCAGAGGATGGAGGGAGCAGGACGAAGGGGGCAGGATTGGATTGGATTGAGCACCAAGCCACCTTGTTTGGTCGCGATGAATCTCCTCCGACAGAATGTTGAACGCCTTGAATTTTTCCTGATAGGGTGGGTTTGTGGGTGCATGATAAAAGAGTGGGTCCAGGCACATGCAAGATGCATGTGGAGGTGAAAAAATGATGGAGCTAGCAAGGGGAGAAAGAGGGAGGAACGGTGAAGCTTTCCTTTCTCTCTCAACTTGAGCATGCTCTTGTGAGGCTGTGTGGAGGGGTCGATGCGGAGAGTGCAGGAGGGAGAGCAGAGACAGAAACACATGTGTTCAAGGCGTTCAACATTCTGGCACATGGGTCAGGAGGGAGAGCAGAGACAGAAACACATGTGTTCAAGGCGTTCAACATTCTGGCACATGGGTCAGGAGGGAGAGCAGAGACAGAAACACATGTGTTCAAGGCGTTCAACATTCTGGCACATGGGTCAGGAGGGAGAGCAGAGACAGAAACACATGTGTTCAAGGCGTTCAACATTCTGGCACATGGGTCAGGAGGGAGAGCAGAGACAGAAACACATGTGTTCAAGGCGTTCAACATTCTGGCACATGGGTCAGGAGGGAGAGCAGAGACAGAAACACATGTGTTCAAGGCGTTCAACATTCTGGCACATGGGTCAGGAGGGAGAGCAGAGACAGAAACACATGTGTTCAAGGCGTTCAACATTCTGGCACATGGGTCAGGAGGGAGAGCAGAGACAGAAACACATGTGTTCAAGGCGTTCAACATTCTGGCACATGGGTCAGGAGGGAGAGCAGAGACAGAAACACATGTGCGTGAACCCTAGGTCGGGGAAAAAGAGCTAAGCCTACCCTACCTTGAGCGTGCTCTTGTGCAACTGTGTGGAGAGGTCGATGCGGAGAGTGCAGGAGAGATAGGGCAGAGATGCAGACACAGACACAGACACAGACACAGACACAGACACAGACACAGACACAGACACATACACATACACTACCCGTAAAGTCAAACTCGGAGGGAGGAGGTCAACTCACATTGTGGTGAACCCACCCACCTTGAGCGTGCTCTTGTGCAGCTGCGTGGAGGGGTCGGACGCGTAGGAGAGAAAGAGCAGAGACACTGACACATAATCGAGAGTTCAAGACTCAGATGGAGAGGAGCTAAACCCACCTTGAGCGTGCTCTTGTGCAGCTGTGTTGAGGGGTCGATACGGAGTGTGTAGGAGAGGCGGGAGAAGCAGAAGCGCAGATACTCGCTGCCATGCTGCCTCACCAACGCTGCCTGCCTCCTCACCCAGTCGTCCCCCACCACCACCCTCATGTCCGACTCCTTCACCTGCAAACGAGCAGAGGAGGAGACGGGAGGCAGTTTTATCAAGGGGCAGAAGCAAGGGTTAAGCACCCAGTCGTCCCCCACCACCACTCGCATGTCCGACTCCTTCACCTGTAGAGAGGGGTGGGGAGGGGTGAGGGGAGGGGGGTTGGCAGAAACAAGAACAATGCACCCAGTCGTCCCCCACCGCCACTCGCATGTCCGACTCCTTCACCTGCAGCAAGGGGTGAGTGGAGGGGGGGTTTTAAAAGGGGCAGAAACAAGAACAATGCACCCAGTCATCCCCGACCACCACCCTCATGTCTGACTCCTTCACCTGCAGCGAGGGAGAGAAAGGGATGGGTGGGCAATTTCAACAAGGGGGAAAGACAAGGAAAGACAAGGATCAAGCATCCTTTCATTCCCCACCACAACCCGCGTGTCTGACTCCTTCACCTGCAGCGAGGAGGAAAGGAAGTGTAATTTTGACAAGGTAGTGGATGTTGTTGATCGAAAGAACATCACATTTGAAACGAGAAGAGCGGGCGGGCATTAAAGCGTGGATGCTACTCAGAAGAAACAAAAAAGCCCACCTTGCGCGCCATGTAGTGGATGTTGTTGAGCAGAAACACCTCGCCCTGAGCAGGGTCCCTGTACTGCCTCGCCTTGCCCTGCAGATTCTTCTCCAACACCGCCAGCTGCCACACCACCTTGCGCCCCAGCCCTGCATACTCCGGCACCCCTGCTCCTCTGAACCCCTTCCGTGCTTCTTTCCTCGCCTGCTCCCGCCTCCTTGCTTCCTCCTCGTCCTCCTCCTCGCTCTCACTCTCACTCCCCTCCGTCCCACTCCCCTCCTCACCGCTCCCACTCATCTCACTCCCACTCGACGCACTCGGGGTCTCCAACCCACCTTCTCCCCTCCCCCCATCCCTCCCCCCATCCCTCCCCCCATCCCTCCCCCCATCCCTCCCGCTCCCATCCCTCCCTCCTCCCTTCTTCTTCGAAGCAACCAGCTTGTGAATCTTCCCAGCAGTAGCAGCATCGCCTCGTATAAACAGCCTTTCAAGCGAGTCCCGGTATTCGTAGAGCAGAATCACGTAGTTGACAACGTAGCGCGTGAGCCCATGGATGGTGGCGGTGGCGGGGATGTCTGACACGTCGCTCTCAATGCCCGTTTCAAAGTGTGTGAGGATGGCGTTGATGGCGTGTTCCAGGCGAGTGACCACCAAAGTGAAGTCGTCCCTGAAGCCCGTGCAGGGGCCGTCCCCTGCCACACCATGGGGGGAGGGGAGCAGAGGGAGGGGGGTGGATGTCTGAAGCGCCACTCTCACTGCCGAATTCAAAGTGGGTGGGGATGGCGTTGATGGCGTTCTCAAGGCGCATTACAACCAGGCCGAAATCGTCCCTCACACCCGTGCAGGTTACAACCACCGCCAACAACCCCACCGCACCTTTACACGCAGCATCGAAGTCAGGCTTCAGGCCCCCCATGAGCTCGTAGAGGTCCAGCATGGAGAAGAGTCGCTCCGCCAGGCGCTTGTCGAGAGTGACCGAGCCTGGACGTGCGGAGAGGCTGAGGGAAACAAACTTACCCCACTTCACCGCATTCCACCACATTCCACCGCACACCGTACTCCACCCTACCCCACCGTACCGCACCTTTACACGCAGCATCAAAGTCAGGCTTCAAGCCCGCCACGTTCTCATAGAGGTCAAGCATGGAGAAGAGGCGCTCCGCCAGCCCACCACACCCCACCCCAACCCACACCACTCCACCGCACTTCATCCCACCCCACCTTTGCACGCAGCATCAAAGTCAGGCTTCAGGCCCGCCATGTTCTCATAGAGGTCCAGCATGGAGAAGAGCCGCTCCGCCAGGCGCTTGTCGAGAGCAAAGGCCTCGGCAAAGGCGAATATGAATCGCACCGCGGATGACGCCACCTCGTGAAAACACATCTCCGCCAACTGAAGGGGAAGGCAGGTGGGCAAGAGACAAGGGGCAGGGGTCAGGGGTTCAGGGGGATGCTGTTTGGGGCAGGGAGGCAGAACAGTTGAAAAAACAGGATCTGGTTTGAGACGGTCAGGTCAAAGAGACAGAGGGACGCTCCTCGCTTCTCACTCACAAACCTCCACCCATCCCACCCGCCCTTTCCCGCACTCACGTTGCCCTGCCCTTGGAACACCGAGTCACAGAGTCGCCTCTCAGCCAGCAGCACCACGTGCACAGCCAGCCGAGCAAACTGCATCCACGCCTTCACCTTTCCCCATTCCCCATTCCCCTTGCACCCTTCTTCTCTTCCCCCCTTCCCTACTTCCCCCATTCCCGCACTCACATTCCCCTGCCCTTGGAACACGGAGTCACATAGCCTTCTCTCAGCCAGCAGCACGACGCGCACGGCCAGCCGCGCGAACTGCATCCACGCCTTCACGCGCTCCTCCAGCGCCTCCCACCGCACGCCCCCCATGTCCTCGGGGCGGAACTGCCCCGCTGCCAGCTGCTCGAGAGTTCTGTCCAACGCCTGGGAGGGAAGGGGAGGGCGAGAGGAGGCGGAGGGGGACAATACATGGGGAAGGGGGGAGGGCCGCTGTTCGCACTGCTCTCTTTGTCACGCGCTCCTCCAGCGCCTCCCACCGCACGCCCCCCATCTCCTCGGGGCGGAACTGCCCCGCTGCCAGCTGCTCGAGAGTTCTGTCCAACGCCTGTGGTGAATGGGAGTGCGGACAAGGACCAACACGCGGTGAGCGAGGAAGGCTGGAAAGAAGTCTTCTTCCCTGAACCACAGGAAGCCTACTCTACTCTACTCTACTCCCGCTGCGTACCACTAAGAACGAGGTGGGTCCAACAAGACGGCATGGTGACTTGGAAAACCACTCACCACGTGCGAGACCATACACCACTCATTCCCCCTTCGTCTGCCTCCTCTCAACGGCTCCGTTCGCCCTCACTCCCTCACTCCCTCCCTGCTCGCCCCCTACCTCCCGCCGTTCGCCCTCGCTACCCGTTACTGCCCCTTACGTACTCTAACCCGCACCTTAACTGCTCTCACCTGCCCGGTACCTGCCCCTCACCTGCCTCCGAATTGCGCGGTAAGTCTCCAGGCACGTCTGTCCCAAACCAGCCTGCACCATCCGCCGAGCCACCTCCCGAACCTGCACTGCAGCATGGGGCTGCATCAGGTACGGTCCGCCGTCCGAGCCTCCCTTAGACCCCCTCGCGCTGCCGCCGCTGCTGCCGCCCGTTCGGCTCTTGGACGCAGCTTGGTAAACCGCCTCCGGTTCTAGCGGCTTAGAATGCGCTTTAAGAACGTACCAGAAGCCCTGCTCTAGCCACGGCCGCGCCGCGGCCGCGAACCACTTAGCTCTGTGAAGCATCTCGGCAGCTTCGCTGCTGTTTCCGCCGTATCTGCCCGACTCGCACGTGTCGATCACGGATTGGATGGAATCTAGGGCTTGCAGGTACGCGTCCACGTGGACGCTCGAGCCTTCCCATAGGCGGAGGCTTGCTGTTGACGTGTCACTGGTCTGGGAGGACGCGGAGCGCGTGCTGCTGCGGGAGGAGGGTCGGCTGCTCGCGCTGCTTCCGCCGCCGTGTGATGACGCGTCGGAATGCCATTGGCGGAGAACGCGCTCAGCGTTCTGAAGGGCTGCTCGGGTAACGGTAGTTGAGGCGGTAACCATGCTGGGCGAACACGCACGAACACAGCGAAGAACTATGGAAAATCGTATCGCAGCTAGTAGTATAACTTTTTGAGTTTTTCAAAAAAGATGTGAAAATACGAGACACTCGGATTACGGTGTGTTGCCGCTAGAACTACGGGACTCTCGACACGCCACGTGTCGGTTTGTGAAAGGACGTACACTACTACGGGATTAACTGCACCTAATCGCGAACATAAGACAGACTAGAGCACTGCTAACTTCACGGGCTCGCAACACCGCGCGCCGATAATATTCACAGCACCATTCTGCTTAAAATAACGTCGACAGAGCCGCTCGCTCGTCGCCTGTCATGCTACCATCGTTCGCTGCTATCCAGCACCGGCGAATATGCCAAGGCCATTACACACGCAGGAGTAAAGTCACTTGAGGCACGCGGGCCTAGCGGGTCAGTGGCAGGATGAAACTGTGAAATGCGAGAGAGGAATGCGAAGGTTGATGAAAGTGGAGGAAGGAGAGGAAGGCGGAGGTAGGGTAGGGATGTGTAAGGAATTTTGCTAATTCCTTACTGAGGCACCGCTTACGCGTACATTTCCAATTTTCGGGCCAGTAGGTGTGGATGTTGATGCCTGACAAAAAAGACGGCCGAGGTCCGACAGCCGAGAACTGACGGACGGGACGTCATGGGACCATCAGAAACTCACAACACTTCCCGCCAGTCTTCAGTGGTGATCAGCTAGTTGCTAACTACACTTGGTTCGTGAAACACCTTAGATAGCCATTTATGAGCTCCCTAAACGTGTTTCTTCACAAGCGAATTATTCCAACTCAACCAGGGCAACTTCAGATACAATACTACAAAGCCGAGGTTCTACCACTCAAATCATCCATCAGTGCAACTCGTTTTTAAAAGGAACCCAAAATCACTGGGCGTAGTAACCCTGCTGATAGTACCCTGTTGTGGCACCAGCGGCAGGGGCGGCAGCAGCAGCTGGCGCGGCAGCATAGCCAGACTGGGGATACTGCTGTGAGAGGAGCAGGATGTGGGATTGGAATGAAGGCAGCACAGAATGCATTTGTGAGCAGAAAATATAACACACAAGACCCTACTACCTACCTGTGCCACACACCCTTTATGCTCCATACCTGTGCCACACACCCTTTATGCTCCATACCTGTGCCACACACCCTTAATGCTCCATCCCTGTACCACACCCCCTTATGCTCCATACCTGTGCCACACCCCCTTCTGCTCCATACCTGTGCCACACCCCCTTATGCTCCATACCTGTGCCACACCCCCTTATGCTCCATACCTGTGCCACACCCCCTTATGCTCCATACCTGTGCCACACACCCTTATGCTCCATACCTGTGCCACACCCCCTTATGCTCCATGCCTGTGCCACACACCCTTTATGCTCAATACCTGTGCCACATACCTATACGCTCCATACCTGTGCATATGTCTGCCCGTACGCCCCATATCCAGAAGCAGCAGCCTGGGGCGCAGCAGGAGCAGCAGCAGCTGCAGCAGGGGCGGCAGAGTAACCGCCGTAGCCAGCATAGCCAGAATATGCCTGCAGGGATGAACGGGGTCAGACCGAGACATGAAGAGCAGTCAGGCATGCAAGGCAGTACGGGGTGAACACAGGGAGGAGAGCCAAGCGAGAAAAAGTAGTCATCACACATAGCAACGAGCTCAGCATGCACGAAACCATTTCCAAACACCACCATTACACACCCCCCCAAGAAAACCCTGTCAACTCCCTTCTGCCCTCCCTTCTGCCCTCCCTTATGCCCTCCCTTCTCTCCTCCCTACCCATCCACCCACACCCAACCCCTCCACCATCCCCCTCACCTGTTGCCCATACGCTCCCCATTGCCCCTGCTGGGCAGGCGAAGAAGCCGCAGCCGGCGCTGCAGCAGCCGCTGCAGGCGACGCCGGCGTTGCAGCAGCAGCAGCTGCCGGTTGCTGCCACGTGCCCTGCTGCCTCTGCCCCCCGTACCCCCCATACCCCCCTCCCGCCGCTCCACCGTAACCACCAGCGCCCGCAGCACCATAGTAGTTGGACGAGGGGGCAGAGGCGCGGTGGTGCTTGTACCCTCCGGAACGGTCGGGGTAGGAGGTGCCGTCTGGGTGGGTGCGCTTGCGCGAGTCGGCAGCGGCGGTGGTGGCGGCGGCGGTGGGACGCTTGAAGGGGAAGAGGGAGCGGTGGCGCGCTGCTGCTTGCTTCACTGCTGCTGTATCCCCAAAGAGATCCGCTAGCTGGGAGTGAGTGTGGGGAGGGAGGGAGCGGATGGGAGGGAGGGAAGGGAGGGAGGGACGGAGGAGGATGGTGGAAAAGGAGAGGAGGAATGCGGAGATTGTAAGGAAGACGATGTAGAGATGACCTCACATGCAGGAAGAATTAGTGAGGTGGAGCAATTTAAGTTCAATCAACCCTCAAACTCAGTCAGCCCTCCAAGAATTTTCCCGCACCTCGACGGCGATAGTAGAGATGTCCTCACGGTCAGCAGCGGAGAGCAGTGGTGTGTTATCCGCCTTCACTCTACCCAGTGCATCTGCCACCAGAGCTTCCACTCGCCCCATGCGCATCGACGGCGATGCACCCGGCAGCGACGCCTCAAAGGATATGGCCGCCTGGTGATGGCAGGATATGCAGCGGGGAGAGGGAAAGAGTGGGGCAGATGTGGAAAGAGGACACAATGAGATGATGAAGCTACTGGTGAAGCTATGATGGAACACACAAGGTAACTGCGACTACAATGAAACCGTGCACAATGCCACAATGGTACGTGGACCGGCCTGGCCAGGTACCAGCCAACCAGCCACAATGCCTGCAGGTCAAGCACGTACCACCAAACCCAGGTCATGTGTGCGCACCTGCCAGATGAGGTGACTCAAAATTCACCTCAGTTCATCATGTCTGCGCACCTGCCAGATGGTCTTGTTGTCCGGTGCAGCATCGATCGCTGCCTTGAATGCCTCGCGAGCCTTGTCTTCCTCTCCACCCACCTGCACCCCACCCCACCCCACCCAACACACACAACACACAAGACACAATGCAACGCCCATGCATGCATGATGCTCATTAGACACCATGGCCAAGGGCCAGCACTGAAATGCGCTCATGAAGATCTGCAGAAGCGGCCGTACGGTAACCGTGTGCCTATATGACGTGCAGCACAGGACTTACAGTGAGCAGGTAGCGGGCGTGCTGCAGGTGCAGATAGGGCAGGATCTTGGATCCCTCTTTCTCCTTCTCCGCCTGCACTGCTGCTTCCAGCACTGCTGCCCCTGCCGCTACACCAGCCTGCCAGAGCAAAGGAGGGGGAAACACTATCACTGACTGTCGGTGGAAACATGAACTGATGGACTAATTAAAAAAAAAAAAAAAAAAAACGGTGATTCCATCAGAAATAAACACACGACCTCCGCATTCTCCCAACCCAACTGCAACCCTCCTCAGTCACGCCACAATCATTTCCTGCCCTCCACTACCACGTCGCCACCTCACCAGCACCTCACCTGTCGTCTCTCCAGGTTGGCCTTCTGCACCGTCAGCTCCAGCAGGCCCGCTGCCAGCGATGCAGCCGTGTCCAGCGCTGACGTGGCACCCTCCACGTCCCCATGCTGCTCCTTGTACCGGGCGGCAAACAGGTGGATCTCCGGGCGGCGCTGCCAAGGAAGTGAAGGGGTGGAAGGAGGTGTGGAGCGGTGGCACGAAGACAACAGAAGTTGGAGCACAGGGACAGAATCAAAACTGGAGATATTCTAATGAATCGACTCAAAGAAGAATAAAATAGCATACTGTGACACATTCCAGATAAAGTACCAAGGCAAGCATTCCAGAAGTAACAAGGCAAGCATTCCAGAAGTAACAAGGCAAGCATTCCAGAAGTAACAAGGCAGAAGGACTCAACCTTTTGCACATGCTCTTTCTCCCCCTTGATAGGTCTCACCTTAACGAACACAGCAGTGGCTCTGAGCAGAGCATCCTTGGCTCTTTCATCCTCGTTATTAGCATCCATGCACTCCACATAGCGCACCCAGTACTCGGGGTAGTTGGCACACGGCACCACACAGCGCTCATAAATGTTGATCGTCTGATGGGGATGGCAGATCGGGGATCCAGAGATGTTGACATGGAAGTGTGAGACTTGAAGGCCGAGGGAGACACGACACCAAAGGGAGGGTTACAGCAACTCGTGTCAGGGTAGCGCATTCCACACAGGGCAACAGAGCCCGCGTAGTCATTGATAGTCTGACGACCCAAGGGTGGTGAGGAGTGGATGGGCAACGGTGAGGTAGGCGGCGGTGGCAGGACAAAGATTGTGAAAGAGGAGGTGTTGTGAAAGAGGAGGTGTTGTGAAAGAGGAGGTGTTGTGAAAGAGGAGGTGTTGTGAAAGAGGAGGTGTTGTGAAAGAGGAGGTGTTGTGAAAGAGGAGGTGTTGTGAAAGAGGAGGTGTTGTGAAAGAGGAGGTGTTGTGAAAGAGGAGGTGTTGTGAAAGAGGAGGTGTTGTGAAAGAGGAGGTGTTGTGAAAGAGGAGGTGTTGTGAAAGAGGAGGTGGGGGTAAACACGGGCTGGGAGCGACAGAGATGCAAACGAGAGGGGAAAGGAGAAAGGCAGACAATTGAATGTGCAGCAGCCTCTTGCTCCTTCCATGTTCCTCCGAAGTCATTCACCCAGGCAGCCTCAAACCACTGAGCACGACCACACTCACACACTACAACCGTTGAACAACCTTCCTTCCAGGTAGCAGTGCCAGTTGGCCAGCTGTAAGGTACTCTACCCGACCATCATGCCAGCACTCACCCTGCCTGCGCCTCAGACCCTCTCACTCACCCGTGCAATGTTGCCCTCCTTCTCGGTAAAATCCAAGTAGCGGTGCCAGTTGTTCAGCTGAGCCTCGTCCAGGGGCTTCACATGGAAGTACGGGCGTTTGATCACCACCTCATACTCCCGGATCTCCCCATCCCGCCGCTTGCTGCTCTGGTACATCACGTCCCTCAGCGCCAGGTACTCCGCCAGCTGCTGCTCCTCTGTTTTCGCCACTGGCACTGGCGCGGGCGCGGAGGCAGGCGGCGGGGCGGGGGTGGGGACTGCGGCAGGGGCGGCAGCAGGAGTGGCAGCGGGGGTGGCAGCGTCGCCAGGAGCAGCAGCATCGGCCATGGTGGTCTCTGCTCCTGGCGCAGCATCAGCACCCGCAGCAGCACCATCACCACCAGCAGCAGCGTCACCTTCTGCTGCCTTAGCCTCGCCCTCTCCCTCTTTCGCCTCCTCCGCGCCTGGAGCAGGGGTCCCGTCCTCCCCAGCGGGCTGGGCGGGGACGGCTGTCTGCACCTTGAGGGCGGCGGCAGCAGCAGCCGCCACTTCCGCCGCGGCTGCGGCGGATTCCTCAGGCGTGCGGATCTCGTCCAGTGTGTGGGTTGTCGCGAAGTGGCGGAAGCTGCAGAGCGTGTGGGGCGAGAGACGCACGGGGGGCGGGGGAACGGATGCCGCAGGTGAGGAAGCACGTGCAAGCAGCCCAGCAATGGCGCCATGCCATCCCATGCACACGGTTGACCTCAACACTTCCACTCCTCCCGTTCCCTCTGAGCACCCCTCTACCTCTCTCGCTCTCTCGTCTTCCCCATCCACTCACGCGTGGTAGTAGTGGTCGAGCTGCTGCAGCGGCACCTGCAGCATGCGCGTGTAGATGGCGGCGACCTTGCTCCACTCGGAGCGCGCGCCCTCGTAGTCCAGGTACTTCTGCCACACCGTGTGCGACAGGTAGTCCGTCCCCACGTACACCAGCGCGCGCTCAAACAGCCTGCGCGCACACACATAAGCACACACGCGCGCGCGCACACCCCCCCCGCACATCCTCCCCCCTTCCCGCACCCCTTCCCCAACCCCACCCCGCAGCCCACCCCGCAGCCCGCCCCCGCCCTTCCCCCACACACCAGTACCGCACAGCACAAATGCGCATGGAAACAGGAGGTTTGTTAGGCGGAGGAACGGGGCGATCGAGCGGTAGGAGGGAAAGGGTGGGCAGGAAAAAGTTGGTGTGTGTATCGAGGGACACAAGGGGAGGAGAAGTTGAGAGCTGTGTAGAAAACCGGAACCCCAGGCGAAACTTTGGCACTCACAGCCCGAACCGAGCAACGAGGCTGCTTGTAAAGAGGACGGAAAGCGGATTAGCCAGACTGAATCGGACCAACGTCATTGCGCCTGTTTGCAGACCGACGGTCCACCGAGGGTTTCTTTTACCTCTTTCCTGCGCCAGCGCGGCCAATCGGATTCCTTAATCGTTTGCCTGCCCGGCTGCCCGTAAGAACCGCTAGGTGGTTAGGCGGTGGCCGATCTTAGACGCGGATTCGTTACAAGGCTCGGGAAGTAGGCGAGAGCAGATTTTAGACAGCGTGGCATCGATTAGAGTTAACGAATCAAGCGCGCCGAGGGGGGGGGAAAAGAAACTCTACGCGACGAATAAACGATAGCTATAAAAGCATGAATAAAAGAAGGGCAAAGCGTCGAAACGACTTGTAAAGGCAACGGGAATGGTGCCAGGGAGGACGGAGAGGGGAGGAGACGAGAGACACTGGGGAACGGGGGGGAGGGAAAGGAGTTGCTTCCACGCTCGCGCGGATCTGCATTAAACACAGGAGGAGGTTAGCGGCAGCAGAAGCAGCTGCGGCGACCAGCGAACGAACTACCAAAAGGTGAAAAGAAAAGCTAACGATAAAGAAGGTAGTGGATACGAAACGAGAGGAAATCGGCATACTCACACCCTGACGGCCTCGGCTGCGAGCCTTGGTGATGGGGTCACAGGAACCATGGGAATGAGGGTGGATAAGATTTAAGACTGCAAGTATCATAGACTAGGCGTATGCTTAAAACAGGCCGAATGCGTTCCGTTGTGCTCAAGGCTTGTAATCGAGGAAGAACGGAAGCGGCGGGACACGCGCCTTCGACGGACAGAACACCGAACAGGACGTTCGAGATTGATATAGACATATTGAGTGCGGTCGAGAGGGATTCGGATGTGCACCTGCGGATCTCCTCGGGATCCTCGACGGTGGCGGTGAGGTGGTTGACGTAGTGCAGCCAGATGTCGACGCTGTACGGCACGGCGGCGACGGCGCGCTCGAAGACCTCCAGCACGCGTTCCTTGTTGGCGTGGCGCTGCTCGTGGTCCGCGTACTTCTTCCAGTACCCGAAGCACAGCGGAAACTCCGCCAGAAACGTGTCGTACACTGCGCGCAGGTTCTCGAGCTTGTCCTGAAATGAACGGAAAAAAAGGGATGTTAGAGCGTGGAATTGATGAGACATTTCTTCAGGCGAGAAACGACGATATTATTGATCATTTGTTAGATCTGACAAACGTATGGCGTCAGTCTGAACGAATAAATGTCAGCAATATATATAATAGGGAAAGGAAATGGGGGGAGCGGAATGTGGGGAACGGAATCGAAGAACAAGGCTCAAGGACCGGGTTTGTGGTATGGAGAACGTACCGATTTCTCACTTTCCTGAATGAGCGCGACCCAGGACTCAAAGTCCCCCGAGTTGGCGCGCACTAGACCCCATAGCCGCTCCTCCTCCGTCGGCGCTGGCGGCGCCGCAGGAACTGCGATACGGGACAGACAGATGCAGCACGATGGACAGGCACAGATGCCGGATTAGTCCAGACAAAAGCACGCAATCATGTTACATCACCAGAGATCTGCTAAGAGAAAAAAGGGCATTTCTAGCAAATAGGTGATAAGAAGCGAAGAAGCGAATGCCTTCAAGGAACCTATGGCCGACAGGACAAAAGTCGAAGTACCTTCAGGGGCTGCAGGAGCAGCAGCAGCCTCAGCAGCTGCGGTCGCTGCACCATCAGCAGCAGGAGCAGCAGCGTCGGCGGCAGGCGCAGCAGCATCGGCAGCAGGGGTTACCACAGCGTCGGCAGCAGGAGCGTCGGATGCAGCTTCAACGGCAGGAGCAGCTTCACCCTCAGCAGCAAGAGCGGCTGCAGTGGCGTCGTCACCAGCGCCAGCCTGAGCAGCCGCGGCAGCAGCCGCCTCTTCCGCTGCCGCTTCCTCCTCCGCTGCTGCTTCCGCTACGGCCGCTGCAGCAGCAGCGGCAGCGGCTGCAGCTGCGGCCGCTTCAGCAGATCCGTTCTCTTCAGCCCCGTCTTGGGCCATAGGATCGTCATTCGCGGCTGCTCCGGTGTCCGCGGCTGCAGCTTCCTCGCCTCCTTCGCCATGCACGTCCATCTTCACTGGCTGGTCTTCTTCCGACGCCATGTCGCTAACCTTGCCCGAAGAAAAGCCCTGATAAAAAACCGAAATCTTTACAATAATCGGCAAGTATTAGAATCGTGGAGGTGGAAGAAGCGGGTAGTGTCGACGCCTGTTAATTCCGATGGACCTGTTAAGGAGATAGACCAGCAGAAAAAACCTTGAAAATGGCGCACTGGTGCGTGGGTCTGGGGTTCGCTTTTGATTGAAAGACCCTCGGATGTGATCCAGTTTCTGGATGTATTGTACAGCGCATCTGCTATTGAGGTGCAAAACAGAGTATAATATTAAGCACATCTGCTATTGAGGTGCAAAACAATGTATAATATTAAATTAACAACACAAGTTTGCTGGATTGGTGAAGCTTAGGAAGCCTAATTCTAATGGTGTGCATTGAAACGTACGTTAAAGATTAAAGGCTGGCGTCCAAGATGGTCTTACAATACATTAATGCTCATACTGTGATACAATACCAGTATACATGCATTGTTGCCGTGCTGAAAAGAGGATTGCAGATGTTTAATCATTCAGAATACGTAAAACAAATATAGAAATTGTGGAAACAATTCACACATTCAATCCAATAGAGGCCTGTGCTGCATGGAGTGATGTACCACAACAATTGGCCCATTCAATTTTGGGGTGCAATAATGGGCCACACCCCTGTTCATCTGGAAAACACATGCCGCAGGAACTAAGATGGACCCAGCATCTTCTCCGGGACGACTACTTCATCAAACTTCTCAGAAGTGATGACTCCCAATGCAATGGCAGCTTCCTGCAAACCGATAATTACGATGTCAATATTGATAACAAGCTTGCAACGTTCATTGCTGTTGCTAAAAAACTGCATATTACCTTCAACGTAGTTCCTTCCTTGTGAGCCTTCTTGGCGACAGCTGCTGCCTTGTCATATCCAATGTGCTGCAAAACGCAACTTACTTTGTTAATAAGACATGGGAACCTTTCAGGAACTAAATTCCAATGGGACAGCTGATGCAGGAACTTACCGGGTTCAATGCCGTAACAAGCATGAGTGACTGAACGACGAGGCAAAACAGCACACCACAAACACGGACGAAGTTAGCACTAGGGATACATGCAAGAAAGAAAACGTGGTCCAAGACTGTCAATTAGTTACACACCTGCTTCATAATGTCAGAGATCCGAGCTCGGTTTGCCACAATGCCAACAACGCAGTTCTTCTTGAAGGAAAGAGCAGCGTCACCCAGGAGGCGCATGGACTGAACACAAACAAACACGACCCCATTGACACAAAACATTGGTTATGTACTACAATATTACAGGATAGTTTCAATAAACAACTTGTCAAGACCAGTGAACGATACTGACCTGAAGCAGGTTTGCAGCCATAAGTGGCTTGAAGACGTTGAGCTCGAAGTGGCCATTCGAACCTCCGATCGAAATAGCAACATGATTACCCATCACCTGCCACAGAGCATGAATGATTCCCAGTGAGCATACCATGAACTCTAAACAAATCATGACAGCTCAAGGTGACGGTCCCCACCTGAGCGCAGACCATTGTGAGCGCCTCACACTGTGTTGGGTTAACCTTGCCAGGCATGATGCTGCTGCCTGGTTCATTCTCAGGCAGGAAAAGCTCGCCCAAACCACACCGAGGGCCACTACACACGTGGGGAAAAGAAGTGCAGCGGCGTTCACAAATCACGCATGTCAGTTATGCTAGTAATGTCATTGCTGCGTGGTTTCACTTCTGCATGGTTTCACTTTGGCATGGAATCAACCTCTTGCTGTCTACCTCAGCGGTTATCTGCACTCTGTGAAATTATGTTATATCGTGTGGAAACCTAGCTTAAATTACAAATTTCTGCAACTGACCTGCCAAGGAAGCGAATGTCGTTAGCGATCTTCATGAGTGACACGGCCACTGTGTTAAGCGCCCCGCTTGCCTCCACAAGCGCATCATGAGCGGCCTGCAATAAGATCGGTCGAAAAATTAGACCAAGCGTACTGCTGCACACACATTTCTCAGGGCAAAGCTTGTTCTAATAAGGCAGCAGCGCAGAAAAGACAACACACCAGTGCTTCAAATTTGTTCTCGGCAGTGATGAATGGCAGCTTCGTGTCCTCAGCAACAGCCGCAGCAACCTTCACGTCAAACCTGCAAGGTTGGGAACAATGAAGCGTTGAGGACTTTGCAAGACAGAAGGATGCACGGGCAGGTAGGCACGTGGAGATTTGTAAGATGCCTCACCCCAACTTTGTGTTGAGACCAGTGCCGACAGCCGTTCCTCCTTGTGCGAGCTGCAAGTCAGAACGTCACATGGTTAATAACAACTATTGGTCGGAAAGTACCGCTATTCGATGCATGCAACAGGCAGAAACTCACTTGGTAAAGGCGCGGAAGTGTGTCCTCAATACGCCGAATGCCATACTTGATCTGCATAAAGCCGATACACACTAGGTTACCACAGGCTGTCACATACTGCCTACTGCATCATAAAAAGAAAGCAAACATTCCGTACCTGCGTGGCGTAGCCACTGAATTCTTGACCAAGTGTCAGCGGCGTTGCGTCCTGAGTGTGAGTGCGGCCAATCTTGACAATGTCCTTGAATTCCTCAGCCTGCACCACAGCAAAGCAGTTGCTACCGTTTGTAATATACAAATCTAACAAAATTAACATTCGTAGTGGTGGAGCAACATACTGACTTACCTTCTCTGCAACGGAATCGTAGAGGGACCTGAGGTGCGGAATTAGATTCGAGTGCGCCTCCACAACAGCAGCGATGTGCATCACCTGCATCAGGATCGATGAGTGAATGACAATCAAACTCTCAGGGTTCGACGCACGTCAGGAAGGCGTACTAGAAATGACAAAAGGTCTTGCGATCTTACGGTGGGGAAGGTGTCATTCGAGGATTGGCTCATGTTCACGTGGTCGTTGGGATGAACAATGCCCTTGTCACCAAGCTTGGATCCCAAAATCTCAGCAGCACGGTTGGCTATGACCTGAACACAAGCATGTTACAAGACTTTATCACCAGAGCGCCGGGACTAAAGCAGAACTCAAGGGGACTAGATAAGTGAGCAACCGTACCTCATTGGCGTTCATGTTAGACTGAGTTCCGCTACCAGTCTGCCAGATGACGAGGGGAAACTGGTCCATGAGCTTCCCGTCTGCGACCTCCTGTGAGGCCTGAATGATCGCATTTCCAATCTTCGGATCCAAACCGTAGCCGAGATTGACCTGCATGAACGGACGCAAACTCCATGAGGTTCGTCATTTACTCAACCTTCATTACCACAAGGTCAAGATCCAACCTATACGAGAGAAGGACGGCGCTCGTACCTGTGCGCAGGCTTTCTTGAGAATTCCGAATGCTTTCACTATCTGATCTGGCATCCTCTCCCTCTCTCCTCCAATCTCAAAGTTCTGAAGGGATCGCTGAGTCTGCGCTCCCCAGTATCTGCAATGCACGCCATTCACGATGTTAGTGGTGCAGTACCTTCAACACGAATCGCTCTAATGACGAACATGTAACTTGCTCACTTGTCGGCAGGGACCTGAATCGGTCCAAACGTATCCTTCTCTTCACGGAACGCCATGCCGGAATATGCGCGTGAAAACAAGATCCGAGCTTGTTGATACTGAGGTTGTGGGGACGTAGCAAGCCTTCTAATGACCGTCCTTACTAAGTAGCTCATCTGGCCTTCAGAAGGGCTGCTGAAGGTATTTATGACTCCAGTCCCAACCAACTCAAGAATCCTGTGCCAAAATTGTTGTGCTCGAGTCTGGCTGGTCCGTTTTGCACCAAGAAAGGTAGATTCAACCAACCAACCAACCCGACAAGGCAAGAATCTCTCAGCAGCTGGATGCTTTCTAGAAACGGGTCTTCCTTCCCCTGTCACCGTCTTATGTCGGGGAACTCAGGATCTTCCTGTGATTGAGGAATCAGTGGCGTTTTGCCCCACGCGTAAGCCAATGGCTGAGCTGGAAGTATGTGCCAGAGAGTCATGTAGTGCTGAGTCACTTCTTTGCTGGACAACCAGCCAAATTGAAGCATCGAAGGCTTTTGCCGGGGTTTGACAAGGTGGTCCCATTCCGTGTGATGCGATTGAGCTACACGTCCCCATTTACAGACGTGCACACAAGAAAAAACATGTTATGCCCCCTATCCCTTCATTCATCTAAAGAAGCACCATATTCACCAGCACATGCTGGTTCAATTGATAAGAAGAAGCAGCAGTATTTACCAGTTCCTTTCAATACCCATACCCATGAGAAAGATTGTATAAGAACTGGCAACGAGTACCGTAGCAAGGTTGTGAAGGGTATCGTTTGCCAACTAAATGTTCCACACGGCTTCACTAAGATCTAGGTTTGACCTAAATATGGTACCCACAGGCCATGCACCTCTCGTACATCCCTCTATCCTCGTGTTCCCTCATCGGACAGTCTTCCTTCCATTCCACCATCTCCAATTGCCTCCAGCTGCTGCCATCCTGCAGATGACATGATGCCAGGCCACACCACGCCATGCCAAATCACAGCACACCAAACAAAGCATGCCACACGATGGCATCCCACACCATGTCATACCACACCATCACATCCCACACCATGTCACGGGATGCCACAGTATGGGATGCCACACCATGACCCACCACATGATCACAGAGTACACTATTGAGATAAGGCATCATGACATGCCACACCATGATAGACAATACACAGGCACACCACAGGATGACATGCCACACCATGGTCCACACAATGCCATACCACACTACCACATGCCTAACACACAAAGGCATGCAAGACTATATGACACCAACGCATTCCGCGTCACAGCAACGCATCCCTCGTCAGATTATCGCATGCCACACCATAACAAACCAAAATGTAACATAACATACTGTAAAATACCACACTGTAAGATACCATACTGTAACATACCATACTTTAACATACCATACTTAAAACATACCATACTGTAACATACCATTCTGTAACATGCAAGACTATGACATACCACAACGTACCATACTGTAACCATACTACAACATGCCACAGACTGTATCACCCCAAAGCATTAGATACCGTACTGCAACATACCACACTGAAAAGCGCTTCACAATAGCATGCCACATAGTAAAATGCCACATTCTACCAAACCATACTGAAACATAACCACCATATAGTATGCCACACTACAGCAATGCACGATAACATACTGTAACATGCACACTGTCACAAACATACCACACAGTAACATGCATCTGTAATATACCACTGTACCATGCACACTGTAACATGCACACCGTAACATGCACACCGTAACATGCACACCGTAACATGCACACCGTAACATGCACACTGTAACATGCACACTCGTAACTTACACACTATAGCATACCACACAATAACATACCACAGAACATACACGCTGTAATACGCACAACTTTACACACAGTCACATGCCACACAATAAAATCCAAACAATAACATGCACACTCTTTACATGCACAATATAACATACCACACAGTAACATACCGCGCTGTAACACACACACAGTAACATGCACGCTGTAACATGCACACCCTAACACACCACACAGTCACTTCCCACACAATAACATGCACACACTAACATCTCACCATCACCACCACTCCCAACCTTCACTGCCCAACCCCACTTCACATCACCGCCCACCACAACTTACCAGCCCATCCCCAAGCAGTAGGAGCAGCAGACAACCCAATGCCTTGGAAAACAGTACCCGCAGAGGCTGTGCCTTATGAGGCGAAGTATGGTAGTGGAAAATTGCTTCCAGCCCAAGACTCAAATCCCACCCCTGACGTAGCCAGAGCTGACGCGAACCAGAGCCGCCGGCCGGTCGACTCTGATGGTGTCCATTAAGCCTTAAACGCCAGTTCGGTTACTTGAGCACCGAGTGCCGTGCCGCGCAGATTCCACCCACCACACCCCCACCCACAGGACACAACCCCAGGAGATGCTGCCCCTAAGGAAGTGAGCTGCCCACTTGCTCCCATGCTCCCCACCCACCCACCCCACACTTCACCCCCCATGCCTCCTTACCTTTACTTACCTCCACTTACCACAGCCGTGCAGAGCGCCATGATGCTGAGGCTGCTGGGAAGTGGAGAGAGAAGGGGGGATTAGTGGAGGGAGAGACTCGTCTGTGGTCCAGGCAGGGTGCTGCTGGGAGGGAAGGGAAAAGGGAGAGAGGGGGAGGTGAGAGAGAGGGTGGACTCCACTCTCCCGCCCTTGCTCCTGTGCTCCCACCTCCAGCCTGCAGGAGAGAGGGAGGGAGGAAGAGAGAAGAGGGAATCAAATCACCACACCTCACCTGGTACCATACCAAACCTTTTACCACACCTCGCTCACACCGTGCCTAGCCTAATTTTCTGCCCAGCCCCCAACCCCCCACTGCTGCTGCGCTGCTGATTCTGCTGCTGCAACTGCTGCTGCCGGTCTGCTACTCTGCTTCCTCTGCTGCACTCTTCTCTTGATGCCAAGTGACCTGGTGGCGGGCAGAGAAGGGGGAGGGGGACAGGAGAGAAAGGGAAGGAGGTTAGTGATGTGACGTGAACAGAAACACTTAAGGCAACACAGAAACGCATAAGCTGACAAAGACAACAAGGGCGCAGAGAGAACTGCAGTAACGAATGCACTCCAAGGAGGGAGGTAACGCACCTTGAGAGGCCAGCCCACCCCAATACTCTCCCTCGTGGCACCAACTGCAAGCTTCTGCATTGCTGCCGCCCTCCCATCCCCGTGGGTACCTGCACGGCCACAAGGAAGGGGCGCGGGGGAGCGTCGGTGCTGACCCCCACGCCCCTCCCTCCACCTGCAAGGCACACACGCAGAGATAATGAGTGTGCAGTCATAACACCACAAGGCTGACATGGCAGCTGGGACTTCTCGTAGGGGGAAGTGGAGGGAAGGGGCCACTGGTGGAGGGAAGAATCACGAGCCACAGACCATCAAGGGAAACCTGAAAGGTGAACCTGAAAGTAGGGGGTGACCTGAGGGGGCTGTAAGGGCTAGGGCGGGCTTAACCTGAGGGGCTTAGCAACAGAAAGGGGGGTGGTGGTCTGTGGCTTGCAAATCAGGACTCAACCAGTGGCCGGTTGTTCAAGGAAAAAACAGGAAAGCACATGCGGAAATAAATCATCGAGCAATGTGAGGAAAGAGCAACAAGCAAGGGTGAGTCCAGGGAGGAGAAGGCACTTAACTGGCAGCAGAAGATGCTGACACATTCCCTTCCCTCCCTGCTCCTTGTGCGCCTGCTGCTGCTGCTGCTTTCTGTGGTGACTTGCAAGTGACCTGGAAGGGGGCAGAACGGAAGGGAAGGACAGGAGGCGAGTGAGTGCAGGCCTTGGCGCAAGCAAGGGCAAAGCAGAAAGTTGAGCATCAGAGGAGGCACTAATGCTAAGAGTGACGAGAAACGAGCAGCAGAGAACGAGGTTGAGGGCAAGGAGAAAGCCGACGTACCTTGAGAGGCCGAGCCCACCCCGATACTCTCCCTTGTGGCAGCCATTGCCACCTGCTGCAGCGATGCGTCCCTCCCTCCCGTCCCCAAGAGTCCCTGCACGGCCACAGGGGAGGGGCGTGGGGAAGTGTCGATGTTGACCCCAGCGCCCCTCCCCTCCACGTCCAATGAACACAGAGCCTGTCAGTGTGCAACTAAGGAATCAAGCTGGATTGGCAACTGTGAGTTTTAAAGGCAGCACAAGCGAGGGGAGGGGCCACTGGTGGAAACACGACCCAAAGCCACAGACCTTAAGGAAAACCTGAGGGGATAAACCTGCTGTAGGGGTTGTACCTGATGGGACAGTAAGGTCTAAGAATGGCTTAACCTGAGGGGGTTTATCAGGAGTACAGGGAAGGTCTGTGGCTTGTGAACCGGGCCCCAACCAGTGGCAAGTCTGCAGGGATAAAACACAGAAGCCCATGCGAAAACGACAAGCAAGCAAGAGTGAGTCCAGGGAGGCGAAAGCACTTAGCTGGCAGCTGAAGAACCGCCGAGAGGTGCTGCCTCATGCCCCCTTCCCTCCCCCTCCCCTCCCCTCCCCTGCTGCTTCCGCGCTCCCCGCTGCTGATGCTGCACTACTGGTACCGTCAGTTGTCTCTGCTGCATTGCGAGTGACCTGGGAGGGGGCAGAACGGAAGGGAAGGCCGGGAGGGGAGTGAGTGCAGGCCTTAAAACAGGCAAGGGCGAATCAAAGGGACAAGTTAACAAAAAACGAGTGCAGCGGGAAAGAATGGTAAGAGGCTTACCTTGAGAGACCAGGCCCATCCTGATACTCTCCCTTGCTGCAGTGGGATTGCCATGCTGCTGTCTCCCTCCCGTCCCCATGAGTCCCTGCACGGCCACAGGGGAGGGGCATGGGGAAGTATCGGTGTTGACCCCAGCGCCCCTCCCCTCCACCTGCAATGCACACACACGGCAGCAGTCAGTATGCATGGCATGGGCACAACACAAGCCAGAGACTGCAAACTGCCAAATCTGGAAGAGCAAGGGAGAGCCACTGGTTGAGTCAAGGCCACACGCCACAGACACACACCAAGGGAACCTGCACGTGAGAGGGTTACCTGCACACCTGAGGGGCTTACCTGCATACCTGAAGGGGTTACCTGAAGTGCGGGTGTCTGTGGCATGTGAATTTCACTCAACCAGTGGCATGGTTTAAAAGGGAAGGGCAAAAGCACAACCAGAAAACGAAAGGGTGGCAAGAAAGGTTCAAGGTGTGATGCGGCAGGCAAGGGTGAGGGCATGGAGGAGAGTTAACTGATGGGTGAGCGCGAGATCAAGGCAGCTGCAGCACCACCAGCTGCCTCCCTCAATGGCCGCCCCTCTCCCCGCCTTCCGGTGTGCGTCCCTGCACGGCCACGGGGGAGGGGCGTGAGGGAGCGTTGGTGTTGACCCCACACCCCTCCCCGCCACCTGCAATGCGCGCACACAGAGCTAGTGAGAGCACGGTGGCGGCAGCAAGTTGGATGGGTAACCATGACTTCAACTCCAACGCAAGAGAAGAGGGAGGAGCCACTGGCGAAGGCACAGCCACAAGCTACAGACCCAAGGGCACCTGAAAAGGGACAAATAGGGTGTACCTGCACCTGACAGGGTTACCTGCACCTGAGGGAATTACCTGAAGCAGGGAGGTCTGTAGCATGCGAGCAGTGCCCAACCAGTGGCGAATTTTCAAGAGGACGGTGCAGCAGCAGATGGAACGAGCGAAACGGTGTGGCAGGCAAGGGTGAGGGCATGGAGGAACGGGTACTTAGCTGATGGCGTGAGAGCAGCATGGGCAGCAGGCATGGCATGGCGTCTCAGGCGACCAGCAGTGCTGCTCCTGAGGTCCTGCGAGGGGGGCTGGAAGGGAGGGGAAGGGAGGGGAGGGGAAGGGAGGGGAGGGGAGGGGAGGGGAAGGGAGGGGAGGGGATGGGAGTGGAGGGAGAGGCAGTGAGTGGGAGGGAGAGTAAGTGAGTGGGAGGGAGAGGAAGTGAGTGGGAGGGAGTCAGCATGATGGAAGGGAGCGCATGCATGCAAGCGCGGTGAATTGAGGAAGAGCGAAAGGAGGGCCACTGGTGGACGCACACTCACAAGCCACAGACCACGGTCTTTACCAAAGGGCTTTACCTGGAAAAAGGCTTCACCTGGGGGAGGGCCTTACCAGTAATGGGGAGGGTCTGTGGGACGTTTTGTGTGCTGCCACCAGTGGTTCCGTTTTGAGAGAAACAGAAATGACAGACAAACGAAGCGAGAATGGAAGCATGGAGGAGCGAGCACTTAGCTGGTTATGTGGCTGTGTGCAGAGGGCAGGTGAAGCATGTGCCGGCACCACCGGGTGTTGTCTGCTGGCGCCAGTGGCTTGGGGCATGAGGAGAACGCTGATGCTGCCCCACGTCCGTCCGTCTGCCACTGCTGCTCACGATGTGGCCTGGAAGAGGGGTGCGGGAAGGGAGAGGAAGGGGGGGGAGGGGAGAGGAGGGGAGGGTTGCACAAGGAGAGGCAGCAGTGAGTGGGATCGGATGGAGGCACAGTGCAAGCGAGAATGCAAGCGCGGTGAATTGAGGAAGAGCGAAAGGAGGGCCACTGGTGGACGCACACTCACAAGCCACAGACCACGGTCTTTACCAAAGGGCTTTACCTGGAAAAAGGCTTCACCTGGAAGAGAGCTTTACCAGTAATGGGGAGGGTCTGTGGGACGTTTCATGTGCTGCCACCAGTGGTTCTGTTTTGAGGGAGTGCGATGCATGGTGCAAGGTCGACATGAAAAGCAACAGAATGGAGGGAGAGAGAAGACACTAAGCTGGCGGGAGGTACAGCCGTGCGACCAATCTCGATGCCACAAATCGCGGACGACGACGGTTTTGCCGTGGTAGGACGCGCGAATGACTATTTCTTGTGCCCTCCCCTGCTGCTCCCTGCCCTCCCCTGCCACCTCCTCAGCACCATCCCTCCTTCCTGCCTTGCTGTGTGCGCACCTGCACAGCCACAGGGGAGGAGCGTGGGGGAATGGCGGTGCTGACCCCACACCCCTCCCCACCGCACACACACGGCAGGAGTGAGTGGGCAAGGCATGGCAGCACGGACAGCCACAACACACAGAGCCACATGCATGGATGGCGTTGGAGACGAGAGCAAAGCCTGCTGCATAACGCCACACCCAAGAAAGGAACCTCAGTCTCAACCTTACCTCGCTCTCACCATTACCTTGGCTCGAAGATTTGTACCATTACCAGGGGAGGGGGGTACCTAGTCCGAACCTGGTAGCTGGGGAACAAGGGCTTGGGTGTGGCAGCGAGCAGGGCGACGGTGTTGGTGCTGTTGCTGCTGCAGCGAGCAGGGCGAGAGTGCGGCGTGAATGCGAGGGAAACGACACAGCGAGGCGAATCAAGCGCGGAGGGGTACTTAGCTGCGAAGCACGACAGTCCGCTGGCGTTGGCGTTGACTGCAGGACAGACAGCAGCACCCAGCAGCACTCAGCAGCACCCAGCAGCACCCACAGCAGCCGCGCAGGCGTTGACGGGAAGAACCAGTCGCGCCCACAGCAGCAGCGCATACGTTGACTGGAGCAGCAGCAGCTGGCCGGGGAGGGGGGAGGGGTGGGGGGCGGCATGGCATGGGTGAGGGGAAGGGGCGGAGAGGCAGCAGCAAGCAGGAGGAGGGCAGCAGAGGCGCACACGTGCATGGGAGAAGAAAGCGCCAACGACAGCAACGCCTGCCGCACCACACCCAAAGGGGTACCTCAGTCTGAACCGTACCTGAGCCGAACCTGTACCAAGGAGAAGAATTTTTGGACCTGGAACGAGGGGGTTATTACCTGTTGAACGTACCTCATACCTGAGACTAAGGGGGAGCCCTTGCGTGTGGTGGTGAGCAGGCGTGCAGCGTGGGGAGAGGCGCATGCACGCTGAACGACAAGAACGCCAAGGGCGAGAGGGTACTTATCTCCGTTCCAGCACATCACGGTGCGTTGATGCTGGCAGCTCATGCCACGCTGCACGAGGGCTCACTCGAGTGGCACGCGAGTTGACTGCCCGCCAGTAGCGCGGAAACGCCAGTAGCGCGGAAACACCAGTAGCGCGGAAACGCGTGGATGCAGAGGATCGCGTTGAGCCGGACTTAGTAACTCTCGTGTGCGAGTCGAGCAGTGAAGCGAGACAAAGCACAAACGAAAAAAGCCATCAGATACTTCATAAGTGGAGATTGACACGAACGTTGGAGAGTGACACGAACGTTGGAGATTGATACGAACGGTGGAGATTGATACGAACCAAACGGAAAAAAGGTGACTCTCTAGCCGAGATGTGGTAGACCAACGCCATCGATTTGAAACTTACGTTGAGAACTCGTTCACGTTGGTGCGTGCTGAAATGCCTAACTGAAGAGCTGCTGAAATGTCTTGAATCGAAGCAGATGTTGTTGATTCGAAGAGATTCCAAACGTTTCTCGCAGAATAATTAGACAGTTGATCCGAACGTCAACACAGCAGGAACTCCAGAAGCAACGCTCGTGCTGGCAGCCGCCGAACTTAGGATCCGTGTAGGCTAACTAGGAAAATGGGAAATGAAACACGAGAATGCGAGAGCAGAGTGGGGCTAGCAGGAGACGTTGCGTTGAGAAAGGCGAAATCCGTTGGGAAATGGGATGTGAGTGGAGGTAGGGGAATGGCATGCAGGAAGAGATATTGGCTGGAGGCTGAATGAGTGGAGTCGGAACCGAGCTGCAAAACTTGATGGTCGGGGGGTTTTTTCTTAGCTAAAAGAGCATCGTTTAATGTCTAAAACTCCCTACTAGGGAAGCTTACGAGAAAACATTGCTTTCTTCTCCCACCCCCACCGCCTTTACCACGCCCAACCTCCTACCCTGAAAGAAAAAAATCAACTGCTGCGGACAACTTGACGCCGCGTGCATGGGATAATGAAACCGAGACAACAACGCCGACACCTGTGGGAGGGATGGCCGTTAATGTGCAATGAAATGAGGAGGGAGATGTGACCGTCGGATCTTACTGAAACTAAAAGCGTGAAGGGCTCAGATTGATGGGGTGAACGTTCAAACGATCTCCCTTGGCGGCAAACCGACAATTCCTATCGCGGCGCTGCGAATCGTGTGGTTGATGTCGGCTGGATACCCAATAGGGGAGAGAACCCGTAGTAGCCGTTGGGGGGAAAGCTGATTGAGCATGGGATCAGCTGGTTCTGGGTGGGTGGATTTCCCTGCTGACGCAGATCTCAACAGAAAATATCAGTGCAGTCAGAGGCCAGAGTACCTGTAACGAAAAGGTTTTTGCGAATTTCTGGATTGAGGCTTGCATCGCTGGGGCATGGTTGGCGAACGAGCTTGGTTACATGGCTCCGTTTCAGCGTGTGACCAATAATTTCAGAAAAAACCTTGTGACGTGGCTATTCTAAACCAAACGCTGACAGGGTCTCTGACGTGGCAAATGCCAGGTCTGCTTGGCCAAGCGCCTACAGGTTTGCGAAAATACGCTTTAAAACTAGCTCTGGTTTGATTGTTCTCGAGAGCTTTTCACAGCACCAACAATCCATCGATGAACATATTTCTAATTGAATAAAACACCCAGAAGATCTTTTTGGTGTGTTGCAATTTCCCGTGCAAATGGCGAGTCGCCAACCTGTTTCGTGCGAGCCTGGTCAACTTCGCACACAACGACGTGATTCGATTGGACACGATCCATGATTCTTGCTTCAAGCACCTTCATTGATTGGTGGAACCTGATGAGCGGATGAGGCTGTGCGACACTATCGCGCAGAAATGAGCCCCTCAGAAATGAATGTGCAACCCAAGATCTGTCATGCGAATACATTCCTAAGGCCTGCAGCATTTTCCTGACAAAACAGGGATCTGTATTTCAGCCATGGCTGCTGCACTTTCCTCCGGCGTCCAGTCCAAGGTGCTCTCCGTGAAGGCCGCTCCCGCTAAGGGCTTCGGTGCTCTCAAGAGCGAGATTCACAATGTGACTGTCGGTAGCTCTTTCTCCACCGGCGCTAAGGAGATTGCTGCGAAGGCCACGCTGAAGTCCCGTTCTAGCAATGTCAGGAGGCCAATGCTCGTAGTCTGCAAGACTGGCAATAAGACCGTCGTGGTCGGTCTTGCTGCCGATTCAGGATGCGGGAAGAGCACATTCATGAGGCGCATGACTGGCGTGTTTGGAGGCTCGGCTTCTCCCCCCAAGGGAGGCAACCCGGACTCCAACACCCTTCTCAGCGACATGACCACCGTTATTTGCCTCGACGACTACCACTCGCTCGACCGCAACGGTCGCAAGGTGGCGAATGTTACGGCATTGGATCCCAAGGCGAACGACTTCGACCTGATGTACGAGCAGGTGAAGGCGCTCAAAGAAGGCAAGTCCGTTATGAAGCCCATTTACAACCACGTGTCCGGCCTTCTCGACCCGCCGGAACTCATCGAATCCCCCGACATTCTCGTCATCGAGGGCCTTCATCCCATGTACGTCTTGGATTTGTTTTTTAATTATTCTTTGTCTTTTTTTCTGCTGTTGATCCTGGCTTACGTGTAGGATTTTTCGTCTAAATCCTGACTGTTGTTGGTGACAGGTATGATGAGCGCGTGCGAGATCTCATAGATTTCAGCATTTATCTTGACATCAGCGATGAGGTCAAGTTCGCCTGGAAGATCCAGGTACGCACTTCCTCAGCACTGTTTCCGCAGTTTATAAATATTTCCGATTACTTCTGACAGAAATCTCCTTCACATTGTATGTATTTGAGACCATAATCCAACATATCCTTGCTTCTTGCAGCGTGACATGGCTGAGCGCGGTCACAGCCTGGAGAGCATTAAGGCTTCGATTCAAGCGAGGAAGCCAGACTTCGACGCCTACATTGGTATGCTGCCGCATTCCATCACATGGTATCACATTCAATCGAATTATTTCGTGTTTCAACTCACAAGTGGGCACGAACGAATAAAGATCAATAATCGTGGAAGCTTCATTCATTGTCCTCCCCCCCCCAAACGTTCCACCTTAAAACTCCGTCAGACCCGCAGAAGCAGCACGCGGATGTGGTGATTCAGGTCCTACCGACGCAGCTGATTCCCGACGACAACGAGGGTAAGGTGCTGCGCGTGCGCATGGTGCAGAAGGAGGGCCTCAAGACGTTCGATTCCGTGTATCTCTTCGACGAGGGCTCCAGCATCTCCTGGATCCCCTGCGGCCGCAAGCTCACCTGCTCCTACCCGGGGATTAAGTTCTTCTACGGCCCTGACACTTACTTCGGAAATCCGGTGAGCAAACGGCAGTGTTAGTTTCTCAGCGCATCTGGTAAGTAACTACCCGAGTTCGGGCCTTAAAGAATTGATAAATTACCAAGTAGTGGACGAATTTAAAGCACAGACCCTCACATGCAACATTCGTCCTTCGTTCTTTACAAATCATTCTCTCTCCAACAATAGGTGTCTGTTCTGGAGATGGACGGCCAATTCGACAAGCTGGACGAGCTGATCTACGTGGAGAGCCATCTGAGCAACACGTCTACCAAGTTCTACGGAGAGATCACCCAGCAGATGCTCAAGAACGCCGACTTCCCTGGCAGCAACAACGGCACAGGCTTCCTGCAGACCATTGTGGGGCTCAAGCTGCGTGAGGCGTATGAGCGCATTGTTGCTAAGTCCCCTGTTGCTGCTTAAGGATAATAATGTTTTAAGATACGCGTTTTTCCATTATGCTTTCTGTGGAGCCTAGTCTGGAGGAGATTAGACAACTGTACTGTAAATAGCATGAAAAGCATTTATGCACAAACCACAGCTCTACTAGGTACCCTACCGTATTATCATTGGTTGTTCTTCAATCTGTAAGGATCGAGCTATCTTGGTGTGCCTCGCTCACCCAGATATTCATGTGAGCCAAGCAAAATAGATAAGACAGGGCTAAACAATATCAGATCAGAAGTTCCTGCCCTATGAGACACTCCTTTAGAGTAGTTTTGCAGGGGAGCTGGGTAAGCTCAAAATGTACTGTAACAAGCCACGAAATAAAAATGACTCATGCTGCGGTGGACATAAGGTCAAACCTTTTCATCCTTATTCAAGAACATGCACCCTCGATCCCTAACAGTGGAGCGGAGGGCCTGTGGAATATCGGGCCACATTTGCACACACCAGTAAATTGCAGCTGCTTGTCAAGCACAGCTGAGAAAAAAACGCATACATATACCCCCCACAATGTTACTTGGGGACAGGTCCGGAGAACTCTATGTACGAGTCTGTGCCATAGCCCGAGGCTGGCTGCGAGTGGTGGTAGGAGTAGAGCGAGGTGAGGGGCGACGCGGGCACCTCATCGAGCTGAATCTCCTCCGCCCCCACGCCAAAGGCACGGCGCCTCACATCGCGCAACATGCGCGCCACGTCCACCATCTCCGGCCGCTCCTTGCCTGGCAGCTGGGGGCGCAGCGGGTGGGGGGTGTGGGAGGGGATGGATTGGAATAGACAGTAATGGGGGGAAGGGAGCAGCACGGGTTTGGAACGGCGTCTCACATCGCGCAGCATGCGCGCCACATCCACCATCTCTGGCCGCTCCTTGCCTGGCAGCTGGGGGCGCGGGAGAGGGGTGCGATGTGGGGGGAAGAGAAATGGAAGAGGAGAACTAGATGGAGTTTTATGCCAGACACAGTGTTCATGTCAAGTCCGAGTTCAAAAGCGTTGAAGGCATGGCATGGCACGCACCTGCATGCAGTCATTGGCAATCTTAGACATGGCGAGGAGGGGAATGGTGGGGGGTGCATTAATTCGATTCAATATTGAAAATCTGTTCATGACAAGAATGTCCAGAAAAGAGTTGAAGGCATGGCATAGCACTAACCTGCATGCAGTCCTTGGCAATCTTGGACATGGCGAGGAGATGCTCTGATATCCCTGGGGTGAAGATGCGCGGGTCTGATATGGGCGCAATGTCCCCGTCCTCCACGTATGGGATGGTCTGCGGGATGCAAGGAGAAGTGGGTGAAGAGTCACGACAGAGAAGAGCATTGTGAAGATGCGCAGGTCTGATATGGGCGCAATGTCCCCGTCCTCCACGTATGGGATGGTCTGCGGGATGCAAGGAGAAGTGGGTGAAGAGTCACGACAGAGAAGAGCATTGTGAAGATGCGCAGGTCTTATATGGGCGCAATGTCCCCGTCCTCCACGTATGGGATGGTCTGCGGGATGCAAGGAGAAGTGGGTGAAGAGTCACGAAAGAGAAGAGCATTGTGAAGATGCGCGGGTCTTATATGGGCGCAATGTCCCCGTCCTCCACGTATGGGATGGTCTGTGGGATGCAGACCACGCCGGGAGAACATCACGTGTGAAAGCCGGCAGAGAAGAGCATGGTGAAGAGTGTTGCGCAGGAAGGCAAACACAAACATGGTTGCATGAAAGGGCCACCACGACAAAAATTGCAAGATGGTCGCAAGGATAACGCGTGGCATGGTGGGATGAGGAGGTGAGAGGGCATACCCATGAGGAGATGTGGATGGTGGCATGGTTGTCGCTCGTGGGGTCCACAGAGGACGCAGGGCGGCCTGTCACCAGCTCCATCAACACCACTCCAAAGCTGGGAGAGCGAGGGGAGGGAGAGATGGGAGAATTGGGAGAAATGCATGAATCAACAAGGACAGGCTAGTTCACGAACCAGCTTCATCAGCACCACTCCGAAGCTGGGAGGGCGAGGGAGAGAGGGGCGAGTGATTGAGCAGATGCAGGTGAGAGAATGAAGAGAGGTAGCATGACTAGAAAAGACAGGCTGATTTGATCGGCCCATCGCCGAAAGGCACCCGCCTCACCTGTACACGTCAGCCTTGGTGGTAACCTTATCCCGGCTGAAATACTCGGGGTCTAAATACCCCCTTGTGCCCACCACCCGCGTCGCCACCGACGCGCCGTTATCCCCCAGGTCCTTCACCAGCCCGAAATCCGCAATCTTGGCCTGCCAGCCCGCATCTAACAGGATATTTGCGGGCTTGATGTCCCGATGCACCATGGCCGGCTGGGTGGAGCTGTGCAGATAAGCCAGGCCTTCAGCCACCCCTATGGCGACCTCGAGGCGCTGCTGGAAGTCGAGGCACGCGCCCTGGTGGGAGGCGTAGAGGTAGTTGCTGAGGGGGCCGTTGGGGACGAACTCATACACCAGGATCTGCTCTCCCCGCTCGCTGCAGTAGCCTAGCAGACGGACCAGGTTGCGGTGGCTCAGGCGGGATACGGTCCGGACCTGGAGGGGAGGTTCGGGGGAGGAGGCATGGACAGTGTCGGTGTGTGGAAGTGAGACCTGAGGCTTGTCAATGCAGACGTTGGTCATTGTTCATGGAACGGCGCAGACTTGAAAGTGGCAGGGGAGGGTATGGCAGGTTAACAGGAGAAAAGGGAGAAAAGGGGAAACGGGAGGACAGGGAAAGGACAAAAAGGATGCACTGTGCAATCGGGGTAAGCTGTAGTGCTGGCAACATGTGGAATAAACGTACTGTTGTAAAAAGAGCGAGTGAGTGAGTGAGTGAGTGATTGAGTGAGCGTGCGGTTAAGAGGCAGGCCAGCCCACCTCGGTTTCAAAGACGGTGCTCTCAGAGGCATCCTTGGCGATCATGCGCGAGCGCTTGATGGCCCACAGCTGCACACAAACCATCGCACAGCGCATGGAACATGACACATGAGCACAAGAAACGGGGGTTCATGCAACACACGGAGGAGCCGCATTGCAAGGGACCAAACGCTGACATGAAACTGGACCAGATGAACCACCCTGTGCCCCTATCACCCAAGGAAACTGCTATGGGTGAGCCAGAAGGGCCCCCCCAAACCTAGTGCATCAAATCACCTGGTCGGCAGGCCCCTGTGCGCAGTACACGACACCGAAGGCGCCCTGGCCGCAGGGGCGCGGGGGCACAGGGATGCCGGGTTCCCCAATGCCTCTCACCTGAACCCCTGGCCCCTGGTGCCTCTCATCCCACCTGGTCAGCGGGTCCCTGTGCGCAGTACACGACTCCGAAGGCGCCCTGGCCGATGAGGTTGGCGCGGTTGAAGTTGTTAGTGGCCAGGCGGATGTCCCTCAGGGTGAAGCGGTGGAACGAGTGCCGCTTCAACGCCTCCTCCCACTCCGCTGCTCACAAGAGGTGGGAAAAGAGGGTCTCATGGGTTGACGAATTTCACGCCACAGGAAGAGCAGATAAGAATGAAGGTGTGTGTATAGGGGATGCTAGGGAGGAAGCGGGGGAGAGCACAAGTCACATGCAAGAGAGATGCAGCAGCAGCGGCGGTGGCAGCGGCAGCAGTACGCACCTAGCTTGGAGGCAACGAATCGTTTCCTCCACTGCCACCAGATGATAGCTGCTAGCACAGCGGCCACAAACACCACACCCGCCACCACTATCCCTATTATGGCCCCCGTTGACAGCGCTGGTGGGATGGGATGGGGTGGAGGGCGGAATGGAAGAGAACATCATGAAGGAGCAAGGAGGGAGGGGCGGGAGAACAAGAGGCGAGCACGGAGTTGCATAAATGAGGTAAAGACGTGAGCGCACTCACATGGGCGCTCACATGGGCGCTCACATGGGCACTCACATGGGCGCTCACATGGGCGCTCACATGGGCTCTCACAACTATTGGTGAGTGCATGGACGTGTGCATGAGTGTGCGCATGCATCAGTGCATACACGAGTGCATGCATACGCGGAGGCTGGCAGGAGCTGCAGAAGGAGGAGCAGGCGGAGCAGATGGGGCAGCTCATGTTGGGCGGCGCATAGAAAGACTCTGGTGCGTTGCTGGGGAGGTTGTTGCTGCAGCACTGCCCCTCCGCCGGACAGAAGTTGTTGCCTGCGGGGAGCATGCTGGTGGGCGGGCACACACGGGACGGCAGAGTGGCAAATGCAGGTTGGATAGGGGAGTTGGATGGATGGGAGGGAGGATGGAAGAGGTGTGGGCGAAAAGTCAAGACAGGTGCCTATGGTATGGAACCAGTAGCAACGGGTGTCTATGGTGCCTATGGGATTGGGAGGGGAGGAGGTCAATGGGTGTGACCAGTAGCTGTGCACACACGAGCAAGGCAACAAACAAGGCATTTCATGTCACATAAAGGCCCGATAGGCATTTCATGACACATAGAAGTTGGCCTGGTTTAATCTCACATGCGTGTGAGGTTAGGCATGCTGGCGAAGCATGACGGCATGGAGCCTGATAGACTGGTGTTGGTCGCATTGCTGGTGGGGATGGGGGTGCAGGAACGGAGGAGAGACGAACTGGGCATAAGCTGGGTTGTGATGGAGGCAAAGCAGAAGGGAAGCATTGATTTTTCTAGGCGTTTCACGAACGAGAACAATGAGGTGGGCTGGTTTGAAAAGAAGAGCAAATAAAAGATTCTTACACAGGGAGATGTGGTAAAAAAAACAGACAAATTAGGTTCAGTATATAGGTATTAAAGGGTGACTGAGGGTTGTTCAGGGATTCAAAGGGTTGCTAAGGGGTGCAAGGGGTCACTGACAAGAACTCGAGGGAGATGAGGCGAGTGAAGGTGTCGGGGATGGTCCCATTCAGGCCCGGATTTGAAGATATGGAGCTGGTGGGGGGGAAGAGATATAGAGCAGCAGATTGTCTGCTTTGAGGAATAGAGAAGAGATGTGAAGGATTATGATGTGCACCGCACGCTCATACGCTGCACCGCACGCTCATACGCTGCACCGCCCGCTCATACGCTGCACCGCCCGCTCATACGCTGCACCGCCCGCTCATATGCTGCACCGCCCGCTCATACGCTGCACCGCCCGCTCATACGCTGCACCGCCCGCTCATACGCTGCACCGCCCGCTCATATGCTGCACCGCCCGCTCATACGCTGCACCGCCCGCTCATACGCTGCACCGCACGCTCATACGCTGCACCCCCCGCTCATACGCTGCACCGCCCGCTCATACGCTGCACCGCCCGCTCATACGCTGCACCGCCCGCTCATACGCTGCACCGCCCGCTCATACGCTGCACCGCCCGCTCATACGCTGCACCGCCCGCTCATACGCTGCACCGCATGCTCATACGCTGCACCGCCCGCTCATACGCTGCACCGCCCGCCCATACGCTCCGCCCGCCCATACGCTGCACCGCCCGCCCATACGCTGCACCGCCCGCTCATACGCTGCACCACCCGCTCGTACCCTGCACCGCCCGCTCATACGCTGCACCGCCCGCTCATACGCTGCACCGCCCGCTCATACGCTGCACTGCCCGCTCATACGCTGCGCCGCCCACTCATACGCTGCCCCGCCCGCTCATACGCTGCACCGTACGCTCATACGCTGCACCGCACGCTCATACGCTGCCCCGCACGCTCATACGCTGCACTGCCCGCTCATACGCTGCACTGGAAGGGCATAGGGGCTGCCAGCAAGGTGAAGGGTCGCATTGAAGAAGCATGGCGTTTGTTGATGACGAAATAGAAGGCTTAGCATAACAAATGCAGGTGCTGTAGCAGGGGAAACAGAGGAAGTAGCGGCAAGTGGGAAACGGGAGTTGATTGGAGTACTGGCGTGTGAGCAAAAAAGTAGAGGCAGGTCTTACAGCGAGACGAGATTCACTAGGTTCCCCAGAGGGCCAGGAAGGTGGCCGTTGAGGGTGTTGTTGTCCACCCAGCTGCCATGCAGCGGGGAGTGAAAGGTCGGGGTGGGGAGGGGAGTGAGAGACCGGACTAGGGCTTTTGAGTCAACTCATAAAAGTCTCTTAGAGGGCCAGGAAGGTGGCCGTTGAGGGTGTTGTTGTCCACCCAGCTGCCATGCAGAGGGGAGCGAGGAGTTGAGGTGTATGGGCGAGCAGAAACGAGTGTGAGGTAAGGGCAAAATCATGCGTGGCTGGGAAGAGCAAGTGTACAGAAGTGGAAGTAAGTGCAAGTGAGAGAGGCATAGAAAGATGGCAGAGAGGGTGAGAAAGACGAACTGGGGGGAGAAGGGGAGAGATGTGGGTGAGGGGAAGGGGGAGGTGGAGGGGAGGAGGCTGCGCGAGGTGGGAAGACGAGCTGGTCCCTCTAGATGTGACTCTGAATGAATGACGTACAGGTTGGTGAGGTTTTGGGCGAGAGAAATGTTGGAGGGAATGGCACCTGTGAGTCTGTTGCGCCTGAGGAACCTGTGAGGCGATTGGGAGCATGTGAGCATGGGAGCGTGAGCGCAGGGGAGTGTGAGAGAATGGAATTGAGACAGCATGGGAGCATGAAGCATGAGCGCAAGGGAGAGTGACTGCATGAGAGCATGACCCTGTGGGAGGGCAATGGACTGAAAGGCAAGACATGGTATGCGACTGCAGTGCGAGACACAGATAGAGAGCGCATGGCCGATGGGAACCAGAGTAAAAAACATAAGTTAGTGTTAGAGCGAGCATGGGCGCACTAAAACGTCCGCAGGAAGCACGATGGCACAAGGCACAGCGGAAAACAGAGGACAGAGAAAGCAGTCCAGATGGGTGTTGGAGCGAGCAAGGGCGCAGTACAGAGTCTGCAGAGAGAGCATGCTGCCGAGCTCTGGCGGAATGGGTCCTGACAGCTGGTTGTGGTGCAGGTCCCTGTGCGGGTACAGTTGGCAGGCATGTCACAATAAGGCATGATGGGGAATGCGAATCACAATAAGGTGTCACAGGGAAGGCAGACAGACACATCAACCATAAGGCGCTATGGGGAAGGAATATCGCAATCGGGCGTCACGGGGAAGGCGCATCACAACAAACAACGTGTCATGGGGAAGGCCTAATGTGGCTGGCTGGGGCCTGGAAGCACTGGGAGGAAGTCAACGAGGACACTTATGCAATGCAGGCGCACTGCTTGGTGAGGTAAGGCAGGATGGTGGGATGCACAGGCCAGGCCAAGGAACAGAGAACGGAAAAGGCCGGCCAGCGTTGCAATTATTCTATGTGATCCAGACCAGAGCGACGAACTTGGGTGATCTTGTGTGGAGCGGAAAGCAGAGTGACAGGGTGACTGACAGGTGAGCTGCCGAGAGGTAGATTGAGTGAGGGAGGAAGATTGGTGGAGTGTGGTGGGGCGGGTGCGCACAGCACTTGGAGGTTGGTGAGGGCAGCGAAGCAGGCGGGGATGGTGCCGTCTAGGCTGTTGTTGCTCAAATCCCTGCAGTGTGCGGACAGCAAACAGACACATACCAGAAAAGGTGTGAGGGATCTCATAACACTACCTGCGGCGCATGCGGCAGCAACATGGCAAGAATGGGGTGCATGCCTAGCTCTCTCACATGCACTGCCTGCATTCCCACATGCACTGCAGGCCGCCATGCCTCTCACATGCACTGCAAGGCGTTCCACCCCTCACATGCACTGCAAGGCGTTCCACCCCTCACATGCACTGCAAGGCGTTCCATCCCTCACATGTACTGCAAGGCGGTGAGCTGGCAGAGTTCAGTGGGAATGGGGCCACTGAAGTTGTTTCCTTGAAGGTTCCTGTGGCACTCGAAAGAAGGCAGGATGAGGGAAACGGGGAGGGAGAAGCATAGTGCTCACGGGAAGAAGGGAGAAAACATGCGAGGAATAGAGAGAGGGCGAAGGGAAGGATTACAATTGGGGACGGAGAAGAGGCAACAAAGATGCAGCCTGCAGCCAGTGCCTCCAGCAGTGTCATGTCATGGCATGGCATAGCATGGCATGGCATGGCATGGCATGGGTGAGGCACGCAGGAAAAAGAAAATGGCATGGCGTGGCGACTGACAGGTAGGTGAGATGGAGGAGGCCACCAATGGACGTTGGGATGGGGCCCGAGAGATTTGAGAGAGCCACGGACCTGCACCAGCAGCAGAAGAAACACACGCAGCAACAACAGACCAGCAACAGGTCAGACTACTTGATGCATTGAGTCCGTGCAATTGGTGATTGATGCAAACTGTATGGTGACAGACTGACAGTGACTCACAGTCCGGTGTAATTGGTGGGGCTGTAGAGCACACAGGCGCACAGGGCGTCGGGTGGAGGAGGGGGGTCGCAGGAGACCACGTTGGTGGTGCTGTTGCACACCAAAGTACACGGTCCCCCCTTTACTTCATCGGCCGGGGGGAACCACAGCGAGTACAGGTTACGAATCGTATTGCCTGAGAGGTGAAACAGGGATAAGAGTGGGGCGGAAGGCGGAGGATAAGGAGAAAAAAGCGGAAGGAGGGGAGACGAAAGGAGGGTGGAGTGAAGTGGGAAGGGAAGATGACCAGGTGGAAAGAATTTCAGCAGATGTAGTGGTTTGAAGAGTTTGAAAAAAAAGGAAAGATGGCTCACATTCGTCCCCCCACTGCTTGCAAGATCCCGTCCAATTTTCATTCACAGGGCAAGAAGCATTCGATGACCCGTTTCCTGCTCGCGGTGGTGAGGATGGCAGAGACGCGGGAGACGGAGCGAGCGGCATAGGCGAGCTAGGCGGAGCGAGCGGTTGAGCCTCGGCCACGTGGCTGAAGCAGATTGGCTGCAGTACCAGTGCGAGCGCCATGGCAAGAAGCAGCCATCTGGCAGGCCGACGTCGCAGACTATAAACCAATCCTTGCATCGCTACGTCACAGTGTCCAACGTTTCACGGGAATCGTAAGCACCTTCAGTCCGACGAACCATATGTTATCAGCCTAGAACCTCAGACAGAGCCTGAGAGCATTACATATGTGGCGAGGTGGAGAACGGTGGGCACTGGGACGATTCCTGAGCGCGGTTTCTACAAGCGGCAGCCAACGGCATTCATTTAGAGAATTTCTACGAACCTCCTACGTAGCCATTATTGCCCAAACCTTATCAGTATTGACCTTCGCTTTAGGGTTCGACCACTAACCACTCCCCAAGATTTTTTCGTTCTAGTGACTAGTCCCTGCCAGTGTTGACGGCGAGGCGATTGGATGGGATGGGAAGGTCAATAATGATGGAGCTTGTCTGGTGATATGACATTGCCTTGACAGAACGCGACAGCGGGCGAATAGTGGTGAAAGGCGAAGTAAAAGGTTCGTTCATTTGTCGTGAAGAACGTGTTGTCCAATCGTGCTTTCTTTTTTTGGGCGGAGAAATGTAACCAGGCCAAGTCAGCCGGTTTGACGAAAAAAAAGCCCTGCTCACTGATGTTTTACGTGAACCGTTGCGACACATTCTAAATGTAACCGGGCATCCCGATATTTCTTGACCAACAGCAATCCAGAATCAAGGGACCAGCTCTCCCACTATTTTCAGGCACTGGCATGTCCAGCATTTCTCCCACTATTTTCAGGCACTTTCTGTTATCAGACATGGCTTCCAGGAATGAACTGACGCCTCAACGCACGTTCGTGAAAGCTATCCTAATTTTCATGGTTATGCTTCCAACAGCCTATGCAATCATTGCCAACAAGAACGAGGGTGTCTCAGGTTCGGTTTTCAGAATGAACTCTCACACCATAACGTTCATAAAAACATCTGTCAGACTCATCAGCTTCCCTTTTGGCAGGCTTTGTCTCATTCCAGGCTGTGCATTTTCTGGGAGTCACCATGATCGACGATGAATGCGCTTCTGCGTGTAATCTCCGTGTAATCGATCTCAGCAACGAAAGGGTTCTCCAGGAACTGGCACTTTCGTCGGATTATTATGCAGAAGTACCTTTGATCGACTTGCAGCGGGAAATGAACTATGAAGCAAGCATCATGTGCGGCGACGTCGGCTGTTTATCAGGTCAACCCGCTGCTGTGTGAAAAGCTTCAAGTCAAGAATGCTCCTCCTCACCTCTTAGTTTCCATGGCAGATCCCCCCAAGCTTTTATTTCAGTCATCTGATGAAGAAATTTCACACATTGGAAACATGACAATTAGGCGGAAATTAATAAGCGCTCCGCTCATTCAGGCGGAATTGTCGGCAGAGCATTCATCATCAGTATCTCTTCAACAGGCAGCTTTACCAATCATAATGAAGGACTTCATTGAAACAAGCTGTAACTGCTCAGCTGTTGACGAAGATGCTATTGTGGATCCAGAACGATTTCCACGCTGGGTGTTTCCAGCTGTTGGATTAACTGCACTAATTTTGGCATCAGTATTGGTCCTCTTATTTTAAATACCTGGGCAGTGTACCAGGAAGCCAATAATTGAAGATTTGCAAACAATTTGCACAGAATCTGAAGGCTTGCCTACTACCGTATTGGAAAGTTCACATACCGTACGCCTGACTGACACAATAATTTTTAGCAGGATTCTACCAAAACATTCAGCCTCTCAGCTGGCCTCAGCAAGCAAGCGCCACTGAAGTTCCAACTTTAAATATCCCTGCTTTGTGTGATGGAGCTGGAAAATATCAACAATGCGTTTGTTCTTCAGCGCGTCACACAAAGGGATCTCCACGGAACCCACCATCTTCTCTGCAGAACCAACCAGCATTGCTTCTGGGCTCCTGCTCCAAACCTCTACCAGCAATTTTTCAGTAACTGGTGGTTCATCGAGCAGAAATTCAAACGACTCTTCCCACTGTGGATTCCCCCTGCCTTCAGCAACCTGCAGGAATGGAAACAAAATCGCCACAATTGAATAAACGACATTGATGGCAAGGCAGCTCTCCAGTGACAAAAAAAATAGTGGAAGATCACGAATTAGAAACGGCCCCCAAAACTCACCTTGGTCACTCGCTCCTCTCCTGCAAGAAACACCTTGCACAAGAACTGAGCTTCGTCAGGGTTTCTCCCCAGCCAACTGCTTGCATCCAGATCCACACCTCTCCACACAGCCACTTCCAGCAGGCCAGGCCCATCGGCATGAAGTTGCAGGCGCGGTTGCATTCCAGGTCTTGCGAAGGTCGCATCTTCCGATAAAAGCTTTCGCGGCATTGTCTCACTTTGCAGGACTCTGAAGGTTGCAATGAGTTCCAGCTCACCACACGGTTGGCCCCGGTGGCTCCAGAGCCCAAGTGTGAAGTGCTGCAGAACGACAACAAGAATTTCCACCACTAGTAAGTAGTTTCTGTGGCTGATCAACGCATCATCACCCTTTCCTAACCCGACAAACTGATCAAAAGTTGTTCAGCACAGGCATAAAAATCTAGGTTTCCGCGCTTCAAGAAAGCATGAAATACCTGTGGAATTCCCGGCGTCAGATTGCTGACGTGAAGAACACAGGAGCCGATCAAACTGTCCACCAGCAGTGCTGTGGCATCGTGGACCTCAAATGTCAAGGCATCCGTCTCATGATCCATCACAGGCAGACGAATCACCTCACGCCACACAGGTTCACAAGTGTAGGATTCAGTGGCAGTGGACACAGAACGACTTGGATCAATGTAGGCCTGCACAAAGAAAAAAGAAAACCATCCAGTTTCATAAGCATTCTTCACTCGTTGCAACTAACAAGCTTTCAATCCACAGACGCACCTTGACATAGGGTGATGGATACAGGATATTCTGTGCCAGAAGTAGTCCTGTTTGAGTTAGCTCTGTGGCCTCCACTACCTCCACTGTCACGGTGCCAACTGCTCGCTTGGTTCTACCTGTTGTCACTGCTGCTGCCTTCGTCCGAAGTGTAAAGCGCCTTGGCCATAGCATGTGACCTGCAATAGCCGACTGAATCTTCTGGTGCAAGAGGCCGGAGATGCCAGGAAGTGACATGAGGTCAAGCCCCGCATAGGTGGAAAGGCAGAAGTCCAGTTCTGGCTGCATCAAGACATGAAACGCGATATGTGGTTGCCAAGAATCAGCAAGCCTTCAATATTCTCGAGTAACCGCTCATGAGTCTGCAAAGTGCTTACGAGTTTCTGTTGTCTTACAGTTTCGAGGAAAGAAAAGTGGACGTTGCCAAAGCAAGGGAATTTGGGAACCAATGGAGCGAACGACACGCGCAAGACTGCTCTCCCCACGAATTGAGAGAGGTGCAAGGCGGATGAGCAGTCGTCGCCTTCTTCGGCAGCTGGAAGTCTCAGCACATTCCCTGGCAAGGTCAAGATGGCCCTTGCATTGGAGTTGGTGGCGAGGTGCACCTTGAGGTCAAGCACGGCTGCAGACTCATGAGATTCAACCATCTGCCTCCCTCGGTGAGTGATAAGAGAGGGAAGGAAAAAGCGGAGGAAGAGAAGGTTGGAGGGACAGGAAGAGGTGTTCTGTAAGAGGCCCAACCAAGACGACACTAAGAGTGGACGCTTTGGGGCTGAAGAAACGGGATGTTGCCTGCCTGTTTGTCTCGGCTGTCGAGCTACCCAACGCTGAACCCATCGCTGCGCACCTTGACATACTCCACTACCAGAGGGAATGATCCGAACGAAAAGTCTTCAATTTGAAGCAGGTTGTCCGGAAATCGTTTATGCCTGCAAATGGCCTGGCGGGGAGAGACAAGATCGCATCATCTTTTGCTGGTGCCTGCTGTACATGCAACAAAGTAAGTGTGAACGAGCTTGCATGTAGCTGACACGAGCCTTGAGTTAAGTTCCTTACTTTCATGTCAGAGCAACAGGAGCTGGGTATCTGGACGCAGGACTCACCGGCCACAGCTTTTCCACGAAGATTTTGCTGAGTGCGGGATTCAGCACATGCCAAAATCGCGCAATCACATGGTTCAGCCAGCGAGCCGGCTCCAAGCTCGGATCTTTCACCCAGCCTGGCAGAGAGCCTCGCAGACGATCCAGGTGATCCTCGTCTGTTACTGCTAGCACTCGGCGGACCTGCAGCAAGAGCAATTTCTTAAAACACGTGGTAAGCAGTGCATTACCCGCTGATACAAGAGAGATGCAACATTCACGTAGCATTAGATTGTGCTTGTGATTGCCCTGCATTTCTGATCAATCTAAATGCTTTACCTGTGGAGTGCCGACTTCAAACGATCGTCGCTTGTCCAGAAGCCTACATCCGGTCACGAGAGAAACGGCCAGTCCAATGGAGAAGCCAAGAGCATCGATCAGCAGCCCCAGAGAAAAGTTGCGCAGCGACGGCCAGAGCAGCTCCGCCACCTTGCGGCTAAGCAGAGAGCCCAGGGAGGTCAGCCAGAAAACTCTCTTTCTTTTAGTTTCCGTCTCCGACTGTGGTTCCCGCAGTTGCTCCTCCTCTCCCTGGTGAGGGTGGTTATGCTGCTGCGGGGCCATGCGGAGACGGGAAGGAATATGAACGGTGGGTTTGTTTAAAGCCATGGACACCACACTCGGCGACATACTAGCTACGGACATGGCCGTGGGACCTGTAGCGGTTTCTGCGGCCTGAGCCGCGACAACCTCTCCGACTGGTCCTGCGGCAAACCCTGCGGCGGGCTTTGCGACGGGACCTGGAGCGAGCTCTGCTGGCTCTGCCATGGCCGTCGCGGTTGTTTGGGGAGGGTGAACGTTGGTGGCGGCGAAAACATGGGCATTGTGGAGTGGAGGGATTGCAAGCAGTCAAGACGACTGAGCAGGACAACGTAATCCTGGCCAACTGGGGCGATGTGGTGGTGGAAGTGGCGGGGGGGACGGGGAGGTTTGAGCGATGATTGGAGCAAGTTTGTTCACATTTGTGAGTACAGTACAATTCATGTGTACGATTCGTTTCCTTTCAGGTCATTCATTTCTTACCGCTCGTGCTAACATCGAGACGCCCTCACTTGAGCAGAAAGGATGTTTCTTTCACATCCTTGCGAGGATGAAAGGTAGATTCAGTCAGCGCATTACAGTGAAGTGAAGGCGCATCAGCAGCCACCTGCCCTCAACGTGTGCGCTCATTCATGAGAAGCTTTAGCTCCGAGTCACCGCCTTAGTCCGTCTCACTATGGATCTTTTAACAGGAGCGCCGATGACGCGGGGCGGGTCAGGGTACCAGCGCAGCAGCATGGAACGGTCGATGCTAGGGGAGAGCCTCCGTGAGCGCATGTGCCCGGCGCTTATGGTGCTCTCCACCGCCGCCGCTGAGGCTGCTTGCCAGAAGAACGCGCTGAGCTTCGTCGACCTGCTCCGCCCGCACTGCGAGTTCTCCAACCTCAACGGTGAGATTCCAATTTCGCTGTTATTCGGTGCACACTAACGTGCTTCTCTCCATGTCGACGATGACTGGCATCCTCCTACCTTCGACTGTATCCTGACTGCGCCGATGTCGCTAAGATCCCACGCCTCATCAGCCCTCATCCGCGAAACCTTCCCTCATCCCCCTTCCTGTCGCGCTCCCGCTTCCTCTCCTTTCTCCATCTCTCCTGCAGTGCCCGTGCGCACGGCGGGCGAGCATTCTTACCGCCTGCACGACTTTCGCGTGCGAGTATTCTATGCTAGCGAAATCCAACAACCGTCTCAAGAGGTAATTGGGATAATGGGAATGCACACTCGTAAACCTATTTTGTCTAATCGTTATATGCTAATGTTCCTGTGCGCTATGGTGGTGGGGGAGCAGGCAGCAGAAGATTTCTGTGTGCGCTTTGTGACAAACGCGAGTGAGGCAGCAGACGCAGAGCTGATGGGGGCAGACCCAAGCGACCTCAACTCCATCATTGGCAGTGAGTTGACGTGAGGGGTGACGTGACCTTTTGATTCGTACCCAAGAGCATGACGGGAAGAAGGGAGTTCTGGATGAGGGATTGTGTCAGTTATGAAGGGCGAATCATGAGCAGCAGCAAGCACTGAGCTTACTCAATCTCATTTATGAAGTATGATGAGGGCACACATACAAAGTAGAGCTGAGATACCTTTCTATGCTTTCCTCTGCACTGCATCTGGATGTCTCTCGCCTCTCCTCTCTACTCCACCCTCTCACCCCCGACCCCCCACCCTCTTCCCCCAAATTCTATGATGTTTTATCCCTTCCTTACTACACTCTTCCCATTTGGCTCTTTTCCCCCCCTCACCCCGCATCCTCGTTTCCTTTCCACACCCTTTTCGTCTATGTGGCTACACTGCTACAGTGGCCAATGCGGAGAACCGGACTTGTTGGTTTCAGCGTTTTACCGACGAGTTCATGCGCACGCTCGTCTTTTCTGACCACGAGACCTTTGATCATCCCATTGCGTGTAAGCTCCCTTCTCAGTGTCCACTTTTATAAAGGCACATCTCCGTTTTCTCGCCCTTTTATCTTTCTGCGTCCTTGTCTCTGTTTACCAAACTCCTTCGCTTTGACGACAACTACACATCCATCTGCTTTCAACTCACTGTCCTGCAATGTTCCGCTTCTACATCCACCAACGCCCACCACCACCCCAGGTCTGCTGGTCGCCTCCACGTCAGAGCCCTTCCCTGTGCGCGCCTTGCGTGAGCTCATGACTCCCGAGCGCCTGCCCGCGCTCTACCGTGACGGCACCATGGACCCCAAGCTGCACCTGCACTACCTCCTCCTGCACGACTGCTCCTCCCTCGGCCCTCCCTCCGCCTCCTCTCAAGTCGAGCTCACTATAGCTGAGATGCGTGCTGCTTTTGGCAGCCCTGTCTGCCGCTTGTTGCCTATCAACTCTGCCGCTGCTCCCAGCCAGTCGCGGCCTGACATCTGGACCAAGCACCGCCCTGTCCCCGTTGGAGGGGTCGCACCGCCTCCTCCTGCCGGCACTGCGGTAAGGAGGACTCGTGGTATCGGCTTTGGACTAACCACAACGCCCTGCTCTTCCCCCCCTCTCCCTCAACCTCTCATCTCCCCTTCCCAAAATCCCCTCGCTCTCCGACCCCCCTCTTCTCCTCCACCCCTCTCGTTCTCCCCTGCTTCCTGCAGTTGCCACAGAGCCCCTCAGGTCCGCCGGTGTCAGGGGCGGTGGGGCAGTATATGAGTGAGGCGGACGTGAGGGAGGTGGCGGACATGATGATGGAGCTCAGTGTGAAGCACCTCGTACCTCACCTCGAGCGAAAGGCGCGAGACCTCAACCAGCAGGTTGGTGGAGGAACCTAATGATCCGGCAAGTGGACCAACAGGCAGTTTGTGGTGTTTTCCTCGCTTCCCGTCTACATCAGCTTCAGTCTCTGTTTTTGTCTGGGCCTTCAATACATGTGATCGCGAGCAAGTCTGTGTAAATGTGTGGATGTGTGCATGTGTATGTATGCGGGTGTTTGTTTGTGTTTGCATCCACGAATATGAATGTCCCAGATCTCAGCCAGTCGTCGTGGGCTACGCAACCAGATCAAGAACTTGTGGTTTGGCAAGGGGAAGGAAGATTCGGCAGACGCCACACCCGGCGTGTAAGCACCTTTTGTCTCCCCTCCCTTCCTTGCCATGGCCCTTTCATCCCTCTGTCACGGCCCCCACACACTCCCCCTCCCCGATTGCACTTTCTTTAACTGTGGCCATTCTATACGACATTCCCTAGCCACCCTCCCTCTTGCCCCCTCTCAGCCAGTGTACTAAACTCATCGATCTTTCCCCTTCTCTCACCCTTCACCATCCTCTCAGCTACACCTACCGCTCGCCTGAGTCTCAGATCCGCCAGCTGGCGGACGCAGCCATGATGCTGCAGGACTTCCAGCTTGCGCTGGACAACTACCGGCTCGTGGCGGCAGACTACCGCAGAGACAAGGCGTGGAAGCACTACGCTGGGGCGCAGGTCAGTCAATCGCTGGGCGAATCACTGGTTCTTGAGGGGTTTGAGTAATGCGAAGCGCACCGTCTGTGACTTTCATGCATATCGTCCTTGATCATGCTCTGATTTCTTTGAAACTCACATCGCCTGGTTCCAAGTTTTGTACTGCTATTGCAGCAGATTGCGTTTCTGTGTGACCTTATCATTCGTTGTCCCCATGTGTGCCATGGGCATCGATGTCTGTGTGCATGTTTGTGCATGCATGCGTGCATGTATGTGTGTGCGTGCGACTGATTCTGCAATTGTGTGGGTGTATGCATTGAAGTCTGCATGTGTGTGTGATCACGCTTGTGTAAATGATGGGGGATTGGGATGTGTGGATCTTTATGTTGGTTCCAGGAAATGGTGGCAGTGTCACTCTTTCTCTTGGAGATTTCTCGAAGGGAAATGGAGCAGTGCATGGAGAGCGCTTACGCCTCATACCAGGTATTTCACTCACTATGGCAATTCAGGCGCGTTTTCGTTCCTGTCAACCTTCCTCCTGTTTTGTGTTCTCCTTCCCCTCCCCTTCCCCCACCCTGCACTCCCCTTCCCCCATCCCCCTCTCCCCTTCCCCCAACCCCCACTTCCCTTCCCCACCCGCTCTTCCTCTCCGCTCTTTTCCTCTTTTATCCTTTCCCCCTCCGTCAACTTCGTCTCTTCCCGTATCTTCCATCCTCCCTAACGTTCCTCCATCTGCTCACATCCCTGTCAGCGCTGTGGTCCACTGGGAGCCCGCTTTGCCCTCAGAACAGTCTTCTGGATGATTGGGATGTTTAAGGCTAAGGGAAACTTCCGAGATGCTGCACTCACCCTCATGCGTGCATCTTTGGAGGTAGGTTCTCCCTTCCACCTTCACTTAGAGAGTTCTTCGTTGATTCTCTGATCTGTGGTGGGAAATGTTGTTGAGTGGCCTGTAGTTATGCTTCGCACATTCCACTGGCCTTTCCTGCAACATTCCAATGATACTTCCACCACCCTCTTTACCTGGTAACAGCTCTTCTTTCTTCCTTCCCTTTCTCCTCTCCACTTGCCCATGCCCATGCCTTCCCCCCGCCATCTTCCCCCTCCACAAACCACACTTCCCCTCTCTCTCCCCCCATTGCAGGAGAGTGGAGTGAAGGCAGCAGTGTTGTTGGAGCAGGCAGCGGTCTGCTTTGTGCGAGTGACGCCTCCCATGCTGCGCAAGTACGGCTTCCACATGGTGCTCGCAGGCAACCGATACAACCTCGCCTCCCAGGTGAACATCTGGATTTCAATTTCGCTTGTCGTGCAAGCATTTTTAAACGATTGCTGACACCATGTTGAACCTTAATCCGGGGGTGAACCTTCATCCGGGGGTGAACCTTCATCCGGGGGTGAACCTTCATCCGGAGGTGAGCCTTAATCAGGGGGTGAACCCTCATCCGGGGGTGAACCTTCATCCGGTTCATCCGGCAGTGAACCTTCATCCCGGGGTGAACCTTCGTCCCGGGGTGAACCTTCATTCGGGGGTGAACCTTAATCCGGAGGTGAACCTTCATCCGAGAAGGGGCGGTGAATAGAGGTAGCAGATGGAGGGCAGAGGGGGGAAACGCAGTCTGATGCCATGCAGGCGAGGAAGCTGCACGGGTGGATGGCATGCAGGCAGAAGGGCGAGGGGATGAGAAAAGGGGCAATGGACAGAAGGAGCAGAAGAAGGGAAGGTGGAGCGGAGTGAGGGGAGCGGAGGAAAGGTCGCAAGGAGGGAGGGTTGGAGTGAGGGAGAATTGTAGTGAGAGTTCTCCCCCTTGGTGAGAGTAGTAGACGGGCGTGTGAGGAGCGAAGTGCGCTTGTTGCTTATGTTACTTTCCGTGGCACCATGTGAGCGGTGGTATCCCATCGCACGTTAACCAACTGGTGTTACTGCTAAACGCGTTGATGAAAGAATCCTTGTGTTGATATTTGGGCGTGCTGATGCATGGGTGAACAGTGCCACTCACAGAGGCACCATGTTGGCGAGGGCATGAGCGAGAAGCTGACCCACCTCGTTGGCTGTGCTCATCACGCTTCATATCCGGGCACAATATCTGAGCACATTCCTTCTCCACTCCTCTTTCTTCGCGTGTGCCGTCAGCGAAAGCATGCCATGCGGGCGTATAAGTGTGTGGAGGGCGTGTATCGTGACAAGGGCTGGAACTTCATCCTAGACCACTGCAACTTCACACTTGGCAGGTATGGCCGCACAAGCCCATGGGTGAGGCATCTCTTTCAGTATCATGCTCTGGGTGCCACTTGTTGTTTGACAAAAAAGCTGGTTACTTGCATCGGTTGGAACCCATTCGCTCGTCTTTCTTCTCTGCGCCCTAATCGATTTCCCACACTCTCCATCATCACTCTCTTTCCACTCCTCCCCTCCTTTCCCCCCCCCTCTCTGTGAAGGCTTTCAGCATACCTCGGCAGCTACAACGGGGCGGTGGTGTATTTTGTCCGCTTGCTGGCATGCGCCCACCAGTCTGCCGCCATGCAAGCCACCTTCCTGCGAGAGTTCCTCTATGTGGTGCAGGTAGGTGATCAGGGCGGGGTGTTGGCAGATGCAGTGAGACACTGGTACATGGTTCAGGAAGATGCAGTTTGGTGCTGGTAAATGGTTGAAGTATGTGCAATGCGGTGGAAATAGGTAGATGCATTGAGGAACATGTTGACCAAGTGTGGTGCAAGCCTGCAAGGTAGATGCAGATCCATTGAAGAATGGGTAGTAGTGTCTACATTTTAGTTTTGGGATGGAACATGGTTACTTAATTCCTCCCGTCTCGCAAATCAACCTACATTGACCTGATCGCCTTCTATCAGATCCTTCCACATCCTCCTTCTGTCGTTGCTGCATCGCTTCACCCTACAGGCAGTGCAGTCAAAGGACAAGCAGGGAGCGTTGGAGCTGCCGCTGCCACACGTCAACACACAGAAGGTGTACGTCCACTTTGAAGACCACCGCATCTTCGCATCCCCTGCCTCTGTAAGCCGATTCTCTACAACCCATACATGCATCCGCTCTGCTCTGTTGCCTTGCTATGGTTGTATCTTAACACCCCTCCAAACAGCCTGATTCTTTCTGGCCACAGGCCACACTTGGCCGACCAACCCTGCTCACCGCTACGGACCAGATCTTTCTTTTGCTACACGTCAAACCATCACTTCGCCAATATTCTCTTGCTAATCTAAGCCCACCCACCGTAGCCCCTTCCATCACTTTCTATTACCGCTCTAATCTATTCCAGCCCCCTCGATCGCTAGTGACGCGTATGCCTCCAAGCTTCAAGCTCGAATGACACCACCAAACCGCCTCATTTATGTTGCTTTCACCAGGAGGAGCTCCCAGAGTCATTTTGGTCGGCACTGGAGGAGGGGGTGGTGCCGCCAGCAGCAGCCATGGTGGTGCCCACGTGGCTGGACGCGCCCTCCAAGACACGCGCAGGGGCGCATGACACCATCGCCACCAACACCTGTGTCGCTGGGGGTGCGTGCGTGCACTTCTTTGTTTGGGGCCATGAATGAGTGTGGCCGCATGCTCACTACCCTCCTGGCTTTGCTCTGAACCATATACCTCCTCCTTGCGTCTACTTCTGCCTTCCTTCCTTCCAGAGGACATTGGAGTGGACGTGGAGTTTTGGAACCCTCTTCAGATTGCCCTGCAGATATCTGGCGTGCATCTGCTCTGCCATCACTACGACACCTCCTCCTCCTCCTCCACCACCACCACCACAACCAGCTCTGGCACCGGCACTGCAGCAGCCAATGCCCCATCCTCCCCAGCCTCTCACTTGGGCGCATCACCTGCAGCAGTGCCTTCCGCGTCGCCCTCTGCTGCTGGTGACCTTGCTTCTGATGCTTCCACCTCTAGCCACAGCCGGCCCACATCACCAAATGCTGCTGCTAAGGATGGATCAGGTGGGCTGCTGGAGCATCTTACGAACTTTTCCTGGTAGATGTGATGCTACCTTGCACCTCCATTCTTCCTCCTTCCACGTGTTGCCAAGCCAAACTATGGTGACTTGGAGTGTTAAGTCACCTCGATTCTGGGTAGTTGAATGGGACATCGCAGCTGACTTTTTTGCTGAATGAACCCCTGCTGGTTTCCTGAAACTGGTTTCCTTATTGCATGCCAAACCCCCACGGCTCTCAGGGCTGGTGCGTGCAGCAAGCTCTCCCGTTCTGGATCAAGCAGAGAGCTCAGAGTCACTATGGGAGAGCTCTGGGCGTGACGACGGGAGGTGAGGATGTGCAACGACTCTTTTCGTGTGTCGAGTGCGCCCCACTCGTTTATGCTTGCGCTTATTCTACTTGCCTCATATGTTTCTGTATAACCACCACGCTCCTTGTGCAAACTGTGTCCTTCCCTCGCGATTACACCTTCCCGTCCCACTGTCCCTGGCCTCTGATTCCACTCATCTCCACTCCTCTTGTCCACAGCGCATCTCGAAAGAGTCAATCCCAAAGCGACCTTGCGGCAGACGACCCTGCTCTCTTCCTGCACCCTCTCGCTGATACCACCACCAATGATGAGGGCCGAGGCAAGGGTAGTGAGGATGATGGGAAGCGTGCTCTTGCCAAGGGAACAGAAGGAAGCAATCTGCAGCAGCAGGGCAGTGGAGCTGCTAACCAGTCAGCACTAACTGGAGGAGCAGATGGAAGGGGGAGCAAGAAGGCAGGAAAGGTAGAAGCGGGGAAGGAGGAGAAGGGCAAGGAGGGCAACATGCAGAGTGCCAGTGCAGCTGCGGCTATTGCTGGTAGCGGATTGACAGAGCCGTATGTGGCTGAGAAGACTGCCTTTGCCTTGAAGCCGGGTGAACGTGTCACAGTAAGTACCAACCTGTCAGTCATTGCTCCTCCATCCATACGCAATTCGATACCCTTCTGCCATTCTCCACTCCACCCTGTTACTTGTCCAGCTTCGTTTCTCCTCTCTTCATCCTTACCCTTGCTCTCCAACACTCCGCCTCCCGTGTGTTCCACCTCTACCTCATCAACCTACCCTTACCTCCTACACACTGATGCCACACCTACCTCCCAACCTCTACACCCTTCCACATCCATCCGCCCCCTCCCATCCGCCTCCAAACTTCTACTTTAACTCCTAGGTGCGTCTGAAGGTGCGGTCATGCCGTGTGGGCGTGCTGCACATATTCGGTGTGGAGTGGGCCATCAGCAGCGAGGGCCGCACGGCCGTCAGCCGCTCGCTCTTTGACATCAAGGCGCCTCCCAAGCGCAAGGGCAAGCCGTCACGCCAACTGCCCACCCACCAGCGCCTGCACTTCCATGTCATTCCGGTGCGATGTGCTGCCTCACTGAGTCATCCTGCAGCATTTCTTTCTGTGTGTTATGCATCGCTGTCCCATGCCACAGCCTTCTCCTGCTTTGCTGGGGTGTTCTTTTGAAGTGTTGGTGCGGTTGTGGATTTCTCCTGCGACCTACATGAATGAAGCCTGCACTTCTATTCACTTCCATTCCCTCTCATGCTCATGCAAGCAGGAGATGCCACGAGTTCAGGCGGAGCTAGAGGGTTTGCCAGAGGAGGCAGTGGAGGGGCAGCTTTACCGCTTGCAACTCAAGCTCACCAACACATCACATGTGCCGCTTAAGGTGAGGCTGTCGGTCGGCTATCATCCATCTTCCTGTTCCCCAATTCGCCCAGCCATCTTCTCATGCTGTGAGGCACCCCACATTGCTTCCACCACCTGCTTTCCTCCTTCTAACCTTTCCTCCTTGTAACCTTTTCCCCTTCTAACCTTTCCCCCTTCTTACCTTTCCCCCTTTTCCATGCCTACGACATTCCACCTGCTTGCTCCTTGGCAAATCTCATTAGCTATTTCCCCTCTCTCCTTCTCTCCCCCTTCCCCCCTCCATTGCATCCCATCAGCGCCTAAAGCTGCGGACATCCCACCCAGCCTGCCTGCTGCTGGGCGACCCTGCAGACCGCAATGCCCGCCTGCCTGCATGCCTGGAGCAGCAGCAAGTGGACGAGGGGGAAGCCACAGGTGGAGTTCAGGGGACTAAAAGAACCAGCGGTGGTGGAGGAGGGAGTGGGGTGGTGGCGGCAGAGGGAGGGTTGCCTGTGGAGCGCAGTCGGAGTGTGACAGACCCGCAGGGAGATCACGGCAGTATGAAGAATGGCTTCATCTTCTCCTTCCCATCTGTACGCTCCCGTCTGTTCACTCTTTATGCTTAAAAGCCCTCTGCAGTATTCCGTTTTACTCTCTTGAAGTCATCAACGTTTTTCCAGCATTTAATCTGCTGCCTAGCTTTGGAAAATCTGAAAACAATAATGATGGGCAGGCGATCTGAAGGGAGTCAATGCGATAGAGTGCTAGTGAAGTTGGTGCGAGTCTGTGCAAGTTGTGCAGTGTGTGCGAGTGTGTTTCAGTCTTCCACTGAAGAGCAAGCCTTTACTCTTCCTGCCCCACCCCATCCCTCTCCTCCTCCCCTTGAACCCCCCTTCCTGCCCCACCACATGGCAGCGGTTCATCCTGGAAGGAGGAGCATCGCTGGTGTGGCCCCTCTGGCTGCACCCTCTTGATACAACCTCTCTGGACCTTGGCCTTGTTGTCTTCTTCGAACCTGCCCATGCGAGTGGTGCTGCTGGAACTGCCTCTGCTGCTGCCACTTCTGTGGGCAGCATTCTTGGGGGCGTGGGCCCTGGGAGTGGGGCAGAGGGCGGGTCGTTCCCTCCTCCTCTCCCCACGCACCACCACTCGCATCAATCCCACGGCCATGGGCATGGACATGGGCATCACTCACACCATCGACCATCGCAGCATCATCCGTCTCACCTCTCCTCGCACGCCCCCATGACCTTTCGTACCTTGCGTCTGCGACAAACAATCACGGTAACTGGTTCACTCTTTTCTTCTTCTCCAGCTGCCTCTTCTCCAGCTGCCTCTCCTCTCTCTGCCCTACCTCTTGCATCTCCTCTTGAAGTACCTTGCCCTTGATCCAGGCCATTTATGCCCATCCAGCCCACGCATCCTCGTGCATTGAACCCTGCTTTTTGAATGCAGTGCATTGACACGTGAGATCACAGTCACTTCTGCAGTGTCTAACAAGCTTATTCTTTTCTGAACCCCCTCTCTTCTTGTCCATCCCTTTCCTCCAACCCCAATTCTACAGATCCACCCGTCCCTGCACGTGTCACTGCGCATAGCTCCCAGCAACGCGGACATCGCATGCTACCTGCTCCGCATGGACGTGGAGAATCACAACCACAGCCGCACCTTCTGGCTGCGCCAGGTCTCCTGCCCAGGCTCCCACTGGCGCCTCGCTCCCCTGCAACCCGCCCAACCACGACAACCTTCCCTCACTTCTTCTGCTGCTGATTCTGGTTCGTCGAATCTGGACGGCCAGAGGCAGCAGCAACAGGAGAGCGAGCTGGAGGATGAGGAGCAGCAGATGAGTGGGGCGTTGCTATCTGCAGCACTGGCTGCACCCCAGATCCTGCCTCCTGGCCAAGGCACCTCACTCTTCTTCCACATTCAGGTTCGTCCTAGCCAGATGCATCTTGGTACTACTTGAACATTTCCTCCAAGTGCATTGAACATATCCCTCCATAATATCTTCAGTGCCTGGAGAGGCTCACATAGGGAGGGACACAGACTCGACAGCAACTTGAGCCCTCGCATGCAGGCAGGCATGTCTTCTCATTTGTGCCTGCAACAACCCTTCTCACTCGACTCACCTAAAAAACTGTCATTCCTTCTTTCATCGATCGCAGGATTTCGCCTCGTCAGCCAAGAACGAGCGCGCGGACAGGGAGAGCTTCAAGAGTGATGCGAGGATGGGGGGGCAGGCGGAGCCTCTCATTGACATCCGCAGAGACCCCTTGCACGCCCTGCACCTCAGGGAACGAGTGTTCCAGGTGAATCACGTGTTCCAGGTGAATCACGCAACTCTTGAAGTCCTAAGCGCATTCACACATCCCTCTCATTGATCCTCCCCAGATACTCTCTCCATGCACACCCCACACATATGGAAGGGTTTTGGGTCAACGTGGTGGAATCTGGAACGCATGTCTGTTCGTTTATTGCCTTCCAGATTGAATGCCATTGCTTGAATGCCCCACACTTGCATCGCAAAGTTTCACCTCTGGGGAAGTCGGAAGTCTGAGTACCCATGTACAATGCTCCCACTGTTGTTCTCACAGTCTCTCTCTCTTTAATAACCAGTGATAGCTCTTTCCCCCTCTTGCGCCTCCTGCCACCCTCGATCTTACCTCTCCCAGGCTCTCCCTCCCCCAGATCCCGTCACCAACCCTGACGCCCCTCCTCCGAAGCAACCTCTGCACATCTCTCTGCACCACTCCCGCTTCAACACCGCTCGCCCCAGCTCCGTTCCTCTCTCCCCCCGCGGCCATTTCACCCCCAGCCGCCCACCTTCCTGGCCCACTCCCCCAGGAGGAGGGGGAGCGGGGGGGACGGGGAGCCCTGGGATTGGCTCACGGCCCGTTTGGCGCTCAGGCAGTGGGGGAGGGGGAGGCACAGGGGGAGGGGGAAGTGTGCGTGGGCAAGGGGGTGAACTACTGGATGTGGTACTTTTATGGGAGTATCAGGAGCAGGGGCCAGGGAATGGGAGTGATGGTAGGGCTGCTGCTGCTGGTGGGGTTGCCGGTTCCGCATCTGGATCAGATGTGCCTTCCCTGGTTTTACCTAAAAGTGCGATAAGTAGCAGCAGCAAGACAGCGTCTAGCGAAGATGATACTAACGCGAGCGACAGGAACGTGAATAGGGTGTGCATAGGGACGCATCATATCTGTAATTGCCAGGTAGGCCCAGCTTACGGTGTCTCCTCTGTTGCTGCTGCGACTGCAAGTGCTAGCACAAGTGCAGGAGGAGGAGGAGGGGGAACAGCTAGTGGGGCTGCTACAGGAGCAGCAGCTTCTGCAGGGAGCGGCTCAGCAGCAGACAATGCTTCTGCCGCCAATGCTGGTTCCACTGCTGCATCTGCTGCTGTGCGATGGAGAATGGACGGGCCATCTTATCTCCAGCACGACTTCTCGTCCAACCCCACCTGCCCCGTCTCTCTCACGCTCCTCCTCCGAAACTGCTCCTCCTCCCCTGCCTCTGCTGCTGTCCACACGTTCGACCCGGCACTGCTGCCTGCTGTGGAAAAGAATGTCAATGCGTCCACTCTGGGCTCGAATCTGCCTGAGAAATCTGGCTTTTACTGCCCCAACAACTTGGATGGCCAGGACGGCGGCACAGTAGCGACTCCTAGAAGCTTCGCAGGAGGTTTCTCAGGTGGAGGTGGTGTGCTGGGTGGTGATGAGGTGGCGTGTGGCACAGCAGCGTGTGGACCGTACATGTGGGCCGGCCAGACTGCCATGCAAATTCCCAAGCTTGCTCCAGGGGAGGAAACTAGTGTGAAGCTCACAGCACTGGTGTTCTCTCCTGGTGTGTACAATTTCTGGAGTTACCGTGTTGCCTGGAGTGCTGATGCCAGTGGAGGTGAAGCTGGAGGCAAGACAGGCCAATCTGCGGCTGCCAAAGACAGCAGAGGCAAAGTTCCAGCGAAGGAAGCTGGCGGCAAGAATTCGAGCAAGCGTGGCTCACACACGGAGTCTTCTAAGAGTTCAAGGGAGGAAGCTCAAGAAATTGCTCAGAGGCTTGTGACAGGCTGTGGTATGGGACACCCGTTTATGGTGGTGGTATTGCCATGAAGACCTTTGGTTAGCTTCTATGCAATCTCTGCTATCGACGCTTGGTTTTGCATGTGCGCTGCAATGACCGCATTGTTAATATGAAGTATGCTAAGCTGTCAACCTTAGTAAACCTGCAATATGCAGCAATAACTTCTAGACATGGGTTCCATATCAAGTCCCTGAGAGGTACACTGTCTGTCTGGAGTGGATCATTCCGTACCTTGGCAGCAAGCAAAAGTGGGTAATATATTGATGGCTTGATCGCACTGCTTATCTGGTGCTGCTGTGCTGGACGTTACGCTTTCCAGACTCCGAACCGCGCGAAAGAGAACTTGTTCACGCAGAATGCGCAAAAAAACATCTTGCCAGATCAGCCTCCTAGGGGTGAGGGAATATCCACATACTTAGGGCGTGTGAGGTCTTTGAAATTTGTAAAAGTTTATGTTTTTAGGGCGAATTTTAGTTTCGAACTTACAACGAAAGAAGTTCGAATTTCCTTCTATCGAAGTTCGAACATCGGGCTTACCACACTGTAAAAAATCACACACACATACAAGGTCGAACCCCGACATTCGAACTTGTAAAAACGAGCCGAGCCGCACATCAACATCATAGGTTACCCGGTTCGAGAGTCTTGACAGTGCGCCACGTCAACATTTTGCGCCTCGGTTTACAAAGACCTAGAGCTCCAACTCACCTTCCGCGCCGAGTGTGTAACCAGGGTACAAATAGCCCCCGTAGCAACACCTTGTATTCTCGTCATTCGCCCAACATGACAACCCTACAGCTGGTCCGCTTTCTCGGCATCGTATGGCAAGGGTACTTGCAGATGGTGATGCTTCCCGTTCTCAACGCTGTTGGCACGGCACTCCCCACGCTCGTCTCGGCCTTCACTCTCAAGCAGATCCGGGTGTTCGTGCTTGGCGACCGCCTTGACGCACGTGTGCGTTGGTTTCGACTGATAACATCCCTGCCCGAGTACACTTTCTATGAGTATTTGCGGGTTGACAAACGCGTTTTCGTGTACTTAGTGCGCCAGTATCAGCGCAGCCGTTTCGCTACACTTAAGCATCCTGTGCATAACTTTGTATTCGTCGCCATGGGACTTAGCAGGCTTGGGCATGGTCTCACATTTCGCGAAATTGGGCTTCACTTTGGCTACTCTTTCTCCAACGCCCACAAGCTGTTTGCGAGGTTCGTTTTTTTCGTCAACGAAGTCCTCCTGCCCAAGTGGGTCGTGTGGCCAGACATGGACATGCTGCAGTTGTTCGAGACAGAGTTTCGCCTTCAAGCCGGAATACCTGGGGTGGTAGGCGCCATGGACGGGACCTACATACACTGCCGTGGCATGGGACCACATTGCGAAGACTTCAGAAATAGGAAAGGTTTCTTTTCTATTATTTGCCAACTAATCTGCGACAGCATGGGTCTCATCTGAGACTTTTTTGTAGGATATCCCGGAAGCGTCAACGACGCTCGGGTTTTCATGAACAGCCCTGCAAGAACTAAAATTGAAGAAGGAGGGATATTGGACTACACGCTAGTAGCGGACGCTGCTTATGGATTGAGGCCCTACATCTACACACCCTATCGTGCCCTTCCCGGCATCGCACTTCCCGACCATCAGCGAGTCTGGAACCTCCAGCAGTCCCGCACTCGAATGATTGTGGAGCAGGTGAACGGGAGGCTGAAGACCAAATGGCGCATCCTGGACGGGCGCCTCGAGTGCGACGTCATCCGCGCCCCGCAGGTCGTATCCGCCTGCATCGTGCTTCACAACATCGACCTCGTCCTCGGTTTCCGTCACCGCCTGAACGAACCTCGTGAGCGCAACACTTGGTGGCTGGAAGGACCCGTTGCGGAGGCCCCGCATTTCTCGTCGCGCGATGCGGGCTTTACTCCGACTCGTCGTCGATCTCGCCTGGCGGCGTACTTCTACGCTTCCTGGAGGCTCGGGCATCCTGAGCTCTCTCAACCATCTCTTGGGTACGTTCTAAAAACTCATCAAATTGGTCCCGCATAGCCCCTTTTACCGATTGCGCAATTATCCCCGCTATTTCAGCACACAGCACTGAATCACTTGAGTTCATGTGGTTACCAACACCACCTCCCATTGTGTCGTTGCCCGAATGTTCCTCTTCCGCAGCCGCAGGCCCAGGCCGGCGGGAGACACCGCGGCCACGGAGCGCAACACCTGCGTTCGCGCCGACGACGTGTGAACGGGATGGAGATGCAGTGGCGGTGGCAGCGGCGGGGGACACGTCCGGCGCAAGCGCAGACGTAGACGGAGACGAAAATGGCTGGCGTGAAGGAGAGTGACCAGGCGAAGCCGTCACTCGGCGGGGATTGGGTGAGCGACGAGCCGACTGCGCTCGGCTTGCTGATGCCGCTACGCCATCGGGCCCTGCAGACACCGCTGATGCGGTGGTAGGAGACGCCACATCTGCCGGTGATGGGCGTCGCATAGGGGGGTGTTGGGTGGTTTCATTCTTACATGCCACCTTGTTGAATGGTTGTATTAGTAGCATCAATCTAAAATTATGAGCAGTAAAAAAAGAGGATCACATCAAACAGCAATCAACACTTACTAGGAATGGTACGAGCCGGAGGAGGAGGCGCGGTAGTAGTTGTGGGAATCAAGGGGCCCGCGAGCGCCGGGGGACGCGCATTCGCCCGATCCCCTAGGAACCTGTCGAATATGTCATAGAAAATAGGCATTTTAGGGGGCTTCCCCTTCCCGGAAGGTTTTAGCAATAAATCCGACACCTTCCGCCACTGAGCCTCCATACGGAAAACCTTGGCTTTCGTGGCTGCGAGACCATGGCGCCATCCGGGGTGACGAAGACGGACTTGCTCGTAGAGCATGACGTCCCGGTTCTGGCCTTGCAGGCGGCACAGATTCCGATATTGCTCGTCGAAGTCGTGGCGGATCCACGCCAGCTGCATGACTTCCGCCGGCTCCCACCCTTTTTTGTCGATGGGCGTCGCTGCATCGGCGTCGTCGTCGGCGCCGTCTTCGCCATGGCAGTCGATTTCGTCTGCGTCGACGTACGCGAGGGTGTCGTCGTCAGCACCTAGAGGAGTGTTCCCGTTTGGCACACGCGCCACGATATCGTCCAGGTCGATAACTCCAAGGCGCCACGAAGCGGCCGGATCAACGGCAGCACGCCGACGCCGCTGAGGTGCGGGTGCGCGGACCGGTGCAGCGACAAATGCGGGTGTAGAGGCTGTTGGAGTGGTAGCATCTGCCGGTGTGGCAGAGCCATGGGCGCTAGTGTTGCCGTTTGTCATGTCGAATGGAATTTGCGTATACAGTACACAAGTGTTGGAGAAGGGTGGTATATTTGAATGTATCGAGTGCCTTCCACTCCCACAGGATTTCAAAGACATTTGGTGCGGGGGACGTGGATTGGCCAAGGGCGGGAGTTTCTTTGACTGACGTCAAGACGGGCGGGACGCGTTGCCACATCGTGCTCGAACATGCCACGATGCTGGACACGTGGCTACCACTGTGTGCACGAGTTGTGGGGTGTCTTCGTTGTGCAACTTTATGCATTGGCGAAGCGCTCGCCCGTTTCGCCAGCTGTTCGGACGTGCTGCAAATCACACACGCTCGCATGAACGTGCGCACGCACGTTCCTGCCTCCGACTCGAGTCAAGTTCATATTTCAAACTCGAACTTTTGCAAAGCCCATACAATGCTTGGTTCCCGAAGCACCCTTCGCGAAATTAGCAAATAGGGTAACCACCCAAAGTTCGAACTTTATTTTGAACTTCTACAAAGACCTCACACGCCCTTATTGACCGCCACGTCACTCCCTCAAGTATCGGCCACCCGAACCGAGTTCAAGCCGAATTCCTTTTCACGAAACATTGCAACCAAACCAGGCTCGTGCAGCCCGGATGTTGTCGAACGAACCTGATTGGGCTGTTTTTCTTATCTTTCCCATAGTCCCATGCCAATCTCTATGTGTACTGGGAGGGAATTTCATACATCAGGAAAGCCACCATTTCTATTGGAACTATTAGGGCGTGTCCAGTTCGTTCATTTCGGGATTTTTGTGCCAACGCACGTATCGAGGTTCAAAAATGACTACCGTACCTAGAAACGAATGCATTGTGAGTGGAGTCCAACCATCCTGTAATTTCAGAAGCGCGGACACATTCCCCGCCACACGAATCAACAGTGCTCTGACAACGTTGAAAACGAGGTAACAGTTTCCCTCGTCAATCATAGCTTGAAAATTTTTGTGCAGGCGCAGGGGGCGCTTGCGAGTAGAGCGAACCACTGACGAAATCGTGCAAGCGATACAAGGGAAACGAACTGTAGTGGCCAGGACGCGGTGCTGTACCCTTGTTCGCGTCCCTGCTGATTCGAGTAACGTGAGTCAGACGACTCCTTTCAATCCCATCTTTTCCCACATCTCCAACCATTCTCTCGACAGGGTTACCGCAAGATCATAGGCAATTGCCAGACGAACGCCATGTACCTAAAGAAGGCCATCGAGGACATGGGGTGCTTTGACATCCTCTCCAAGGACGTTGGTGTGCCCCTTGTCACCTTTGCACTCAAGGAAAAGGATGGCTCGTTTAATGAGTATGACATTGCTGACATGCTGAAACAGTTTGGGTGGATCATCCCTGCCTACACCATGGCCCCTGACCTCGAGCACGTTACAATGCTCCGCGCTCTCGTCCGAGAGGACTTCTCTCGCTCGCTTGCCGACCGCTTTCTGAATGACCTGCGCATGACAGTGAAGATGTTGGAGGACCGGGCCACCACCGCTCCACGCACAGTCACTCCGGCAGCCCCCACTGCTGCTGCTCCTGCAGTTTCTTCCATCCCTGAGGAGGCGCCCGTGGCAGGGGAAGCCCCCAAGCCAAAGTCCAGGCTCGCACGGAATCTGGATGCGGACGAGGGATATGTGCTGTCGCCGCTGGCGGGCACGCGGCTGATGCCGCCCAATAAGCTGGAGCACAGCCACTCAATGGACACATCTGCGCTGCGCCAGCGCACCTTCAGGGTTTTTAAGAAGAACAGCATTGCCAAGACTAATGGGGTGTGCTAGAAGCACCGATGGTGGAGGGGAAGCACACAGAGCATGAAACTGCTGTGGCTGATGCAATGCTTGCATGTTTCCCATCATATTGCGCATGACATTGTGGTGCTGTATATGAAATTGTGTATCTATGAAACTAAGATCTTGTATGCATGAGATACAGGTTGCTGGAATCACTGAGCTGTGAGCATTCCCATATTCCCGTTTTTGTGCAATTTATAATTTGTCAATTAAGAAGGTGTACGGTTCATATAGCCACGTGTCCAGCTGCAATTATGAGCGGGCTCAAAGAGATATCTGTTCTGTATCCGTGATTCCCGCTTCCCAGACTTGCGAGCCCCCAATCATAACTTTTCAACACACCCGAATGCCAGGTCAGCCTCTCTGATTCTTGAGCGCAGTCTGTGGTTGTTTTTTGGCGATTTGGGTTTCTGCCCTTTTTCATCGGGCCATAGCGTGGTCCAATGAAACCCACAGCTGACCGGGCAGTTTGTCGAGCATCAGGGCATGGTGAATGCAGGGTCACCTGTGCCGAGCCTGTGGTAAATCTCGACCAAGTCACCAAACCTAAATTTGAGAGGTAAGGTAATTCCCTAGGTAATGCCGAACCAATCACAATGTTGAACCAGTATTTTGCACCATCCTGCTGTCCCCAACCCAACCGAATTCCAATCAAGCAGGGAGGGTTGAAACATCGGTTTGTGTGAAGTCGCCATTTTCTTGAGTTTGTGAAGAGCTTGCATTTCAAGACACGCGTTCACCTCACTCGTGTGTACCGAGAGTTATCTGCTGTATTTTTCACGGTACCAGCTTCCTATTTCGAGCTGTTAATCCTCGTTCCTGCAAAGAGCGTGTCCTTATCGTCTGCAGCCATGCTTCACACAACGACTGGTGCTGGCGAGGACCATGTCGTCGAGTCGGTCTTCGCCTCGCGTTACACATCTGCGAGCGTTCCCAAGTAAAAGTTTCTCTTTTCTCCTGCATCCACGCAAGGTTTTTTAATGGAAAATGCTGTTGCCAGCGGAAAGTCACTTTCCATCTTTCACATTGCGAGACCACCGTAGTGAAAATATTCTTAAACTATTCTAAGAAACCTGCATTTTGCAATACTACAGGTATCAGATTGCCAAGGAAGGTATCCCCAAGGAGGCGGCTTATCAGATGATTCACGACGAGCTGCTGCTGGATTGCAACCCGCGGCTCAATCTGGCGTCGTTCGTGACGACATGGATGGAGCCTGAGTGCGACCGGCTCATTATGGAATCCCTTAACAAGAATTACATCAACATTGAGGAGTACCCAGTCACCAATGAACTCCAGGTCCGCATTCCTGTCCAATGGCTGGCAAGTGTGCTTCTCATTTGCAGGAGCGCTGCGTGAATATTATCGCGAATCTATTCAACGCACCTCTTGGGGATGGAGAGGGCGCGATCGGCGCGGGGTGCGTGGGGTCGTCAGAGGCAATCATGCTGGCGGGACTCGCGTTCAAGCGCAAGTGGCAGGAGAAGCGTAAGGCGCAGGGGAAGCCGTACGATAAGCCCAACTTCGTCTGCGGCTCTGAAGTCCAGGTAAACTACATTGTTTATAAAATTGCTGAATGCTGTTTCTGATCTTTATTTCTTTTGCAAGTTTGCGTCTCGCGTTTCCAAACCATTTAACGTCTTCCCTTGCACCCCCATACCCTCTACCGTTTTCGCGTTTGCCGGTTGATTCGATCCATATTCAGGTGTGCTGGGAGAAGTTTTCTAATTACTTCGAGGTGGAGACCAAGTTCGTGAATGTGAAGGAAGGGTCGTTCGTGATGGACCCGCACGATGCCGTGGAGGCTGTTGACGAAAACACCATCTGCATCTGTGGCATTCTCGGGTCCACCTATAACGGGGAATTTGAGGACATCAAGCTTCTGAACGATCTTCTCATGGAGAAGAATGCCAAGACGGGGTAAGCAGCTTTTAAAAAAAGTTATTGGATACTCATTTTAGATCAATGGCCGTTAGTAACCAATGTGCAGCTAGTGACATCTTCCCCTACTTGGAGTCACTTTCCCTCTTTCATTCCAGCGCTCCTGCCTCCCCTTATTCCCCTTCCCTCTCCCCCGCACCCTCTCCGCACATTACAGGTGGGACACGCCGATCCACGTGGACGCGGCGAGCGGGGGGTTCGTGGCGCCGTTCCTGTGGCCGGAGCTGGAGTGGGACTTCCGGCTGCCCACGGTGCGGTCCATCAACGTGAGCGGGCACAAGTACGGGCTCGTGTACCCCGGCGTGGGGTGGGTGGTGTGGCGCAGCAAGGCCGACCTCCCCGAGGACCTCATCTTCCACGTCAACTACCTGGGCGCTGACCAGCCCACCTTCACGCTCAACTTCTCCAAAGGTGCGCTGAGATGGGATGATGGGTGAGGAATCGGAAGTTTAGTTGGGAAAATTCGGGGATAAGGGGGGGAATAATCTAGTGTGAGCAGCAGTATCATCCCACAGAACCAACTAGCTGAAAAATGTACTGTTCCCTACTACAGTTTTTTCCTCTCTTCGTATTTCCTTCCACGCATCCGTGATCCCACGTGAATCAAACACGCATTCACTTGCAACCCCCATTTCACTCTCGCACACCCGCATTTCCTAATGCAGGCTCCAGCCAGCTGATCGCACAGTATTACCAGTTTGTCCGCCTTGGCTTTGAGGTGAGCTCTGATCGATCGTTTGAATGTACGAAACTTGGCTAACACTGCTAGTCTTAACTGCTTGGGCTAGTTATAAAGAACCCGTCGTGTTGGCCTGTCTGTCCCCCGCACCTGTCTTCTCGCTCTAGCCCTTCCCACCCCCCTCCTCCTCCCCCCCTTAACATCCTTTCCCTATCCTTCCCATCCGTCCCACTACCCACACCTTCCAACCCCCCCAAAACCCCGCTGCCATGCACAGGGCTACCGCAAGATCATAGGCAACTGCCAGACGAACGCCATGTATCTGAAGAAGGCCATCGAGGACATGGGGTGCTTTGAGATCCTCTCCAAGGATGTTGGTGTGCCACTCGTCACCTTCGCTCTTAAGGAGAAGAATAGCAATTTCAACGAGTATGACATTGCTGATGTGCTGAAGCAGTTCGGGTGGATCATCCCCGCCTACACCATGGCACCTGATCTTGAACACGTTACAATGTTGCGCGCTCTCGTCCGAGAGGACTTCTCTCGCTCGCTTGCGGATCGCTTCCTGAACGACCTGCGCATGACAGTAAAGATGCTGGAGGACAGGGGCGTGGGTATGCCCCGCACCAAATCCACGGCTGAGGCCGCTGCTGCTGCGGTTGCCTCGGTGCCCGAACATAAGCCCATTACAGTAGAGGTTCCCAAGCCTGGATCCAAGCTGGCACGTGACCTGGCAGCGGATGAGTTGTATGTGCTGTCGCCGCTGGCAGGCACACGGCTGATGCCCCCCAGTAAGCTGGAGCACAGCCACTCTATGGACTCGTCTGCGCTGCGCCAGCGCACCTTCAGGGTGTTCAAGAAGAACAGCATTGCCAAGACCAACGGGGTGTGCTAGAGATTGTAAGGGGAAGTGCTCAGAGCAGGGAGGTGGCGTGGTTGGAGCCATGCTGGTATGTTATTTATGGAAACACATATCTACATACATATTGTAGGTAACATTTTGCTTTCCAGCAGCCCGATAGCTATTTTTCCTCTACAAACATTACAGTGCACAGTACTCCAATCATTTGTGTGAAAGACTGTCCCCCAGAGGGAGGAAAATACGAGGCATGGTTGTTACACTGTACATCGTTGGGAGTATTGAGTTCCTATTGACTTTTACCAAGTTGCTACATTATGCACGATACTACCTAATCTACATGTTTGTCAAGGTCACAAAACCAGAAGCCCATACAGGGCTTCAGATTCGTTTTGGGCCACCCTTAGTAATCAGGGTTCTAGGTATAGTCAACCCTGATGCCTAAGGTAAAATTTTTGTTTCCCTGACAAATGCAGGGTAAAAAAACTGTAACACTGTTTGGCAAGGGTATTTTTTTTAGAGATTACTCTATAAATATTTCTGAGTTTTTAAATTCAAGGCTTAGTGGCTCAGCTGGTGTGTTAGGGAATAGAGCCTGACAGGCGCAGGTTCAAATTTCGGTGAAGTGTTTTGGCAGGGGCCCGCACAGTGTTTCGTCTCGCCACGTAGCATTCGGTATCAGTATTACTGGGATTGTACACTGTACAGTCAGGGAAATATGTTCCTTAAGCTGTTTTTCAAAGGGTACAAAAAAACTTACACTTTCTGGCCTAGGGTAAAAAATCCAGTACCCTGTCTGTGAACGGGTAACTGAAAAAAAGCGGCCGCCAGTCAGTGCAAAAAGGGTATTTTACCCTGATAACGAGAGCCCTGAGCCCATATTATACTTGCTGCACGCTTTGGCAGTAATGGGGCACAGGTTGTCGCGGCTGGTCGACCTTGTCATGCACAGCAAATCATGCTGCTCTCTCCATCCTTTTCTCCAGCTCCTTCACTTTCCGCTGCACAGCACAAATGGCACAGAGGAGCGGGTTAAAAGAGCTGCGCCAGGAACACGCAACCCTTCACCTTGCAGTAGGTGCAAACACAGATCATCTTGCACTGGTGCAAAGCTGTGGGCAGGCAGACAGACACCCGGCTTACCAGGAACTGTTTGGAGCGCCTGAATTCAGCGTCTGTGTCGGCCAGCCTCTCATATACCTCCAGGGCCTCCCTCACCCGCCCCAGCGCTGCCAGCGCCTCTCCTCTTCGAATCACTGCCTGAGGGTTTGGAGAATGAAGGTGATGGGGAAACAGGAGGGGGATAGGGAATAACAAGCAAGCTGAGGAGGATGGTGGCACAGGTGGGTGTCACAGGTGGGTGGCACAGGTGGGTGGCACAGGTGGGTGGCACAGGTGGGTGACACAGGTGGGCGGCACAGGTGGGTGGCACAGGTGGGTGGCACAGGTGGGTGGCACAGGTGGGCGGCACAGGTGGGTGGCACAGGTGGGTGGCACAGGTGGGTGGCACAGGTGGGTGGCACAGGAGCCCTATTGCGTTCAGGCATGGGAAGAAGGGGTAAGGCAGGGCTTACCGAGGACCAACCAGGCTTGAGTGCTGCCGCAGCTTCAGCGTCTTCCAGTGCTCCCATTGGGTTACCACATGCCACCCTTGCGGCAGATCTTCAGTTGCATGGGGATACAGCACATGCAGTAGTACATTGCACAGGAAGGAATGCTCAGGCTCAATCATCTGGCACAGACAAGACACCACAAACCAGGAATATATATGAAAAGGGTCTACATTGCCGACAGGAGCCTTTCAGGCCAGCATTGCACTACTCACCTGTTGCAAAGCAGGTTGTGTATTCCCCCAACAGGCACCAATTCAATGGCCTGCGAGAGATGCGGCCGGGAGAGGCCAAACGCGGTGAGGAAGAAGAAGGGAGAACTAGCAGCATTGAAAGATAATCAGACACCCCTAGCTCCCTCCTCCTCACCCTCCTCCCCCACACCCCTTCCATCTCCCAGCGCACTCACCTGGGTGAAGAGCATCTCAGCCTCGTCCGCTCGTCCCTTCTCAAAAGCTGCATTGCCGCGACCCTTCAACTCCAGAGCTGCAAGATTCGTCTCCGCGCTGCCCCCCGCGCACTGCCTCTCCAGCAGCCGTGCCGCGTGCGCCGCCGTGCTGCAGTGCCGGATGATCGTCTGCGACGGCAGCAGCACCAGATTGGGGCCTGCTCCGCACCGCCCTGTGATTGTAAGGAGGGGTCAGGAAGATAGAAGTGCCGGTCAATGTTGCCTGACCGTGCGTCATGACCAGCAAGAGCTCACAGTTTTACGCGAAGAACTGCCAAAAAATTGGAGAGAAGTGAGTGGTTTTGCTGCTTCATCTGCATCCAGACATCTCCTTCACGCCATACGTCATACGCCACGAAACGAACTGTCATCTCACCCAAGCATCCACACGAGTCAACATTCACGTGCGGCGGCGCGAGGCCGCGGAAGTGGTCCAGCGTCTGCAACCCGCCGTCCTTGCGACAGGTCTTCCCCACGCACACGTTGATCTCCGTCACTTCCGCTTCACTCGCCTGGTTATCTGCTGCTGCAGCGGCGCAGCTGCGACGGAGAGGACGCCTGGGGTTGAAAGGTGGTTGTTTGCATGGCGGGAAAAAGCTGTTTGAAGTGCTATTTATCGGTTTATGTGAACGTAAGAATCGAGTTGAGGTCAGGGAGTGAAGCTGGGAAATGGCGACTTCGGACGTCGAGATAGTGAACATGGTGTTTCACGAGAGTGGGAAAATAATTCTCAAATGCAGACTCTAAACAGCCGCCATGGCAGAATGAGAATATACTTGGCGGGGTGGAGACCAGTGGGGAGAATGTCAAGGGGAGGCTCTCCGAACCGAATCGCCAGCTATGTTCACCTGACCAACAGGTGCTCCGAGTGGCTATTATTGGTCGAGAACACGTGGCCGCTGAGCACTGGCTTCGTTTCTGCTTGGGCAGGTTCACAAACTTCGAGTCAGAGGCTGACTCGGCTTGTCAAGAGCACCACGTAGGTCTGATTGGTTAACCCGAACCGAAGCTGTGAGCCACCTCCGTGGCTACCTGCAAAAAGCACTCACGTGAGCCGAGCCTCAACAGCAAAAATCCAGAAGCCTCGGGGCAGCTGCTGTTTGGCATGACTCTCTAGGGGGGGGATTTGCGAGGCACTGGCGTTTTGGCAGCGAAACGGTTACCCGAGTGTGTGTCGCAACTCCAGGGCAGAATGGGCTGAAATCATCTCAGCAGGGTTGATCACTGATGGCTCGCTGCCTGACATTTCTCTGACTATCGTGCAGTAAGTAAGTTCGACGCTCAAAATATCGTCCAGATACTTCACCACGCATTGTGGATTAGGACAAGGAAACTCATCACCATTGTGCTCCGTCGGCGTTAGGACAACTACTGCTGCTTACGGTTCGCCATGTTTACGCTAGACGCTCCCTTGCTTCTTAGGCCTCGCAGCTTGAAGCTAGTACCTTCGCGTGTACTCCGGCCTACCTCACAGTCACAGTCGTTTCGGAAATTTTCGCTTGGACTACCATCGTTGTCTATTCGTCCATCAGGCCGTCTAAGCAACCAACGCTCGTTCCGAACTTCGCCCCCTCAGCGCCATTTATCTCGCTCGGAATTCCTCTCACCATGCTCACGAACCCGTTTCCGTCAGATAGGGCTCATTCAGAAGCATGTCACAGCACAGCCTGCTCGCTGCTCGTCCAAGCTTGGCCCATCGGACGACTCTTTCCCCGAGTCCTCTCAAACCCCGGATGATACATTCTCAGGCGACAAGCTTGGCGAAACACAAGCAGATTCGCCAATCGGCAAGCTGTCCAATCCGAACGAGTCCAACTCCAAGGGTCGTCAACCAGATGATTCCAGCGACGCATCCGTGAGCAAATACCTCGCCAAGGAGCCTGAACCTGAGGCAAATCCGTCAGATGAATCCGACGAGCCATCCTCGCGGCCCAGCAGCTTGTCAGACCGCGCCAAGGAGCGCTTGCAACGGATAGAAGAAGCAGCCGCTGCCGCGAAATCCGGAAGCGATCCTTTCAAGGGAATGGTGGCCGTGGCAGCCCAACGGCTGCAAGACTATTTCGATAAGACAAGCCTGGTCGGGGGTGCAGGGGGGTTTGGTCAGGAAGCGGTTGGATTGAGGGGTGAGGAGGTGGAGGGGGATGATGGGAGCGGGGAGACGGCGTGGCAACGGTGGGAGAGGGTGTTTGGAGAGGTGGAGGAGCGAGAAGCCATGCTGACGAGTCTGCAGGTGGGGACAGGAAACACGCTAAGATTGATTCGTTTTTCGACCCTTCTCTCCTGCTCTCCTCTCCTCTCCTCTCCTTCTCTCACACCCCTCTCCTGCTCTCCTGCTATTCGCTTGCTCTCGTGCTGGCACGCACTCTCGTTCTCGTGTTCTCGCCCTGTGGGTGACTCACCTACCTTCCTCTGTCTGCGCAGTTCCAACTGGACGACCTGGTGGGCGACGAGGACTTCGCTGCAGCCTTTTGAATCAAGACGTTCTCTGTCTTCCTCGCACCCTCATGGACTCACCCGCACCTACACCCCTCTGTCTGTGCAGTTTCAACTGGACGACCTGGTGGGAGACGAGGACTTCACGGCAGCCGCCAAGCTGCAGGCCGCCATCCGCGCGGTGGAGGACCAAGACGCCATGGCTGCCGTTTTCAGAGAGCTCAAGGTGCCAACACATGGCTGTTTCTCCTATCCTCGCTGACCTCCCTGTCCCGTTTTCATGCCCTGCTTCCCTGCCCGGCTTTCCTGCCTCGTTTTCCCCGTGCCTTTCCCCTCTCTCCACTCATTCGCGTTCCCCTGCCTGGTTCCCCTCTGACCTCCCTGCTCTCTCTCGCCCCTCTGCGCCTGGCAAGCAGGCGGCAGTGGCGGAGGAGAGGTACGGCGATGCCAAACACCTTCGCGACGATGCTGGGGCTGGCCTGGTGAGTGCGAGCAGCACATGTGACCTGGGAGGGAAAGAACCCAGGCTGGTCTGTTATCAGGGCAAGGATCACGGATCAAACGAGGGCAAGCAGTTCATAGACTGCCTGAAAGACATCGTCAGATGCCAAGGCAAAGACGAAGAAGATTGCATGTTTGAGACGTCTCAGAAGATGCCAAGGCAAAGACGAAGAAGATTGCATGTTTGAGACGTCTCAGAAGATGCCAAGGCAAAGACGAAGAAGATTGCATGTTTGAGACGTCTCAGAAGATGCCAAGGCAAAGACGAAGAAGATTGCATGTTTGAGACGTCTCAGAAGATGCCAAGGCAAAGACGAAGAAGATTGCATGTTTGAGACGTCTCAGAAGATGCCAAGGCAAAGACGAAGAAGATTGCATGTTTGAGACGTCTCAGAAGATGCCAAGGCAAAGACGAAGAAGATTGCATGTTTGAGACGTCTCAGAAGATGCCAAGGTAAAGACGAAGAAGATTGCATTTTTGAGACGTCTCAGAAGATGCCAAGGCAAAGACGAAGAAGATTGCATGTTTGAGACGTCTCAGAAGATGCCAAGGCAAAGACGAAGAAGATTGCATGTTTGAGACGTCTCAGAAGATGCCAAGGCAAAGACGAAGAAGATTGCATGTTTGAGACGTCTCAGAAGGTGCCAAGGTAAAGACGAAGAAGATTGCATTTTTGAGACGTCTCAGAAGATGCCAAGGCAAGGACGAAGAAGATTGCATGTTTGAGACGTCTCAGAAGATGCCAAGGCAAAGACGAAGAAGATTGCATGTTTGAGACGTCTCAGAAGATGCCAAGGCAAAGACGAAGAAGATTGCATGTTTGAGACGTCTCAGAAGATGCCAAGGCAAAGACGAAGAAGATTGCATGTTTGAGACGTCTCAGAAGATGCCAAGGCAAAGACGAAGAAGATTGCATGTTTGAGACGTCTCAGAAGATGCCAAGGTAAAGACGAAGAAGATTGCATGTTTGAGACGTCTCAGAAGATGCCAAGGCAAAGACGAAGAAGATTGCATGTTTGAGACGTCTCAGAAGATGCCAAGGCAAAGACGAAGAAGATTGCATGTTTGAGACGTCTCAGAAGGTGCCAAGGTAAAGATGAAGAAGATTGCATTTTTGAGGCGTCTCAGAAGATGCCAAGGCAAAGACGAAGAAGATTGCAGCGCCACCAGGAATGTGATGCGTGAACGGGGAGCTCGAGGACGTGATGTGCCATGTGCTGGGCTCATGCTCTCTCTGCATGTGCTGGGCTCATGCTCTCTCTGCATGTGCTGGGCTCATGCTCTCTCTGCATGTGCTGGGCTCATGCTCTCTCTGCATGTGCTGGGCTCATGCTCTCTCTGCATGTGCTGGGCTCATGCTCTCTCTGCATGTGCTGGGCTCATGCTCTCTCTGCATGTGCGTGCAGGTGGGGTGGTGGGCGGGCCTGGACGAGAGTGGGTCAGCAGACCCCTTTGGGCGGCTGGTGCACGTGTCACAGCAGCACGGCAAGCTGCTCGCCAAGTCGTACACTGCCAAGTAAGCCGCCATGCATGACCCCATTACAAAAGGTTGTTCTTGAGAAGCCTCAAAAACAACCTTCCATTCATGTTGCCATGCATGGTTCCGTGACCCGTCGAGGTCAAGAGGGTGAACGTGAGCAGATGGGCACATGGATGGGAATATTGCCGACGTGCGCTTATGTTCTTGCATCCGCCAGTTCAAGGATTCCCTCCGTACCTTGCACGTTTGTGGTTGTGTCTGTGTGATGTTGGCAGGCAGCTGTCCGTGGCAGGGCAGGGCATTCCCATCTTCGAGGTCTATGTGGCTCGCAATGCCGCCAACCCCAAGCGATACGACCGCCAGGTGCGCGCTATGCTGTTTCGACTGCACATCTATCTTTGGCACCGCAGAAATGTGCATTTCACTTGATGCTGTAAAACGAATGCTACTGTGAGGTGAAGAGCGTGAACCACTACTAGCCTGCATGCATGATTGTGCCGTTTCAACCCAGTTCCTTCTTCCCCCCGGCCCTGTTTCTCTTCTCCACTACCTGTGCAGGCCGTGTACCTCCACCATGAGACAGCCACCATGCAGGCCAAAGGCGCTTCCACCACCACCACAAACCCTCCGCCAAGCACCTCTGCTTCGAACAGCAGCAGCGCTTCCGATGCTGCCCCCTCGTCTTCGTCCCCATCATCATCAACATCCGCGTCCGCGCCATCCACGTCACCATCCAGCGTGCAAAGGGTTCAGGATGCTGTGTCGTTCAGCTGGGGAAAGAAGCAAACAGCAGAGGAAGGCAAAGTGGGTGGTCCAGGCACAGGGGCAGGAGCAGGGGAGAAGGGAGGCATTTCATCTCAATCCCCTGCAGATCCAGCCTCGGGCCAGACTTCACCTTCACCAGTCCCACCCACCCCTCCTCCCTCTCCCTCCGCTGCCTCCTTCCCTCCCTCCTCCCCTTCCTCTGCCTCCTCTGCCTCCTCTCCCCCCTCGTCTCTCCCACCCGGCGCCGACGATAGCTTATCGCGGGTCCTCGATTTCTTCCGAGAGCGGCTACCAGACGTGAAGCTGCGGGTCTTCCCGGTGGTGTCCCCTGCTGACGTGGCAGCGCCAGACGTGTCGGGCGCGGCGGGAACTGCAGATATTCCACGAATAGTAGAGGATGTGGTGAACCGGATAGCGAGGGACAGGGAGTCTGCAGCTGCTGCTGCAGCGGGGGAGGCAGCAGCGTCAGCAGCAGCGGGCGAGGGAGCAAAGGAGGGGGGTTCTGGAAGTGACAGTGATGCAGGTGATGGCGTAGAGGTTGGTGAGGGGCTGAAACGAGCAGATGGAAGCGACGATGCGAGTGAAGGGATTGTTCCAGGCAGGGGTGACACGAGTGAAGGGGAGAGCAGAAAGCAGGGACCCAGTAGTGTGACTCCTGAAGCTGATGGAGGCGTTAGTGAGGCAGTTGAAGTGGGAGAGGCTGCAGCACAGTCTGTACAGGCAGCAGGAGCAGGTACAGGAGCAGGGAGCAGGGTCGGCGGAGCGGACGACCCAAGGCGTGCCAGTCAGCTGCCAGAGCGGGACTTGAGGCGACTGAGGGCGTTCCGAGAGAGAAACGGGATGCTCGGCGAGGGCTCAGGTGATAGTAGGAATTCTAGTGTCAGTGACAGCAGCAACAGCAGCAGCAGCAGCAGCAGCAGCAGCAGCCGAGGAGAATCAGGCAGGAACGAAGATTCAGGTGGGCTGGACAGAGAAGGAAGCAGTGGAGGCAGGGGGGGAGTTGGTGGTGGGCAGGGAGAAGGCGGGGCGGAGCGGAGCGACGGTGAGGAAGGATCGGAGGATGCAGAGGGGCGGCAGGGCATTGCCGTGCGCGTGGTGGTGGGGGGGGTGTTCCCGGGGGATGGTGCGGGGGAGAGCGTGAGCAAGGTGCCTGCGAGGATAGAGTGGCGAGGCAAGGACGCGTTCGTGCTCACTGTGGAGGACAGCGAGGGTGACGGGGATGCAGCTAGCAGCAGCAGCGGCAGCACGGGAACATCTGCCACTGACCCAGAAGCGTCCCAATCTCCCTCCTCTTCCCCTTCCTCCTCATCGCAGTCAGCAGCGGTGGCGGCAGCGGTGAGTGAGCGGCTGGCGTCAGCAGCAACGAGGGCAGCGGCCAACCTGATGCCGGAGGACGTGGCGAAGCAGCTGTGGGGCGTCGACCGCTTCTCAGGACCCGTAAGACCCTTCCCAACCATATCACCCCTCTCCTGCATTCTATCCTCGCTCCTCCATTCCTCCATCTTTCTGCCGTTTGTGAATTCTGACGTGCGCATTATTCGTCCGGCCTCGGCCCTGTGTGGTTCTCATCATCACCATCCCCATGGCCAGGAGGTGTTCAAGGACAAGGACGTGGCACAGCTGATCTATGCCCTATGCATGCTGTACCTGTTTCCCCTTTATCCGTTGTCCCCTATCCTGCCCTCACCATCACCATCATCTTGCCAGGAGGTGTTCAAGGACAAGGACGTAGCACAGCTGATCCGCACGGCAGTGCAGCACGTGCAGAGGAGGCGCTACACGCTGCCCCGCACCACCGCCTTCACCCGCATCCATGCCGCCGATGCCTCCACCGACCCCTTTGCTGGTACATGCACCTTTTGTTCTGAGCCCATAAGCCTCTCTTTCTGTCTGTAACGTTTTCCTGGGTTCTGAAACGCTCTGGAACTCTCTCCTGCTGCTTCACGGGTTGTTGCGTTTCGGTTTGCACACCCCCACTAAATATTACCCCTGCTTGTCTCTCCCCTTTTCACCACGTACACCCTTAGGATTGTACGTGGGTGCGTATGGTCCGTACACTTCCGAGGCTATTCAGGTCAGGCGTAGGTTCGGCACGTGGGAGGAGCCAGAGGGGGAAGAGCAGGAGAGCCAGGCTGGGAAGGCAGGGGAGAGGGTTGGGGGGAGGAAGAGGCAGGGCGAGCGGGCACTGGTGCCGCCGTTTGAGTACGTGGAGGGGGTGAAGCTCACAGGCGACTTCAATGTGCCTGCTGGGAAGGTAATACTCTTGTGACCATACCTCCGCTGGGACGGGGACTTCAGCTATAGTGCTTAGTTTATTTGGCTGCTATTAGCTTGAAAGTTTATATTCTTTGTTTTTTCTCGAGTTGTGGTGTGACGCTGAGATTTCCTGGTGCTGTTGTGTTGCTGGTCTGTGGTTTGAGCTCTTGCCTGACTAGTGATGTTGGTACTGCTCTACATAAGCGTGGAGTGCGTGTGTTTGCCCGCAGGTGTCTTTTCGAGCTAAGATCGGGCGGCATTGGCAGATGCCGTTCCGAGGGGTGTACCCTGATGAGCTGGGTGTGGTGAGTCACTGCACGCTGCATCCCTTTGTTCACGGGCTGTTCCCTGTGTGGGTTGCTTTTCTCAGGAGCCCACCACGAATTAATCCATCGATTCGAGCATCCAGCTCCTATCTGGCAGCTTATATTTTGTTTTTTTTTGGGCTGTACCAAGTGGGGCAAAGCACCTCTTTTCAGTCTAAATTTGTCTGCGGCATTCAGTGCCTTTACGACATGTGTGCAGAGTCATTTCTTACATACAGGACGCGATTTTTGCCGTCCTGACGGGCATGCCATAGTGTGTTTTTGTGCCTTGTGTCATTTCAGGTTGCTAGGTACCCTGGCCAGGGTCAGCTGGCAGAGCCAGGTTTCAGAAACCCCCGTTGGGTGGACGGCGAACTGCTTGTTTTCGATGGAAAGGTAACTCGTCTCAATCCTCCCTTCCCCTGCCTCGTACAACTGTGCTTTCATCAAGCCGTACACGCCATGCTCCTTCGATTTCATCCGATCATTCAGACATAATACCCTTGCCCAATGACTGATCCTGATGTTTGTTGATTTGCTTGTTGAACGGCAGGGTTCTCGCCACACAAATGGTGCTGAGCTGGGCTTTGTTTTCTCATTACCTGAGAGGCACTTTCTCATTCTCTTCAACCGTCTGAAGCTTCAAGCTTGAACTGAACATGAAGGTTGGTGCAACATATAGAAATATATAGCATCTACAAAAGTTGTCAGCACAAGTGTACTTTAGGACATCTAATCTGCCACGCGTCTTTGGCTAAGAGATTGAAAGTCCCATCATGACATGGCCGAGCTTTTGTCCACTGCAGCATGGAATGGAAACGTAACGAACTGGCGATGTGGGTGTGCACCGTGGTCTGCCTGGCGAAAAAGCTGGTACAGTCCTAAGGTAATCCAACTTGGAAACGAATGCTGGCGAGCGAGGCAGCCAGCCTCAACCAAACGGAATCGCAAACACGAAAAGCCATTTCTCCACTAATTCCACCATTTGTGAAGCCACAACATAGGAAACACATTAGTTGACCAGGCGCCAGCGAGGGCAAACCCACTGCACCAAACAATTTCATTCTCCAGTTTCGGGTAGGGTTCTTTGTGGCGTGTACGGTAGCTGGCTCCGCTTATTCGAAGGACGACCTTTCTTTGGAACATTGTCATCAGATAGTCTTGTGCACTCGCCGACGTGGCGGCTACAGAGGCTCCAGAGGTAGGCCCAAGGGGCGCGAAGAAGCGACAGCGATCCCCGGAAGTGGTTGAGGTTAAAGACGGAGGCGGAGTCATGGAGCCAGCACGAAAGATAGCAATAGCCGTGGATTTGAGCGATGAAAGCGCTCACGCGGTCAAGTGGGCTGTCAAGAACTACCTGCGACCTTCAGACCATGTGAGTTTTTTGTTCAACGTGTTATCGGGAAAGGACGCAGCACGGAAGCTCGGAAAGATAATGCTCGAGACTCGAATTGATGGGTAATCTGACGTAAAAAAAAAGAGCTAGCGTCATACCACCGGGAAATATATAAAAGTATGGACTGTTCTGCCTCGCATCGCTGGTCTGTGAACTGGCGTTGTGTTGTTTATCAGGTGGTGCTGTTACATGTTCGTCCCACCTCCGTGTTATATGGTGCGGATTGGGGTGCATCGGAAACAACAGAGGAAGCTCCTGATAAGGAGACGAAGCAGAAAATGGAGGACGATTTCGATGCGCTGACCGTTGCGAAGGCGAAGGATCTTGCCGCTCCATTGGAAGAGGCTGGAATACAGTACAAGACCCACATTGTGAAAGATCATGACATGAAAGAGCGTATCTGCCTTGAGGTATGCTGGATACGAGTGCTTCACGCGTTTCAACACATCACAGATTGCATGTCGCTAAAACTGGTTGATACTATCTGTGCAGCTATTTGCATTTGCTTGCACGGCTCGAATGTCAGTGCAACTCCTCTTTGGCTGATCACAGGTGGAGCGAGCTGGGGTCAATGCCTGCATCATGGGAAGCCGAGGGTTTGGTGCAGAGAAGCGGTCAAGGAAGGCACGCCTGGGCAGTGTCAGTGACTACTGTGTCCACCACTGTAAGTCCTGCAATCCTTTATTTCCTGGTTCTACGATTGCTCATATTATCTGCAGACCGTTTCAGGTAAATGCTTTCAAATCTTTGTGTTTCAGGTGACTGCCCTGTTGTGGTTGTTCGAATGCATGAGGATAAGAAGGAAGATGAAGCGCCAGCGGCAACATGAGGTTACTTTGGTCCTTTCTGCCGTACTGGCATGACGGAGGATCTTTCTTTTTCCCAGAAGCATGGGTATGCGGGCATTTTAACTGATCGTGGCTCCATTCGTGCCTGTTTACTTTACCCTAATTAACACCCCTACGGTGTTGGCATCGCAATGCCCGCTTGCAGATTCGTAGCCAATTGACAGCGTTAATTTTGTTAAAGAAATCTAGTTTAGCTCAACTTGACAGCATAATGGCCTGAATCAGGTTATTTCTGTTATTGCTAACGTAGTATTTATCCTGGGTGTACAACTATTTGTGCTGAATCTGAAAGCGCCTAAGTGACGTCACGAATACGGTGCTTTTCTGGCGATGTGGCAAGTGTTTCGCCTTTCCATTTGCGCTCTTGTCAACCACAAATTTCCCCTTCTAGTCACCCTCGCCTCACTCCTGCGATTTGTGCACCTTGTCTGGGGAACGACACAGTTCTCTTGAGTGAGCTGTGAGAAACGATCTTACTTTCCACATACAGGGTAGTTTTTTACGTGCTCTTAGCTTTTCCGTGAATCAGCTGGCGAAGACCATGTCGGAAGAGAGCGCTTCGAGGCGTCTCTGCGCTCTCAAAGACGTGAATGTCAGTTTTGTGGTCACGGACCCTAAACAGCAGGACAATCCCATAGTATATGTCAGCGATGCCTTTCTCGAACTAACGGGTTACACCCGTAAGGAGGTGCTTGGACGAAATTGCAGATTCCTTCAGGGTCCGGGGACTGATAGGGGAGCAGTTGTGAAGATACGTGATGCTATTAGGTCGGTGACAGGGTTGTCGTATCTTATTATCCTTCCAGATTCTGACACCTGCCGTCTTCCATATTCTGACACCTGCCCTCCGGAAATTATTCGTTTGTGCAGGAATGAAGTGTCATGCCAGGTTCAGATTTTGAACTATACGAAGAACGGTACTCCATTCTGGAACCTTTTCCACATAACTCCTGTTCATATGGGTCCGAAACATGTGCTCGAGCATTACATTGGCGTGCAGACTTGTTTGCCTGCTCGGTTTGAAGCTTCTGAGGAGGCCACAACAACATTGGCTTCTGGACAGAGCCCATCTCTTGTCGATGCAGGTGCTGGTCTTGCACAAATCGGCCAAAATGGTGCGCAGTCTGGTTGCTGATAAATTCATTTTGTGACTAACTCGTATGCCCGTCGCGCTAGGATAGTGTTGCCTAGCTTCCATCAGGCTTGCAATTGCTACCTAGCTCGCGGTATTCCACAATTATGAAAATTGAGAAGTGGGTCCAATCTGAAGAATGGACTGTTAACGCCAGCTACCTCGTTTGTTCTGTATGCGGCATTGCAGATGATGGCCCGCGTTTTCAAGAATATGAGTCGCTTGCTCGCCTATCAGCCGAGCTTGCTTCGAATAAGTGGGCCTCTTTTTGTGAGCTCCTTCAGAGCTCGTTACCCGCTCAGAGAAATGCAGGTCCTGAGACTGCAGGCACTTCGGTTGACACGGTTCCTCAGCTTCCAGGAACGCTTCAGACATCGCTGGCAAGAATCCATCAATGCATTGTACTGTGAGTTGGCCTTCTCTGCATCAGGTGCATTCGTTTCCGTATTTGGCTTTGTCAGCTTACAAGTGGAAATTGTGCAGGGTAGATGCCACAAACTCAGAGTATCCCATCGTGTATGCAAGCAAGCCCTTCTTAAGAATGACAGGTGCAGAACATGCAACTCAAGATTCCAAAAACTTGCTCGTATACCTATATTGCTAACAGACAAGTATGTTTGCCAGGTTATTCTTGGCAAGAAGTGGTGGGAAAAAACTGTCGCTTCCTTCAAGGTCCAGAGACTAACCCGGACCATGTCCAACAGGTACGGTAATGCACTTGTATATTGTACACCTTGGTGATACGTGCGCATGCTGCTTGCATTTCTTTTGCAACGTGCATGATCCAATGCTGCCATGGACTTTGTGCGTGACAGCTTCGGGAGGCCATACATGGGAGCAGGTCATGTTCTGTAAATATCCTCAATTACAGGTAAGTACTTGATTCTGGAAGGGCGCTGCAGTTTTTCCTTGGTGGGTGATTGTTTGCTCATGAGTTACCGCACTTTCAAACCCTGTGCAGAAGGGATGGTTCGAAGTTCTGGAACCTACTACATGTATCGCCAGTCAGGTCCTTTGATGGAAAAGTAGGTTACATTGTGGCCCACCTTCCATGCATCTACCGGTATGGTCCGTGCAACTTATGATAACTAACTTGGTGCTTTGGTCTTGCAGATTCACTTCTATTGTGGTGTCCTGATGGAAGTCTCAACAGGCGTGCAGTCACCTATTCCCACATATGCTTCTCAGCAGCAGCTTGGTGTTGTTGGTGAAGTTAGGATTGCAGTAAGAAGTCTACCATACAAAAACAAATAGCCATCATGTGCAACTCTTGTTCTATCAGTGCAGTACAATGGTGGGATGATAGAATCCTGGGAGAAGCAGAACTAGGGTATACATCTGCAGCCTTGAAAGGTACATGTACGTACCAATGTCGCTAGGTACAGTAACGTACAATGTTATAGCGTTTTCCTATTTGGTGGTGCACCTTTCTTGTTTGTTCTTTCCTATTTGTACCCTCGCTCAATATTGAATCTCCCCCTTTTTGGCTAATCTCTCGACCCCTTCCTCTCGTAACTCTCGTTCTACCCTCAACCCAAGTCCTAAGTCAACTTAGGCTTTCAACATTGACTCGCTGGTGCCTCGATATGCTTTGCTTCGCTTGTGCCTTAGTGTTTCGACACGACAGAGGCGCTTAGGACCGATTGTTTCCAACACTCCCCTTCGCTTCTGGAGTGTCGCTGACGTGGCTCTGTCCAGTCAGCAGCATGTAGTTTTCGAACTTCTGCTTTCCGAGCTTCTTGGTCAGGTAGTCAGCTGCCATCTCGGACGTGGGACAATATGACAGCTCGAGCATTCCCTTCTCGATCGCGTCCTTCACGAAGAAATATCGCAGGGCGATGTGTTTCGTCCTGTTAGTGAAGCCGTTCTTGTTGGCGATGCGAATTGCCGATTGGTTGTCGCAGAACAGGGTAAAGTTGGGTAACTCGGCTAACTTCACTTCTTCCAGCAGTTCGCGAAGATAGAGTCCTTCCTTGGTGGCTGAGCAGAGTGCAATATATTCCGCTTCAGCTGACGAGAGAGCAATTAATTCCTGCTTGCTCGATTGCCGAGAGATCGGTCCGATAGGTTCGAGGCGGTAGATGTAGCCGGTGCGGGAGCGCCTATTGTCGGAGTCGCCAGCGTGATCAGCGTCGACGTAGCCGATTAACTTAGTCGGTGTGGTTGCGTTCTTGTAGTAAGTTAGGCCGATCGTTGGGGTGCTGACGAAGTAATGAAGAGCGCGGTCGAGCTCCGCCAGATGTTCTACTTCAAGCTTCTTGAGGTAGGTGGCGAGCTGGCTTGCGGAGTATGAGAGGTCGGGGCGACATGTGACGGCTGCGAAGAGAAGACATCCCAGCTTCTTCTGGTAGTCTCGTATGCCGGCGGGCTTAAGAAGAGCGGAGCTTCCTTTGTCGTTCCCTGCCGTGTATCGGTATGGCGTGGAGATGGCTGTCGGTGTGAGCGTAAAGCGTTTGGCGATAGTGTCAGCATATTTCTCGGCGCTGAGGTAGATCGTGTCCTCCTCTTCTCGGATGTTGAGGCCGAGGTACTGAGTGACGGTAGATGAAACTGTGAGCGTGAGATCTCGATGCAGCTCCCCTTCGAACCAGGTGGTGATGCCGTCAGTTGAGCCGATGTATCGTTTTTTGTGAGCCGGTACATGCCTTGATCGTGCGGTAGTTGCTTGAAGCCGATGCGGATGAGGCGAGCGTGCAGGTACTGTTGCCACAGTCGCGGAGCCTGCTTGATGCCGTAGAGTGACTTGAGTAGCTGGCAGACTTGGTTGGGTTCTCTGTGGGAGCCGTGCGGTAGCTCGACGAAAATTTCTGCATCAACAGGTGCGTAGAGAAACGCGTTCGTGACGTCAATTTGTCGCAGCTTCTTCTTCTTCATGGCGGCGATTGCGAGGAGAATGCGCAGTGAGGTGTGGCGGCTAACTGGAGCGAAAGTTTCAGTGAAGTCTCGTCCGTGTTCTAGGTCGAAGTTGCGTACAACCCAGCGAGATTTAAATTTGTCAATGGTGCCGTCAGCCTTTGTCTTCACACGGAAGACCCACTTCCCGATGAGCACTGCCTTGTTCCGTGCCACGCCGATAGGAACCACTTTCCACGTGTTGCGTTCCTCCTGTGCCTTCAGCTCCTTGTCCATGGCTTCGCGCCATTTTTCCTTATGCTCCCCCCCCCAGAGCCTATTGAATTGTCGCATGCTCTTTAGGAATGGCGGTGCCGTGGACTGCGGTGACGAGTCCGAGAATTTGCAGTCCACTCTGTGAGTAGCGGGGAAGATTTGCGTCCTCGGGATAAGCTGCTTCATCTCCCGCTTCTGGATCAGGTATGAAGTTCAGTCCTACTCGTTCTGCTTCGTTGGTGTTGACTGTCGCAGGTGTTACGTAACCGTTGTCGGCGAAATAGTATAAGGTTTCGGCGTTGACACTTTCGCGAGGGTTATCTTCGTCCATGGGAACGTCGACGGAGCAGAACGGAAGAGGTCCGACTTCTTCTGATGCGTTGTCCACATTCTGCTCGTCCTAGTCAGCTTCGTCCGCTGCTGAGGCGAAGGCTCGGTCACCGCGAAAACCACCTGTGTGATCCTGGTTTTTTTGTAGGTTGGCAAGGTATGTCTGGAGCGTGAGTCGTTCGTAGAAAATTACATCATGTGCTGCTACTGTTTCTTTGGAATGGACGTCAAAGATTTTCCACGCGT